ATTTAGGTCCCAGAAGATTAACAATTTTGATAATCTAAAAATGACTAATTTTGACAATTTAAAAATTTGAAAATCACACAACTCAAAGCTCCAAAGATACAAAATTTAAGAATTCAAAAATTGAAAACTCCACAATGTAGAAATTTGAGTATCAAGTATAATAAATGTCTCCTATCATGTCTAAAAATAATACTTCCTCCTCATCGATCAAAATAAAATTTATTGACTTGAGAATATATTCTGATTACAAAATATATTCATTTCCAACCTACACACGCTAATATCGAAGTCCAGCACTTGTTTCCATCAACCAAATTTTAAAACTATACCTGGCAAACCCTCATAAAATCCACATAACTGAACTTTCGATCAAGAAAAAAAAGGAACCAAATCCTCTACCCAGAAACAATACAATATTCGCTAGAGGTAAAATTTTCATTTTACAACCGGTATCCTTTCCAACCAACGGAGAGACTAGCATGAAGAGCGTGGGAATATGACCTCTGAATTCACCTCGTTCTTGCGCTCTCGAATCTAAAACGCACGCGTTTGAATATCTAATCTTCTCTTCCTTTCTGTTTATACGCTAGTAAAAACCTCACGATAATCCTTATCAATGTTAAGTACATTCTCTGTTTATTCTCCTGCAGCTTTTATGATTCACTTGGAACGTGACCTTGGGTAGGTTACCTTAATATCGCTGACGTTGCGTGGTTCTTTATTTGCGTTGTAATGAGTTATTGTTCATGCACTTCTGGTTTTATGGTTTTTAGATTAGATCAGTGAGTTTTCGATTTATCAGATTTTTTTATATTTTTAGATTTCTAAATTGTGGAGTTTTAAGTTTGGGAGTTTAAATATGGAGTCATAGAAATCAGTTATTGAATTCTTTGGTTTTCAAGGCTTCAGATTCCCTGACTTTCAAGTTTTCAAATTCTTTGACTCGAAAAATCAAATTCCCTAATTTTCAGATCCCTAAAATTTGCAAGTTTACAAATTCTTCAGATCCTAAATTGCTCGACTCCATAATTTATAAAATTTTTAAATTGTCCACTCCCTAATTCTCAAATACTCAAGTTCCCCAACTTGCAGCCCCAAATTCTCAAAACTGAAAAATTCTGAAACAAGAAACTAACTGAATATAAAAATAAAGAAATGAATAAGAAAATATAATGAAAGATGAAAACAGCGAAATTGTAAAATAGTACCATAGCGAATAACAAGAACAGCCATAATGAACCCAGGATCTAAAGGAGATCTCAGCAGGAACAAGAGCGAGAAAGTCGAACAAGAAAGAATCATGATCGACCGTGATAGGCAACGTAAAACGACGCAATTTCTAACGAAACAACCGACACAGACAGAAAACGACGCGGAGGGTACATAATTCGTTGTCACGTACACAATAATTTGTCGCGACTCGTCCTTTCAGGATGATCATTATTCCAGAGCCGTGGACAACTAGGTAGCCTTTCCCGCCGCCATCATCTATCCACACTGCTCGTTAATGAACAAACCATCAATCAAAGCATTTCCGGTGCATGCACTCCCTGATGCCACTGCTTCCCTTCGAGTTTATCAACTATTTAGGACGATTACTAAATCCTTTAATTCATCGACTATTAACACCTTAAACTATTGACTCGTAACTCTCAGCTATTTTATTGCAATTATTAGGATTTAATTTGAAGTTCAAGTAAAATTTGTATAGTCGATTTGTAACTGTGATTATGGGTGCTACAATTTGTGGAGGTGCATGCACTCCCTGAGGCAACCACTTCCCTTTGACTTTATCAATAATTTAGGATGATTATTAAATTCTTATTCGGTGGTTGGAATTTCAGGTGCTTGGAGGATTGAGAATTTGGCACTATGAAGGGTGGAAATTGGGAAATTTGGTAATAGGGAAAATTGGAATTGGGAAAATTGGTATTGGAAAATTTGGAAATTGAGAAAATTGGAATTGGACAATTTGAAAATTGGGAAAACTGGAATTGGACAATTTGAAAATTGGGACAGCTGGAATTGGGAAAAGTGGAATTGGACAATTTGAAAATTGGGAAAGCTGGAATTGGACAATTTAGAAATTGAGAAAGTTGGAATTGGGAAATTTGGTAATAGGAAAAATTGGTATTGGAAAATTGGAATTGGGGAATTTGGTAATAGAGAAAATTGGAAATTGGGAAATTTAGTAATAGGAAAAATTGGTATTGGAAAATTTGGAAATAGGGAAAATTGGAATCGGGGAATTTGGTAATAGGGAAAATTGGAATTGGGAAAATTGGTAATAGGAAAAATTGGTATTGGAAAATTTGGAAATTGGGAAAATTGGAATTGAGGAATTTGGTAATAGGAAAAATTGGAAATTGGGAAATTTGGTAATAGAGAAAATTGGAATTGGAAAATTTGGAAATTGAGAAAGTTGGAATTGGGAAATTTAGTAATAGGAAAAATTGGTATTGGAAAATTGGAATTGAGGAATTTGGTAATAGGAAAAATTGGAAATTGGGAAAATTGGAATTGAGGAATTTGGAAGTTGGAAAAATTGTAATTAGGAAATTTGAAAATTGGGGAAATTGGTAATAGAGAAAATTGGAATTGGAAAATTGAGAAATTTGATAATAGGGAATTTCCCAAATTCCCTAGCACGAATCCCAGAATCCTAGAAAACCTCAGATAAATCCCTAGAACCCCACAAATATCCCCCTACCTAATCCACCTAAACAAAACCCAAAACATACTAAAATATTTCCCCCAAAAAAATTCCTACTTGCCTCTAATCCTACTTCCCTCAAATATCCTACTTCTCTAAAATCGAATATAAAATTTTTCCTGGCTCCGTTATCATCTTCAAGTGAAATCAGAAAGTTTTAAAAGAGACTCGCGCTTTCGAAAACCGACTTCCGCCGAAAAACAAGCAGAGGCGTGCACCTGCTAAAGGGGGATCTCACGGGAAAGGAAATGAAAGAGTGATTTTTGGCCAGGATATGCACGCGTATGTGTGCACCTACATCCTGGCTGACACGGTGATGTCACGTGAAGGAAGAAAACACGCGAAGCCACGTTTACGCGACCAAACGCACAAAAGCACTGTGGTAGGTGTATCACGACTGATAATTACGGAAGGGGCCCGAGCGAACTTCCGCTCAATAAAACCTACCCGACAACAGTTGCTACCAAAACGTGTTGTCTGACAACGGAGTTTGTGCGTTTGAAATTTTCTGGTAACTTCGATGCGTTCGCGAACGTGCCACGCATTGAAATCACCGGCTTTATTGTCGCTTTTTGTACTCGGCGCTAATTATACAATTTTAAGCGAATCCCTTTTTAATTTTGCTGCAATTGGAATTTAGTCAGTGATACTTTCTTGTAATTCAAGTTTAATTTGTTATTTTTTGATTTTGGTATATGTCTTCAGTGCTAAGTTTTATTAAATTTAAAAAATTTTATTAAATATTACAAATTCTATTAAATTCAAAAAATTTTATTAAATTAAATTTTTTTCAGGTTATGTACTAATATTCGTTGTAAGTATATGCATGTTAATGTGTATGTACTTATTAATATATGAGAATACGTATGTCAAATACTATTCTATATATCCGCCATTAACAACGTTAGTCAACCATGTTGTCCATCTAATTGTGTAAATATTTTTGTATTAATTCCCATTTATGTTAATATTCCCTGTAGATTTTTGAAGAATCACCGGGTAAACTGTAGTAAGTGTAATGTTTATTCCCTGTTTGGACAAAATGCTTTGTTTCCGGTTGTATAGCAATCTCACATGTCATAACGTGTTCGGAATACAAGAGTTAACGAGCTGTATTTCGATGGACGCATTGAATGGCGCGTGAGTCACCGGAAGCACGCGATATTCACTTTCGTCGAAGGAAAATAAAAAAATACAAATTTCTACTATTATTCTATAAACAAATATAAAACTATTTTTAAAAAATAAGAGTAAGCAAGTTTCTCAACAGTGTGTAATTCTACAATATCAAAAACAATATTACCACAGTTATATTACTAGAGAATCTGTCGAACAAATCTCTACAATGGAGAATAGTTGCGGAATTCGATGAATCGATGTAACAGCTTTTAATATCGTAGAATTACGTAACTCCACCCGGAACGACGATAATAACCGTACATTTGGGGCAACGATTCTCGGAAGATTCGGACAACGGTACAAACAGAAGTGTCAAAATAACTGAACTGACCTGTTACTTGGTCACGAAACATTCGGGCAGCCAAAGAGCCAGTTATTTTCAGTAATATCGTGGTATCGTTTCCAGTTCAGCCTCTGTTAGACCGTCAAACGATTTTCGAATTGTTTCGCGAAAACATCTGCGCAGCGGCAAAGAAAAAAGAAATCGCTCTACAGGTTACAAAAACGTGATCACACAGTACTACCAATTTGCGGCGGCAATACGATAGAAATATTCCGCGCATGCGCGAATCTGCATCGTCACTATTGTTCGAAAGAAGAATACAGAAATTGCTATACAATATAAATCTATGTATTCCTACTTCAATTTTAGATGTAATTTAACCCAAAAATTATGAGATTCGAATAACAATTTTTTTCTAAGTTAGGTTGAGCTTTGTTAAAATTTATTTTTTTAATCTAAAATTAGGTTAGGTTTTGCTCAAATGATTTAATCCAATTCGAAATAAAAATAATTAAATTTGAATGATAAAATTATGGGTCAATCTACTTTAACGGTTTCTTAATGATATTACCGGTATACCATCGATAAGATTATCGATAGCTCTATTACGTACGAAGATTAAATAATTTCTAAAGGTACGTAAAACATTACGAAATATATTAGCATAAATACACAAAGAAACGTGTATGAAAAAAACTAAGGCAAGACTTGTTTTTTATTTTTAAACTGATTAAATTGTTAGCAATGGCACCTCTGTGTGACACCCTTGAGCGTTTTCAATTTTCTTCTATAATATACAACGTCACAAACATTAAACAAACTTACCTTTCGTAGTTTTCCTAATTCGTTCATGTCCGTAGCCGGTTGAATCACCTAGGAAACAAAAAATAAACAAGTATTATTACTTTAGAAATAAAATGTACATTTTCGAGTAAAATACAACGAAAAATTTTAATTGAATGTTATATGCCATTTACCTCGTTCGTTTTCCAAAACTTTGCCGAGTCCTTGTCAAAAACATTATTATCCGTGATCCTTACTCTATCTTCGAAATTGACGAGTGAAAAAAAATTATTGTTGCCATTCGGTTCCGCTTCCTCGGCGATGGTCGTGTCAAGAAGCTCGAAGTCGAACGATTTTGAATCGCGACAGTTGGTTACGAAAGAACGCGCGAAGCTGCTTTTAAAAAAGTGTCCCAACGACACTTCGCTGCCGAGAGCAAACTCCACTTTCGGTGTATCGCTCATGATTTTAACTTCGAAGACTGCGTTTGTAAAAAAAGATGCTTCTCGAGCGTCGATCCAAAATCACTCTACTTCGAAGTTTATGTCGAAGACAAAATAACAGCAGCAACGAAAAATGAATCTATTCATTCCGAGAACGTCAAAGAGTAACGTTGATCACTACAAAATGGTTTTGAAGTCTCTATTTTCACTTGTTTTTTATTTACATGCACGCGACGCCGTCAAATAATAACGATGATTATGTATAAATAAAATTGTAGGTTCTAATTAAAATTCTTTGTATTATGTTCAAATAAAGTTCATCGTGCGAAGAAATTTTAGTCATATCAAAGAAAACCGATCACACCACATACCGCCGATGTATACAGGACGGACCTGCGTGTCAAACTGACAACGAACGTTGTGCGAACACGAGCACAACGATTTGAACTCGAGCGACACGCGGCGAAGACTGAAAGCGAGCATCAAAATGCATACACTGCGCATGCGCCGATCTACGTATTCAGTTATATAAGGTGTCCTTAATAATAAGAATAAGCTTATCTTTATATTCTGTTTCACGGTATATATTACAATCATGTCCACAAGAGATTATACCATTAAACTTGGAATGCTTTGAAATAAAAGGGAATTGATATATCTCAATAGACAATTTCGAAAAATACTAAATTCACGGCAAAGAGGGTACATATCCGTTGCGCATTAATTTAGCGGGAAATTTTAGTAAGAAGTACCTTTACGTATGAATAAAAGAATGAATACATAATATAAATATAAAAAAACCTTTAATAAAACCTATATAATTAATATAATAAATATAACATTTGTGTCATTAATTTTATGGCAATTATTTTATGATCGCGACAGTTGGTTACGAAAGAACGCGCGAAGCTGCTTTTAAAAAAGTGTCCCAACGACACTTCGCTGCCGAGAGCAAACTCCACTTTCGGTGTATCGCTCATGATTTTAACTTCGAAGACTGCGTTTGTAAAAAAAGATGCTTCTCGAGCGTCGATCCAAAATCACTCTACTTCGAAGTTTATGTCGAAGACAAAATAACAGCAGCAACGAAAAATGAATCTATTCATTCCGAGAACGTCAAAGAGTAACGTTGATCACTACAAAATGGTTTTGAAGTCTCTATTTTCACTTGTTTTTTATTTACATGCACGCGACGCCGTCAAATAATAACGATGATTATGTATAAATAAAATTGTAGGTTCTAATTAAAATTCTTTGTATTATGTTCAAATAAAGTTCATCGTGCGAAGAAATTTTAGTCATATCAAAGAAAACCGATCACACCACATACCGCCGATGTATACAGGACGGACCTGCGTGTCAAACTGACAACGAACGTTGTGCGAACACGAGCACAACGATTTGAACTCGAGCGACACGCGGCGAAGACTGAAAGCGAGCATCAAAATGCATACACTGCGCATGCGCCGATCTACGTATTCAGTTATATAAGGTGTCCTTAATAATAAGAATAAGCTTATCTTTATATTCTGTTTCACGGTATATATTACAATCATGTCCACAAGAGATTATACCATTAAACTTGGAATGCTTTGAAATAAAAGGGAATTGATATATCTCAATAGACAATTTCGAAAAATACTAAATTCACGGCAAAGAGGGTACATATCCGTTGCGCATTAATTTAGCGGGAAATTTTAGTAAGAAGTACCTTTACGTATGAATAAAAGAATGAATACATAATATAAATATAAAAAAACCTTTAATAAAACCTATATAATTAATATAATAAATATAACATTTGTGTCATTAATTTTATGGCAATTATTTTATGGGGTAGAGTTCAACTAAAACTTTGGTGTTTCCACCGTAAGAGCGCTCACCTCAACCCGACTCTAACTCGATTTGAACCCTCGATGGAAACTTAGTCTATGACTAATGAAGTAAAAAGTGAGCCACAGAAGTGGAGAGGGGACCACGTGAGCTCAGTCGAACTGTGCGACAACCTCATTCTTTTGTCGAATTGACTATACATACTTTGCAGTGATAAAAAGTTAACCATTCATGTCAGTTAATGCTAGGTCCACTGATTGTTAAAGACTAATTAGTATGTGTTGTCATTATGTTAAAAATAACGAAACCTGTATTGTTTATTTCACTGTTTTATCTAGTATTGATTGTTAATGTGAACAATTATTACTTTTGTATTAATAATGCATCGGCAATAAAATATTCAAATATGAAATATTTTCACCAGTATTGAATAATAAAAAAAATTATCATTATTACGTAGTGCAAATTAAATATTATACATTATTATTACCATTTTTAGCGAAAAAGACTTCAGAATGGCAGGAAGAAGTTCTAGCAGGAATAGAACATCAGTTCCACGATCACCACAAGAACGCAAAGAAATATTGAGAAGAATAGCAACAAAAACTGAGTCACTTCGTAGGAGTTTAACCTATTATTTATAATAAAATACTGAATATTGTAACAGAAATAAATTTTGTGATCAATTTATATTTTACAGAGGAATCAATCAGTGATGACACTATACAAGTTTTAGAATCATGTATGGAAGAAGCAGATGATATTAACTGTGAAACAAGTTTAGAAGAAAAATGTACGTAGCACTAAAATATTTCTTGGTATTCTATTTTAAAATTTGTATTTATTTTTAGTACATAATCAAGAAGAAATATTATTAGATTCTGAAGTAATGAATATATCGTCTAAAGTCTTAAAACAATGTACTAGATCATTAACAAGGCACATGTCCTTATATGATCATAAAGAATTTGCTCAAAAACTGGTATGTACTGAAATGTTAGATGTACAATTTTTATTGTTATTATATTTAATTCTTCCTATAATGAGTATTGAATATTTGTTCAATTTAGGTCCAATATGTAAAACAGATTCCAAATGTCGAATCAGAAACACCAGATTGGTCACTTTTGGAATCACAAGTTACAAAATGTTTGAACATAACACCCCAATACAGCACATTATTAGGTTTTATAAAACTCTATTGATAAAATTTATGTAACTTGTTAAAGAAATCAGTTTTTATCCTTTTAATATATGCAGGTACTTTAGCACCATTAGAAAAAAAAGAAATTAATAGAAGAAAACCAGTAGTCAGAGAAGCTCAAGCAGAAATAAAAAGACCAGAAAATGTTGTAGCAGTTGACAAAGAAGAAGGAGATTTAGAACAAACTGTACGAATGAAAGATTTCATCTCGCGATATTATAAAACTCACCGTAAACCTGTTGATTTCTTTAAATTAGTTTTACATCCAAATGATTTTGGAAAAACTATTGAAAATATTTTACAAGTATCTTTTCTCGTTCGAGATGGTATGGTAAAACTAACAAAAGGTATTTTTATTTATAATTTGATCCCCAAAAAGTTTAATTCCTATTTTATCACGTTTATTTATTAATATTTTATATGTAGATGACTCAAATCTACTTGTTGTTCAACCATGTACTAAAGAAATGATAGCTCAAACAAAAACAGAGAAATATCCCAAAATCCAAAATGTAATTTACCTGAATATGGAACAATGGAAGGTTATATTATTATTTGTATATAAACTCTCTATAGAAACGCTACTTTTTGCTAAATGAGGTTATTTCATATTTCAGGTTCTAAAAAATACTTATCAGTTGAAAAAACCAATGATTGATTTCGATAATCCAACGTAACACACAATTGGAACATTCATATTAAAAGTTAATAGTATTATTTGATATCATTATATTGTAAAAATTCGAATTATTTTATTACCTAAGAAGAAATTTGTACGTCTATTTTCTTACTAAATTAAAAAAATGTTACACAAAAACGAAGGATTTTTCAATTATAAATTTATCCATGTTTTTGTAAAATTTTTTATTACCTCCTAACATATACTAAAATGTTTGAGTATATGTTATTATTTAACAATATGATTTACTGACTCGATTTATGAATACTGAAAACATCTGTGAACAAAATTGCATGAATTGATACAAGATTCTTCACAATGTTTTCAACAGTTTTGTATGCTTTTTCGTGAACTTTTGAATAACAAAAAAACAATCTTCTAATTCCCGTTCTGCAATTTTGTTCGAAAATCTCAATACTTCTGGATAAAAGCCAAAACCATAATAAACATAAAGGCTTGTATGATTAGAAGATCGTTTTAATTATTTTTTATGACACGATTACGATGATCGCGAGTTCATTTATTGTTTGGCCAATGATTCTGCCTTTGCTACTACTTCTTCGATTGGACCGACCATATAGAATGCAACTTCTGGCAAATGATCATATTCGCCACCTAAGATTTTTTGGAATCCTTTAATAGTTTCTTGTAATGGGACTAATTTGCCGGCATGACCGGTGAACACCTCAGCAACCTAAAACGAAAGATTCATTATTAAATTCAATATTGACCAAATTTAATATTAATAAATATTACATTTGCATACCTGGAATGGTTGAGACAAGAATCTCTGAATCTTACGCGCACGCGCTACAGTGAGTTTATCTTCTTCTGACAACTCGTCCATACCTAAGATGGCAATAATATCTTGTAGTGACTTGTAATCTTGCAGAATTTTCTGCACACCACGAGCGACATTGTAGTGCTCAGCACCGATGATATTAGGGTCCATGATACGAGAAGTAGAGTCGAGCGGGTCGACAGCGGGATAGATACCTAACATTATTTCACGACAAATTTAATTTTTCATACAATTTTCTTAGATTACTACTGAAAAAGTAAATATAACAATTATTTAACGTAATTACCAAGTTCGGCAATAGCTCGAGACAATACGGTAGTAGCGTCCAAGTGAGCGAAGGTGGTAGCGGGAGCGGGATCTGTCAAATCATCGGCAGGTACATAAATGGCCTGCACGGAGGTGATGGATCCCTTTTTCGTTGTCGTAATACGTTCCTGCATACTACCCATATCAGTTGCCAAAGTTGGCTGATAACCTACAGCCGATGGAATACGACCCAACAAAGCCGACACCTGAGGAAATAAATAGTTAATATAGATTTTTTATTTTTTAACGTTAATATATTGTAATAATGTTAAAACATACTTCCGAACCAGCTTGTGTAAACCTGAAAATGTTATCAATAAACAGCAACACATCTTGTCCCTCTTGATCACGGAAGTATTCAGCAACGGTTAAACCAGTTAAGGCAACACGAGCACGAGCGCCCGGCGGTTCGTTCATTTGTCCGTATACCAAAGCTACCTTGGAAGTCTTGTCTTTCAATGAAATTACGCCAGATTCAATCATTTCATGATACAAATCATTGCCTTCACGTGTTCTCTCACCCACACCAGCAAATACAGAATAACCACCATGAGCTTTGGCTACATTATTGATCAGTTCCATAATCAATACAGTTTTACCGACACCGGCGCCGCCAAACAGACCTATTATTTATTTCGGTAAATATTAATAATGTTGGTAAAATTAATCGTAAAATTCATCTATACAAAACAAATTTTACCAATTTTTCCTCCTTTGGCATAAGGAGCAAGGAGATCAACAACTTTAATTCCAGTTACCAGAATCTCCTGTTCTACAGACATTTCTACGAATTCAGGAGCATCTGCGTGAATGGGGGCAAGCTTATCAGTGGGAATGGGACCACGTTCATCAATTGGTTCACCGATGACATTAATAATGCGGCCCAAAGTTTCAGCACCAACAGGAATACGAATAGGATATCCGGAATCCAAAACAGTCTGGCCACGAACCAAACCCTCAGTACCTATATATTTATGTTTTAAATTTTAAACATTCTTTGTCATATATGTTTCACAAAAAGCAAAAACAAAATTACCATCCATAGCAATGGTGCGCACTGTATTCTCTCCCAAATGCTGAGCTACTTCAAGCACCAGCCTGGGAGAGCGGTTCTGAACTTCCAAGGCATTAAGAATTGGTGGCAGAGCATCATCAAATTGTACATCAACAACTGCACCAATGACAGCAACAATTTTTCCTTGTGCTCCAGCCTTACTTGCAGCAGCTTTAGCATAATCCCTGCCTAAAAATAAGTAATAATATAAAGAAACATTTAATATTCAATCTTGATTTACTTGAAGTACTTAAATTTCACAAATGATAAAACATAAGTAGAGTACCTATTAACAAAATATTAGATAATTCTTATGAAAGTAAGTTACATAATGCAAATTGAAGATACATTTCACAAAAAGAAAAATAAAATATAATATCCTTTTCCTACGTGAATGTTCATAATTAATAACATTTCATTTCAATAAAAATTATTAACCGTTTGTGTACAACCCTTAAAAAATATGTATCGAAAAGCACGTCTTGTCCATGAGACACGACTAATGTTAGCAATACGAAAAAGCAAAAGAAATTTTTTTAGATTATAAATATTAACGATAAAGAAAGACGAATAGAATTTAAACAACTTCATATCAATATTTATTGATTGTAATCATATTAGTAAATCATTTCGAAAAATGAAAAAATTAGTCGGTGACCTTAATGCCGCCATGTTGGCACAGTGGTATTACCACTGCAGCTCGCCTGAATAATACAGATTATATAATCAATAAAATACTTTTTCTTGATAATTGTGTGTTAATTTAAAAATAAAAATGTTAAATGAATGAAGATAGATGGACATAACGATAAGGCGTGTCTGCTACTAACGATTATATTGTAACCTTTCGATTACGATATAATGAAACACAGCACGAATTCTTGATATTACTAAAAAAATTTAACTAACGAGATTTGCGAGCTGCTTTCTATTTATAATACTCACTGTTCACTGACAATGCTCCTGAAATTTTAGCAACTTCATTTTGAAGAAGGGTGGGTTTGACGGCCCTAAGGGCACCAGCGGCAGCTTTCGACACGGCACTCAACATCTTGCCCGGCCAAGAAACGCGACCGGAATGGTTTCTAATTTGTATAGACCATACCCTGTACTACTTGCACATGTGCAGTGTGTAATTTTACCTATGCGCATATGTACTACGCAACTTCAGTCTCGGATCATTGTACCTTTCTATAAGCCGCGTTTTTAAAAAAAAGGGCGATCTTCCATCGTTCTAGAGATTAATCGCTTCATGAATACTCGATCTTTTTAGTCAATTATATAAGCCGAGATGCAAAATAGCTAATCTAACCTATATTTTGTATACACAACATATAGCACTATATAACTTTGTACGAAGCCGGGTAGTTAATTTTAGTTTAATTATATATTAATAAGAATTTAAAAAGTTTAAATACAAAATGCTTGAAAAACAACAAAAACGATATGAAGATGAGACGAATAAAATAGTCGAAGAGATCAATAAACCAATGAGAAAATTGCAGGTACTTCTAGTTTACAATTTATTTTCAGGTTATGTCGCAAAACATGCTTTTAATATTACATTTCAGCATGACATACTATATAAATTGCTCATGGCTTGCAAAAGGTAGAGTAAGTTATGAAAAATATTATTTAATTGTAGGGTGATGCATATAGATGTGCAGCAACTTGTTGTGATAATGAAAGTTATAATATGCAAAATGTAAAGGACTGTGTAAATAACTGCACAAATCCATGGGATAAAGCACAAAGATATGTTGGTGAAGAACTTGAAAGAGTGCAGGTACATTTCAGCTTTTGAAAGCTATAAATATTAGTTATAAATAGTATGTACAATTTGTATTATATTTTTAGAATCGATTGCAAAGATGTTTTATGGATTGCTACGATAAAATAAAAGATCAGGTTGGACCAAATCCATCACAGCGCGAGATGGATATGTACAAAGAGCAGATGGATAAATGCTCCACTAAATGTATAGATAGTTATTGTGAATTGTTACCTTCTTTAGAAAAAAGAATGAAAGAAGTTTTGTCCGAAAGGAAGTACGAATAGGAATAGTAATAAAATTAATACTTCCATACTGTACAAATATCAGATTTATTCAATACCAACTTGCCAATAGAGATGCAGCATTGCTACTAAATATGCAGTTGCTACTGCTACTAGATGCATTTTTTTCTTAAGTGCAAACCACTAGACTTTTTTTATGTAAATGAATTCTTCTTATCACCTGTACATAATTCTTCTCGTCTGTATATAAAAGCACGAAGATATAATTATTGAAAATATAATATTTTAAGAAATATTTCATATTTCACGTAAGAAAATTATTTCCATGTAAGATATTGTACTTGTACCGTCGCGCTAAAAAAGTTTTTATATGATGAAAAGATGATCCTTATTATTACATTTGACAGTTTAGGAATTTTACAATATACCTAGTTCCAATTTGTACAATAAAAAATGATATTTGAACAATGTGCAATTTAATTTATTTTCTTTCTTTCTATACGAATCTTATGTATAAGATAAAAAGAAGAATATAATGAATTTCATGATCATTGTATTTATTAACTAATACATTTGATGATCGCAATGGTACATTTTTGTTTCTTTTTATTTTCTCTCTCTCACGCTCTTTCTCTCTTCCTTTCTCTCGCTCTCTCTCGCTCGTTCAATGTAATAACAAATTCACTGTTGCAATTAATATCATTTCTTTATTGTTACAATAGACATTACGCTTATTGCACACTTGTTCATGATATAAAACCTTTCCACCACTCTCGCTCGATACAAAATAATCGGTCAAAAACTGTCGCGTAAATTCTGATCTAAACTGTACGAAACGTCTGCAAATAAATCGTTTAAATAATAATAATAATTTAAATATAAATATCAACGCAATATAATCCACTTGTTTTCTCGAGTGTTTGTGTACAAGTTTCTATGAAAAAGGTAGACGATTAGCTTTGGATCGTTTTCCATATTTTTTCTCCTATATGATTAAAAAGAACAAATGTTCGATTCTTGTATACAGTAGCTGCATAGATTGAGGTGGCTTTTTAGTGCACTTATTTTTGCGCAATGTTAATATATGAGCGAAGTGACTTTTGCAACAAGCGACTCTTCTTCGCCTGATATGCAAACTCGCAAAAAATTTCAACGAGAGTGATTACATATCGGCAACGACACAACTTCGCTAATTCCTCGTACGCGTGTCTCGAAAATTCCTAAATGTGACTCGTACGCGTGTTTTTATCGATTGTGGCTCAATGTCGTTAAGTGGAATGGCATGAGTTTTGGAAAAAATGTCAATTTTCTTTTCTCAGATGTCACGAGATTATATTATATATTAGTGAATGTTCGGGAAATATTTCGCACCTGGCGTCACACGGACTGAGAAAAACAAAAACAAAAAAGGAGGTCTATGCGTAACATTTTGTATCCCAATCAGTCAGACTCTTCGGACTAGATTTTATTTCTTTTTTAGTTAGATTGAGATTGACGCTTGATTTCTTTATCAAACGCTGGTCATAAATGTTGAATAACTGTAGGTACATCTGGTACAAAAAAAAAAAAGAATCGAAGGTACAAGGTAAATGTTAAGTTATGGCGCTGTGGCAACAAATTTGGCCAGTGCGTTTCGCCTAATACAAAAATTATTAATTTCCAATAGTTACGTTTTCATATTTCTGCTTGTTTTTTTTTCGTATTTTGCGTTTTCGTACAGAAATTGAACTAAATTCGATGACGGTACAAAACAAGATAAAGTACCTACGTGTTTTCTGCCTTTTCGATTTTGAGGTAATCATATTATCACAAAAATACAAATAACACGGTGTTCGTATTTTGTTTCCTTTTAAGAAATCACTGCGTTGTAATGTGCAAAATTAGAAAATATATTGGACAATGCTTTGAAACGGATGTAAAAAATTTTACAATACCTTCCAAGCGATAAACCTTTAGTAGAAATTCAACTAATAAGTTCGTAAGATAAAATAGAAATCACATTTGATTCACATTCAATTAAATTGCAATTCGTTCTAATCTCTTTCCCTCTCGAGGAGAGTTGAAAATCACTTTTCTAACACCAAGGACGGGTCTTCATTTTCTTCGTCTTTAAACACCCATCCTCGTTAAGTCCATAATGCGAAACATATTTAGAGTACTGGTCAAGTTTGCCGGAACATCCATTCGAAAAATTTCTAAATAGAACTGCGTTTCTTGGTCCTATCCTAAGCTATCACCGATTGTAAATTAGTTTTCTTCGATCTTCATTGCTTAATTAATATCGTGTTTAACTGTGCACCTGCAGAATCGAACCATCGCGAGTGTTCTATCAGCAGGTTCACACCGCACTATATTATAATGCTATGATCGCGGAGCAAAACAGTCGTTTTCGTAGCTGTGTGTGCAACTAGTTCATATGATCACCAGAATTCCTTTCGTGTATGCATGTGTATGTGTGTCTCTGCACTCTTATAGAATTAGATCTCAAGTTCTCAGAAAATAGCACATTGTTGTTGTTAACAATTCTGCATTGTATAATCGTAAGTGTTACGAACTCGCTGCGTTGCTTACCGTATCATCATCATCCTCATCATCATCATCATCATCGCAACTCGCCTAATATGGCTGACATAAGGGCTTGACCACGTCGTTACGAATTTTCTCTCTACTTACATTGATATTCAATTTGTACTTTGAAATTGAGTCAACTATTTATTTCCTTCGTGAGCTTTGGTCGAAATCATTTTCCATACAGTTGCGATCAAAATTTTGTTTCTCTCCGATTTATGAGAGAGTCAAGGTATCATTTGCGACTGTTACAATAAATGTTTAGTAATGAGAGCGTACTTTAAAAATCAACTAAACAGGTAGCTGGTAATACATAAATATTTTAAGGTGAATATTTTTAATACATTGAATGGTATTGATTTCGATCAAAGCACAATTAAACCTGCTTAAAAAAACTCGTACGTCGTGGACAAACCTTTCATTTCAATTAAATAATAACTTTGTTAGCCAACCTAGCTAATCTGCGTTTAAAAAAAAAGGAAAGAAAGATCAAACAACTAGGAAGAAAGACTACTAATTTTATAGAAGGGAGTGCGGACTTTTATGTAGAGTTAGTAAGTATCTTCGAAGTCTTCGAATACGTGAGAATCATCGATAATCCAAATTTTCATTTGTCCTGTTTGGCACTTGAGCTCTAAACACGTTACTCTTTCGTTTTTCTAAATTAGCGAAAGACATTTTAAATCTAATGATTTTAATAGTGTCGAGAAGAAATCTTTTTAAGTTCTTCAATGATTTGTTATCATTACAATTTTCTATAAAACACGAAAGAAAAAACTGAGATTAATATTCCTATGTAAGTTTTTTAATATCTAGTATCAATAAACACCATGGTCATATTTAGCTTCACAGTTTACGAATGACTCTCACGCATTCCTCAGGCTCCTATCACGTACATATTTTTTTTTCTCTAAACATTAGGGCTACCCATAATGATTACGTTACAAAGTAGAGACTACTTTGGAAAACAGATCTTGCTAGAGCATTGATAACATCAGAAGGGTAAAAAAAAAGAACGTCGAATAGAAATTCATAGTCGTGTAGAAAGTAACAGAAATAACGTGAGCAGCCCCTTTAACTCTTCAGCCTGCCTCGCAGAAAACCAAGTCACGCTTAAAAAAGGCTTAGAACACACTTTGAATATCGATCCCTGTAGGCGAATGAGACAACTCGCATCCACTGGTGCACGTATTCACCCGTTAACTCTAAAAAGAAGAACAACACCGTGTTCCCTACTCTCGCTCGCGTTCAATAAACCCTTCTATTTAAATAAAAAAGAAATAAATGGAATATCTCGTGCGTTTCGAAATATATGTTAGCCGTTTCAGCTGCGGGCAGATCGAGCAAAACGTACTTGAAAATTGTCTTATACCGCGTGGCAAGAATTGATCATTTTGCAAAGAAGTTTTGTAATGTTTAGAATATTAATATTTCACTGAATATATCGTGTGACAATCGCATAATTTGGAAAGAATATTTTATTCCTCGAGTAATCATCGTCATCTTAAATTCTATTTTAAGTACGTCAAAAGATTCATGTATCGCTCGATCATCTCGTGAAGACATCATCAATGATTGATTTACTATCAGAGACCATTATGGTTCCTAAAACTTTCACGCATCTTTGTTGTAGAAAATACGGTCTCTCTTACTCTCTTACTTTCTCTCTTCCTCTCTTGCTCTCTTAGTTAAATTTAAATAGCAGTTTTGAAATTGTATAAACGAGCGTCGCACGAGTCTTCCCTTCTTAAATGTTCTTCTTAAATCTCAGTATATTCGATGCGCTGACCAATTGCCAAAATCTTGAAATTACAATATTTTCTTTTATAAATTAGTCGATTACATTGTCTATCTATCTCGTGGAAAAAATAACAAATTAACGAAAAAGTACTATGCTTTGAAACGTTACGAATTTCGCGTAAGAAAATGCCATTTTCGCGATCGGTCTGCGCACAAGATATACTAATCAATAGCTGCTCCCAATGTGAAAATAGCAGAACTCTAACACAAATCAGATTTGCCTACATGGATCATCTTGACAACAATGCCTTTGTTTGGACTTAGTGTTTCACAAAAGGTTTATAATGTTTACCAAAAGGTGTAACCGCCTTCTGTTCCTCCTCCTAGGAAGTTTTTCTTTTGTGATATAGCCACACTGTGGCTCGCCATTGCAGCTAATTGGGCCGCATTTGGAACTGTTGGTGGAGGTGGCAAGACAGGTTGTGAGATACTATCGAATCGATTGGTAGCATCGAACCCGTTCTTTAAACAAATACAAATCAATATATTAGAGCATAACAAAGAAGAAGAGGAAGATTAATATAAACAAAACTTACAGGCATCACAAGTGTAGGAGGTCTAACTGGAGGCTGCATTGCCGCTGCCGGGTAATATGCTGCAGCTGCAGCCAACGGTGGGTAATATTGCAATGGACCATAGGTAGGATAACCCGCTAAGTATCCTGGATATCCTTGACCATACATAGGTTGATACATCTACGAATTTTCATAAATATTTATTAGTATTATATTTTACACAGATATTATATTGTTATGATAGAAGTTGTAACAATAGAAAATTTTTAAAACCAGCTAGTGTAAAAAAAATCTTTACCATCGGATGGGTAAGAGTTTGATCATACGTAGGCGGCGGTGGACCTTGCGCTGCATAAAGCTGTGGTTGATTAGGAAATACTCCATACGGTGCGGCACCTGCAACTAATGTTAAAGACTCGAATGTAATCCGGCTCGTTTGGGACATCCTTGTAAAAAAAAACGGCACATCGAAACACATTGAGATGATTCTCTTACGTGTACCACCGTAGGTAGCAGGTTGTGCCGGCGCAGGGACAAAACCTGTTGGTGGATGAGGTGTCACCGGGTACGCTGTAACACATGCAATGCAAAATGCAGGTCCGTTCATTTTGTTGGCCGCAGGTTCGATCTAAGCCAACGGTACGTGGTACCACTGCCAGAAAGGACAGACGACAACGCGTTTCAACCATAATATAGGAAACGTTGGTAACATTTAATTATAATATTAACTCGCAACATTGATTTCTCGGTTAAGTTTTCTTCGCTGTTTCCCAATTATCGTATAACTCGTGTTGTCTATATCGAGACATATTTGACGCGTGTCTTTTTACTTGACATCTTGATAACGTTTTAATTATTGGCACCTTGTACGAATATATTTAGACCATGCATCAAATATACCTCGATTTAATAAGTGGTACTCCCACACCCAAGTATATCTTACACATGACATACACCGTTTTTATCAAGGTACTATTCAAAGCTCAAACAATGTTAGTCACTAAATAATGGTGAAAAGAAATAACCGAAAAAACGGTATTGTTGCCTTCTTGTTACCCTTCGAGTTTACACTGCAGTTCACAATCGTTTGATTCATACAAGTGGAGAACAAGAATAACAATCGGAACGTGTCAAAAATAGAAACAAAAAACTAACAATGCATAGCCGCGTAAACTTCAATGGCACAAGACAGGCTTTTTTTAATAATAAAAGACATTTACGACTCTTTCGAAAATCCATTTTCCATACTCGATATTATTCTCTGTTAATTATCATAGACATACCGTGAAAGATATTTGTTTTTTTTTTTAATTGAGGATTCTCGATAGAAACGTAATTGAAAGCGAGACACTTGAGAATAGCTTAGCAAACTATGTTTCTGACATCTTAACCGTGAATAAATGAACAACAGCACGTGTATTATATATATATTTGGAATCAGACATGGAGCAATCTGTGGTACATCTTGTCACTAAGTTCAATGGAAAAGTCTCGTTTTATTATTATTACTTTTCTTTCATTTTCAAAGAAAAAAATGTAAAAGCTCGTCGAATTCTTTTCACCTTCTTAAAACGTAAATACACAGAAAAATTGTACAAACAAGTCTAACAATACAGCCACTACGGATGATGTGTAAATGTTAGACAGTCAAAAGAATCGTTAGGCAGTCTGTCAGGAATACTGTAGGTAGAAAAAGATAGATAAAAAAAAAACAGAAGGGTAGAAAATGAAAAACTATTCTCAAATGAAAACTCGCGTTAATTGACCTACCTTTTACTTCTAAAACTAAGATATAATACGAAACCGATCTCAAAGCAAATAGCGTTACGCAATCAAAGGTAAAAGCCAAATACATTCGTCTAAATTAGTCGAACCTTAAGAGATTCATCAACTGACCACTCTATGCATTGTAAAAATCTTGCGAGTTAAAAAATTCGATTTCGAAAATTATAAACTCCAGGCTGATTCTACTTTATGATACAAAGTGTACAATAAAAATTGCAAACGATCTTCGGACTTAGTCGTGAAGCATCCAGGTTCGACCACGTCAAAAAAACAAAAAATAACAATAAAAAAGAAGGAAATGAAAAATGAAAAAACAGCTAAAAAATAAAGCCATGGGTTAAGAAGGGTAAACGGTTTGTTCCATGTAAAAGTGATGTTAAAAAAATAAAAAACAAGCCCAGTTAATTAAAATTCGATGAAGTAAGACTTAATATTCCAATTCAGTTACGTTTTTGCGTTCGACTAATCGAAGAGAAATTATTCATTGTATCGGGCGGTGAATGTGTAATTTATACAATGAGTACAGTGGTACGATGAAAAAAAAAAGAGGTATACATATATATATATGTACACATACACGTTCGTAATACAATAATATGTGTATACGTACGTATATATACGTATACGTATAACAAGTTCCACACATTCAAAAAAAGTTGTGACAAGATTCAGCAAACCACAAATTTCTGCAAATATCCATAAATAAAGGTCAAACATGATTAAAAGTTCTTTGTAATTGCGTAATATATATATATATTATTAATTGGGCGCTGCTCGCTTAATAACACGTTTGAGCAAATTTATGTTGTCGTTTAACATGATTCAATTGCTCATTCCTTCGCTAGTAATCGCAAGAACGCCCAATTTCCTTTTTTCGTTCTTTTTTTCTTTTTTTTTTTTAAGTAGAGACTAAATTACACTCTGTGCTATTGCTATTTAATATACGCAAACCGCATTCGCTCTAACTGCAAGGAAGGATGAAGCAAGCTACGTGTTTCATTCTTTCTTTTTTTAAGTCGGTAAGTTGTCTAGCCAATTCAATGAATTTAATATTAAGATAGATTCAGCCTCGCGTATGATAAATAGCTCAAGCTCAGCGACAGTGGATGGACATGTTGTACTCTAACATAGACGTCAGCCCACACCAAATTGTCCATGATAATTGAATACTGGTCCAACGCGTGGAAACGAGCACTCTTCTCGAATTACGTTATATTACTCTTTATCATCTCGTATAGAAGTGTAGGATGGTACCGTTTCCGGTTTGTTGGAAACCGTCCTCAACGCGGAGGCTCATGAATCCTCGTTGTTTGAATCAGTATTCAATCGAATAATAAATTCATGTGTCAGTGCCACGGTGCAAACAATCATCGAATCCAATAACAATTGATCAATAGTATTTATATGCTAGTACGAGTTTATTGAGTAATTTTTTTTCAACAATGTGTTCTCTGCTTATTTCTCTGTCTCTCTCTCTTTGTGTTCTTTCTCCTAATTTCTTTCTTTTTTCCCCAACTCTCTGTCTCTGCCTCCCTCCTTTTTAGCTCCTTTCCTTTCTCTCGTACACGCACGCACTCCTTTCATCTTTCTCTCTTTTGTCTTATTTTCGAAACCTAATTTTGTCCCAATGAGCATGTTCGACCTAATTTGATGAATGATCTCGCGCAAGAAACTGGGCTAATCATGCCTCTGTTCTTGTTCCTTTCTTTCATTACTTTGCGGCCCATCTAGGATTGCTAGACGATTTTTATTCATCAAAATGCTTCGGTGGAACAGTCTTCGTACCTCGAGCAACCCAGTGACCACAGGATGTGATCGACGGTGTCTTTCTACAAATGTGAAAAGCTTTTGTTGAACTTTCTTTACGTGATTGGTTGGAAAAAGTGATTGATCACTTCATTTTAATATACTATATTACATAGTTTGAAATCTGATCATTTTGTAGCATAGACTATATAGAAACTTTTGAACATAATTCTTTCGATTACTTTTTTAATATGAAACATATAATATTAAAAGTATCATTGAATCCATAAACATATGACCACTGCGTTACTTTCAATTTCCTCATTTAATTTATTTAATTAATCTTTTAAAATAAAAAAGGAATGACTATGTAACATGTACTTCCAAATAATAGAAGGATATTTAACAGAGTTATTTCTTTTACAATGAAAGTAAATGAAGAACTAAGGACACGATGTTTAATATTTTTACAATATGTGCTTGATTTTTATCTATACAATGAAATTTTTAAACCAAAAATCACGTTTCTTTATTTGATGATTATTACTCTCGAAGACATCCAGACCACTGGGTTTCAGAAAGTAGAGACACTTTTGTATTCTAAGATACCTCTCGATTAATATCATTGAATACTATGTATCTCATATTTTAAGCTCACTATTAACAGTATACATGATATACTCTGCCAAACATGCACATGCAGTTCAAAAATGCTAGAGAGATTCCTATGACCATTTTCTTCTTTTTCTTTCTTCCATTTTAAGATAACAATTATGGTTCAATCAAACCAGTTTTAAAGTAATTTTTGAAATATTTTCATTTCATTGATGTTAATGAATTCGATGGCTCGTTCACGACAGGAATATATAGGAACGTCTCTGTAAGTCTAAGACTTTCACACGAGATTAATCAGCTGCACGACGACCAAAAAACGACTAAAACAATTCATTCGATTTCTTCTCAATATTTGAAAGTCAATCTGGACTAATTAATCGAATGTTAAATAATATGTTTGTAAACAGAAAGATCACAGAATTTGACAAATTGAGAAGACAACGAGACGAATAAACGTAAAAAAGATTAAGAATTATGGAAAAATCTATGTAACAACATATCATAAACATGCAATTGTAAACGTGACGTGCAAGTTACTTTCTCAATTGAACTTCATTTTCATTCTTTGGTCATTGCTTCACCAAAAAATATTACATTGATAAATTATTAATTGTGGCACAAGAAACTCGCACGTCCCAATGTTTCTCTAGCAAACACATTCCAAGCATGCAAAACTAAAATACAAATACATGAAAAATGATCAAAGCTACATATACATGTATACACTTGCACATCAAAATTAACTAATTATGTGAACAAACATAAATCTTTTCAGAACTTTTCTTTCTGTATTAAGAGTTTCAAAGAGCAACAATCAAATTTGCAAAACAAGTTTCATCATCATCATCATTCTCTTGCCCCAGTGCGTGAACTATATTTCATGTTTATCTTTTTCTTTCTTTGTTTGCTATCATATTACTATTAATTATTAGTTTCTTTCTGAATAAGTTAAAAATTAGTCAAAGAATGTCTTGTATGTAAGTGTACATATGTATATGTATATACGCTATACTTTATATATTCTTTTTCAATTAAACAGAAATAAATCAATATACTACTATTCTTTGAAAGAAGAGGTATATTTATCATTATATATCAACTACACATACGTGCAAAATTGACCACAAGTTTCATTTATTAAAACAAGTTTGGCTTGATCTTGATTTGCTTTGCATCGTAATTTTAAACTGAAAAATTAGGTATTTGCTCATGTAACTTAATAAATGACGTGAAGAAAGATCAAGTAACATTTTCTTTTTTTCTTCATAATTAATTTTGTTACGCTAAGAAACTTGTAGCCCAAATTGAAGCAACATGCACTATTGTTAAAAGTGAGCTACCAAGTTTCTATTGAGTAGAAGTATTATAAATACGCTGAGCTTAAATACAGCATTCGTGTCCACCTCACTAACCCACTGTATGATCTTGTAACATATTGTTTTCTTAGGAGAAATTAATTTATTTGTGGAAGAAAAAAGAAAAAATGATCAATGATATTTGCTGTTCTTAAATGTTAAATTTTCCTTCTTGAAAACTTGTTACAAGAGATACAGTGAGTGTTAAAACAGAAAAAGAATATGAAATAAGAAAAGAAAAAAAAAAGAAAAAAAAAGATAGAAAAAATGAGAAGAAAATAAGCAATCAGCCAATACCACGGTATCAGTACAAAGTAATTTGTACACCCATATCAATATCTTACGTTCATATTGATTTGGATATATAGCAGCCGACGTCTCCAATTCAAAAAGTACAAGTGCCGATCGATAAATTCATTTTTCAAAGAACTTACAAATACCATCGATGATCCTAAGTGATTTCTGTTTACGGGATTTTCCTAATGTCGCGAGGCGATAGCTTCATTCGAGAAGCCCGCCATTAAATTCTACGCGGCGATTGGAAGTTACTTGATTTGTCATATCTTCGATCGCACACACAAGGAGAGCACTAGTGCATTTTATTACTTCCGCTTTAGACAGGCAGATTTTCAACGAGCGATCTCTTTTTTTTAACTCGTGGATCGGATTTCTTCCGATGATTTTTTTAATACTTGCCGATTGCATGTAACATAACCAACGCAGGCCTGGAAAAACGAGGAAACTAGCATTAGTCTGTCGAATCAATTTAATTAACGTGGCATCTCCCAGTATTACTTCGCGATAATTTTTTATTTTGCTCTTTTACAAACCAGTCAATCCACGATTTCTTGTGGGGCTAGAATCTGCCAAATGGGGCGTCAAAATTTGATCGCTCGAATGACCGGAAGGTGGGAAACAAAGGCAATTCGATGTTCGAGATTTTCATCTTTTTTTTTTCTTCACTTTTTGAATCGGGAGGCGCACGGTGCGTCTATATCTTCATATATATATTTGGTGGAATATATATATATATATGTGTGTGTGTGTATGTGTGTGTGTATACGTAATATATGTTGGTATATAAACACGTAGTGAGTTAGGTAATATATAGAGTAAGGTGAGGTTAGATACGTGGCTTAGGCTGCGCGAACGCCGGTCTCCGAAGCTCCACCTACTGACTGGGATCAAATCGTCTTTGTAATGGTCCGCTGCAAACATATTGACAGCCACAACTGTAGGCGCTATCCTTCAGTTTTTTAGCGGCTATACCGTCACGGTAATACGCTCGCAGATTTGCACCAGTATTATCCTTCGATTTTTGTATTAACTCACGTTGTATCACTAACAGTGTATACTGATTTACTTACAGACTAAACTTTTACACAGATCCCTTAAACGCTACGCTCTGTAATCATACATCTGCCATAGGAACAGAGCGGACCGAATTAGGAATAATCACATAAGTGTCCAAGCTGTTAATTAAGTATGACAGTAGATTACTATGAAATCGTGTAGTGGTCCAAGCTATACGTCAAGTACTTCCATACGGACGTATAAAATTTAAGAAAATCAGTGATAATATTAACTACATACCTCACTCGTACGAGTTATTAACCAACTTCTTTATGAAAGTTTTAATTGAACGTTGCTAAATATGTACCAATTAATTTTGTTACCTCAAAATTAGAGATCATAACAAATACAATTCAAAACTCATTTCTATTAGATGCAGTGAAGTATCAATTAGTGTGATAATATTTTAACTATAAAGTTTTTATAATTTAATATTATTATCTCAAATTTTTTTAAAGAACTTCTTTCTTTCATGCACAATAAACTTTAATTTATATAAATTGTCAAAATAACAATTACATTTTAAGGAAACTACTTACAAACATCTGAAGGTTATAAATAAACATAATTATTGATCATTTTTTTGTTCGTAATCACTGCCATAAAGTACAATAAAATATAAATGGCTTCCAGGAATATTCTGTGATTATATCAATGTCATTCAAATTTTACAATTCTTAACTTGAAATATATGTGCATATTTTCTTTTTATATTGTGGTATAAATTAAAATTAATTTAATCAGTTTTTTACAACTAAAATGTTTTATTATAACTTGATTATATCATAAAAATATACGAGTATTTTATTTGTTTATTTTTACATATAAAAAAAATATGATTTGAGCATCAATAATTAAAATATCCTGCATTTTATTCATTAATATTATTAATATTTTTGAATATTATATAACATTTAACAAAAGATCTGTCAGTACTTTTATTGCTTAAAGTACACCTGTTTTGAAATGAAAGGAAATTAGAAAATATAATGAAACAGTAGGATTTTCTCTGTCGTTCAATAAATTTTTTCAAACACATAAAGTACATCACAGTTCGTACATATAGATATATGTAATACACTCTTAAGTATGCTACATCAGTGTTGTAATGTAAAATAGACAACTGAAGTTACATATAACACAAAACTAACAATACTAATATTATTGTAAAAAAGTACGATGTTTTAAGTGATATATGTCTCTTAGTATAGAGTCATCGCGAAAATTATTCAAGACGAACTCTGGAAGCCATTTTGTATTTCCCACACACAATGCGGTATTGATTTATCTGTCACTGGGCAGAAATTCAAGTTTTCTTCATCGTATTAAGACGAGAGTTCATTTGTGTGATAGAGATACGAGCTTTGATCGAATTTAAACGTACACCATTTTTCACGAGTATCGGATAGCATCGCTAACAGAAAAAAACTTCGTCGTACGAGTGACAAGTGGTATTCCCGACTCGAAAACACGAAATATTCTTAACGTGTGTAACACATATTGCTAATTGAATTACGCGATTACGGTGTATAGTTACCTTTCTTGTCGGTCATTATTGCTTAAAGTTTCACAAATTCTAGAAAAAAATACGTTATTCCTAATTAAATCACCGATTTAAGTTACAATACTGAAGAGACGAGCAACGGCTGTGACACTTGACGGACACTAGCGCCCTTTATTGAGCTTGCCCCTGGCTCTCCCGATGCTTTGATCCTATTGGTCCAAAATTTTACGTGCCATTATCCAATGAGTGTAAAGCATCTGATCTACAATTGGGCGCCAAAAATTTGATACATTCAACTGCAAAAAAATATTTAAACAATTCTTCAAAACATTTCAAAATTATTTAAATAAAAAAAAGGGGAGTTAATTCGCAAGCTATTAGAAAGACCTATATTTAATCCATTTTGTTTTAGAATATCTGTTTTTTCATAATTTTTCTACTTTACTAAAATATTATAATAATAAAAAAAAAAACATTAAATATAAAATTTAATGTTTCTATTATATTTCTACAGAAAAAATTCGCGGAAGATTTATAATTATATTTTTATACTTATTCAAATAAGTATATAAAAGTGCGTCGCCTGCATTGAGAAGTCAACCAGAATCAGTGTGACTACGATAGTATATAACCATTGTATGTAAATTGAATACATGTGTATTCAGAAAAGTAAGTTACTACATTACACTGTGTAATGCATGTTTATTTTGTTTATGTATGATAAGTAAATTTTTAAAAATGCATTAAAACACATTTTACTTAATATTCAATAATTCCATGGATTGTAATATTGTGTATTCTATTGTCATGTTCGACGTTTAATATAACATTATTAATTTTTATTTTAAGCAAATATCATAGGAAATTATTCTCTACGTAATAATTCATAATTTATACATTATTATTTATTTAATATTTAAATTTTAATTACATAACCTCAACAATTGCAAGATTTTTTACTGTTTCCTACAGAAAATTCAAAAAATTTATCATGGCTCATGACAAAAAAACCGTAAGACGAAGTCGATCACGCGAACGTGATCGCGAACGTGAACGGGATCGAGAACGACGAGAAAGAAGGCGGTCAAGAAGTCGATCAAAAGATCGTAAAAAGGATAGAAAACGATCAAGATCGCGAGAGCGATCTAGAGAAAGAGATAGATCCCGCGAAAAAGATAGGGATAGATCAAAAGAAAGACGAGAGTCTAAAGATAAATCAAAAGATGATAAGAAACGTAAACCAAGTCCTATATTTGTATTGGATGATGAAAATAAAAAAGAGAATAAGAATGAACAAAAGAAGGAAGAAGAGGAAGAAGATAAAACAAAATTTCTTCCTAAGAAAGAACCACTTAGTTTGGAAGAATTGCTAGCCAAAAAGAAAGCAGAAGAAGAAGCACGTGCTAAACCAAAGTTTTTAACTAAAGAACAACGTGCTGCTTTAGCATTACAAAAGCGACAAGAAGAAGTTGAAGCTATGAGAAAGCAACAAGAGGAAGCACGTAAATCTTTCTTTCACACTGAAAATACTGGGAAGGATAGAGAATGGGATGATAGAGATAGGTACATAATGTTTAAATACAATAATTAAATTTACATAATGCAATTATATTTATATAATGATTTATGGTATAGGCGTAGAGAAGGTCAACGTGCAAGGGAAGAGGAAATTAAAGACAAGGATAAAGAGAAAGAAGTTGAAGCTATTAAGGAGCGTTATTTAGGGTTGGTGAAGAAAAAACGACGTGTTAGAAGATTGAATGATAGAAAATTTGTATTTGATTGGGATACTTCAGAGGATACATCTGTTGATTATAACAGTATTTATAAGGAAAGACATCAAGTTCAATTCTTTGGTAGAGGAAATCTTGCTGGAATAGACATCAAAGCACAAAAAAGAGATCAAAGTAAATTCTATGGAGAACTTCTAGAAAAAAGAAGAACAGAAGCAGAAAAAGAACAAGAGAAGTATGTTATCTGTGTTTATTGATGTAAATATACATTTTATATTTGTTTTACATCTATATTTCTTCATGTTTGTATAGAATGAGATTAAAAAAAGTAAAACGAAAAGAAGAGAAGCAGAAGTGGGATGATAGGCATTGGTCAGAGAAAGCATTACACGAAATGACAGAAAGAGACTGGCGTATATTTAGAGAAGACTATAATATTACGATAAAAGGCGGACGTATTCCCGATCCAATTAGATCCTGGAAAGAGTCAGGATTTCCAAAAGAAATTCTTGATATTATTGATAAAGTAGGATACAAAGATCTAACACCTATTCAAAGACAAGCTATTCCTATTGGATTGCAAAATCGCGATATTATTGGTGTCGCTGAAACTGGATCAGGAAAAACTCTAGCATTCTTAATTCCTCTGTTATTATGGATTACGAGTTTACCAAAAATTGAAAGATTAGAAGAAGCAGATCAGGGTCCTTACAGTATAATTTTAGCACCAACTCGGTAAATTAAGCATTTGTAAATTTTGTTAATTACTTTAATTAATTACGTTAAAATTCATACCAAATATTTTAGTGAATTGGCTCAACAAATTGAAGAGGAAACAAATAAATTTGGACAACCGCTAGGTATAAGAACAGTAGTCGTCGTGGGTGGACTTTCTAGAGAAGAACAAGGATTTAGATTAAGAATGGGTTGTGAGGTATTAACTTAAACACTGAAGAAATAATGAATGAACATTATTTCTTTTTTATATTTAAAATGTCTTACTATTACTACAGATTGTAATAGCCACACCAGGACGTTTGATAGATGTATTAGAAAATCGATACTTGGTTTTAAATCAGTGTACATATATTGTACTGGATGAAGCTGATAGAATGATAGATATGGGTTTTGAACCAGGTAAGTTCCTCAATACGTATTTCTTTATATATTAGAACATTGATTTTCACGTGAATTTTCAGACGTACAAAAGATTTTGGAATATATGCCAGTTACAAATTTAAAACCGGACAATGAAGATGCTGAAAATGAAGAAAAACTATTAGCCAATTATAATACGAAAAAGAAATACAGACAAGTATGAAATAATAGTTCATCCTATAGTTTCTATTATGTAATTATATTTATCGATTATTATTTCTTTTGTTTCCAGACTGTAATGTTTACAGCTACTATGCCTCCTGCGGTAGAACGACTGGCTAGAACTTACTTAAGACGACCCGCTGTTGTATACATTGGTAGCGTAGGAAAACCGACAGAAAGAACAGAACAAATAGTTCATATAATGGGAGAAGCTGATAAACGCAAGAAACTGATGGAAATACTTAGCAGAGGGGTTGAACCACCAGTTATTATATTCGTCAATCAAAAGAAGGGTGCTGATGTTCTTGCAAGAGGTCTGGAGAAACTAGGCGTAAGTTTATTTTTACATTATTATACATCACGTATCACGTTATTTTACTTATTTAAAATTGGATTATATAATATGGCATTTCTTATTGTTTTTCAGTATAATGCGTGTACCCTTCATGGTGGTAAAGGACAAGAACAAAGAGAATATGCACTTGCATCCCTTAAGAGTGGAAGTAAAGATATTTTAGTAGCTACCGATGTCGCAGGACGTGGTATCGATATTAAAGATGTGTCTATGGTTATTAATTATGATATGGCAAAAACTATAGAAGGTAAACAGGCGGTATATATTACCAAAAAAAAAAATGGCAAATTACTTACGAAAACTTTTTACCTATTTGTAGATTATACACATCGTATTGGAAGAACCGGTCGTGCAGGCAAAGCTGGACTTGCTATTTCGTTCTGTACGAAAGATGATAGTCATCTATTCTATGATTTGAAGCAAACAATTCTTGCGAGTCCAATATCTACTTGTCCTCCTGAATTATTGAATCATCCTGACGCTCAACATAAACCTGGTACAGTAGTTACGAAAAAACGTCGGGAAGAGAAAATATTTGCCTAAGAATACGAACATTTAATTGTAAAGTTCGCTTATATAAGTAACACGTATGTACATTTGTGTCTTACACAAGTACATATTTTTTATAGTATAATAATTGATTATAAGAAATGTTAGCATGTATGTGAAATAAAGTAAAAAGTAATGTAAATATATGAATACAATAAGAATTTAATGAAAAGAAACGATTTTATTTCTGCCAACATTTCTGTAAATATGTAATGTGTTTCGTTCTGAAATATTTATTTCCGCTTCACAAAATTTTAACAAAGGTACTCATTGCTCACTTCGCAAAAATAAAAACATTCAAGGAACTGGAGCGGGTGGAAGAGTATAATCTCCATCAACTTTGCATTCTTCTTCCCAATTATCCGGTATCATGGGTTTCAAAAGTTGTATAAATTTTTCAAGAGGACAAATCGTCGTACATCCAGGAATAGTTAAGCGATATGGTTCACGTTCAGTCGTATTTCTTAGAAGAACCTAAGAAAAAATTGCAATGATTATATTTGCACAGTATTAAATGTTAAATCAGTGCGCAAATTTTTACCTGAACATTCCATCCATGACAATCTTCATGCAATTCAATCATTGTCATGATATTATAATTCGGTACTTGATTATTCCATACTTGCATAACATCTAACAAACTTACAATGGAACTGTCATGACCAATATACATAAACATTTTTCTTTCTTCAGGTTCTAAAGTGTTCTCTTTTTTAGCCAACATATCAGTAACAATTTTTTTAAGAAACGGCCCTCCTTTGAGCCTTTTTAAAGGATCATTATACACATTAAGTTGAAGGTCATATAACATCAATGGTAGCATTTTATCAGGATAATAATCATTAGTCCATTCTGGCAGAATTAATTTCATATGTTTCTAAAATATTTTAAACACTGATAAAACATATCTTTTTCAGTTTTTAATAAAAGTTGACACGAACCTCTGCTGTTAGCGTTGAATAAAGTGAACCTACATCGCCTGGGGTTGAAATTGCCATACCCGTTAAGTTTGTCAATTCTTCGTATAGTTGTTTATTATCTTCTTGAACTTGTTGAACTTCCGGTAAATTATTAATTGTTTGCCGTAATTTAGTATATTTTGGACACGTATCCCATATTAGCATCAACTGTAAATATATGCTGGTTAGTAAAAACATAAGATCAAAATTGTGTATCTCGACAAATAAAACATATACCGTATCTTCTGAACGTGGTTGATAAAATAAAGTAACAGGTTGCCAAGGTAGATCAGGTTTAAAGGATTGCTGCTTAGTTGGTTTCCATAAAGCTGCTGCTTCTAACATTGCAGACATTTTTGTACGATCAACCGCAGTGCATTGTAAATAAAATATGTTAGGGCTGTACGTTGGACCCAGGAAATGACCATAACGTTTTCGTAAAAAAAGTCCTTGATTATACTGATTTCTTCGTCCTTCCTACATAAAAATATGTATGCATTCATTATTCAATCAGATAATATTGGCTAAGTTATTACAGTGTATTAAAATTGATGTTATTACATTTGTTAGTTGACCCCAACCATAAGGTTCCATTGTGTTATTAAGGTAAGGATCATTTGGATAAGTATCCTGTGGTGCTCTGTCACCATGCCGCATTACCTACAAATTAAATTTTGTGGTCATTAAAAACGCAAAATGCTAACTATTGAAATAAACAATAGATATCTAATAATCAGAAAATTAGTATCAAAGAAAGACTAAAGATTCTATTATATCTCTTTTATTGATTATGTGATAACGTTAATCCAGCTGCAAATACCCTCAATATACGTGCACGAAGATTCGAGTAAAAAAAATGGAATGTAACGACATCGAGTAATAAAGTTACAATTATTTTTAGCTATTTATGCTTACCACTGTAACTAATCGAAGTGAATTACTTTTTTCATGTTTGTCATCATTTCTTTCAGTGTCTTCAGTTTGTGCAGGTGATTCTAAAAATAATAAAAATATGATATTTCAAACTGTAACATTGTAAGGAAGATGTTGAAACTGGATACTCCAATATTAGAAATAATATTATGATGAAAATTTTTACTTTAGAATCGGAAATAACAATTACCTAAAGTTAGATGAATAATAGCCATGAAAATTGAAAGTTTAAAAGTAATCATCATTGAAAACTGTTATGAAAAAGTTTGTTGGAAATTGTCTTCTATTTACCAATGAACTCCCACGAGTTGTTACACGTGCAGAACGAGCACGTACTGGGACTTGAAGAACTGTCAGTAGATAAATCCTATGTCCCCACCATTTGAAAAGCAGTATTATACAATGTTACTTGCAATAAAGCTATATATTGTATACTCAAGTGCCCAAGATTTATTCCATTAATGTTGATTGTACTGCCGGATGAAAATAAAAGATATACTCTCTGTAAATAGATCAATTTTTGTGATCTATGCGTCGCGCGAATCTGAAAAAATACATAATTAAAATATTAATAAGAACCCCTAAATCAATTTCTAGTTTGATTAATAAATATTTTATACAACTTATTCGAAGTATTATTTTATGTAATTTTATTCGATCAAATTTTAATGAGTAATCTCTTTTCCGTCCAAATTTTAACGTTTCATAATGCCAATGTAATGTATTCATTTCAAAGAACTATAAAGGAAACGGCGACTGCGGAGTTATGTAATAAGCTTATTGACTTGCAATAATTTTTATCAACTACATTATTTTAAATTTATTACCTAATTGTTTTTTGATTTATCTTCTTTTTTAAACGCTGTTCTTTAATTACTATTCTATCGATTTCAATGACACAGGAAATTTTTAACGTTATCAAGTCATCGTACGAAATCCAGTGAAAATTATAGTCCCCGATCATTGAATTCGTATTTGTGGAACGATATATATTGAAAAGTGATTCCGCGAAGAAAGAGACAGATGTTCAAATCGCCATCGAGTACTAACTTACTTTTAATTAAATGCAAATATAAAAATAGCGCTGCCATAGAAGCAATACATTACCATAGTGAGCATAATATAATCATATAATTATATATAATAGACAAACGCTTAAAACGTATCTGAAAGGAGAAACGTGATTGCTACATCGCAACCACATTGTCGACAGTTAATTGTTACCTTCACCTTGAGTTTCGCTACTGATTGATTCGTATTAGTGTTAGAAAATTGCAACGAAATGAAACATACAATGCGATAAACTTAAAAATATGATTGCGTGTATGTTTCACCTAATTTTAAATATTGTAAAATGAAGTAGCTCATAGTAACAAAAAATTACGAAAGAAAATTACATTTAGTTTAACGCGTATTCTATATAATCATATTATTTCAAACACCGTGTACAATTTTGTTCTTACAATTTAACACTATAAAATTGCAGTGAGGGCATAATTAAGCATCAAATAAATTATTCCGTTTGGATCTCAAAAAAAGAACTTTGCCAACATTTTCGTGAAATTATTCTATTGCCAGTCTCTTGTCATTTTTTATTGTCAGGGTAACGACCCAATCAACCAAGACATTCGTTTGTTTTAATCGAAACACCATTGAACTGTATCATCCTTAGCGCAAATATTTATACAGGTATCCGAGTATTCGTTTCCTTTGACGCGGTCCACGAAATCGTAGAATCACAAAAGGAAGAAGAACAAGGCAAGACTGAAGTTACGTATGCGGTCATCTTCGTGAAATTAAACTAGTAGAATACACGTGGCATTATTTGCAAGAACCTAAACCTGTAGGTGCCTAAAATCGTTTCAGCCGTGGATCGCATAAACGAGAGTAGTCAGACGGCGGTGTCGAAACCCCGGAAATCCCGTCGCAAGAAGCCGAAAAACGCTGCCGCCACTTCCAAGGTCTTTTTCCAATTCTTTGACCTATTATTCTTTAGCAATGATCCGTGCAACGTTTATTAATAAAGTTTCATTTCCGTTGACTTTCTCCTTCTATAAGATCTAGTACAGTTTTGTTTTATATAATTAATTATAAAGATATTTCTCACGTGTATTTTTGTCTTCCTTTAAATGAACGTTTCATAATTAAAGGCAAAAGCTATGGCAACTCCTTGCGGCGAATATCGAAAAGAGATCCAAAAATGTAACGCTCAAACAGGAAGCCAAATGGTGAACCAATGTTCTATGTCCACGATACAAAATCAAACTACCTCAACGGCACCGATGCGACCTAGATCTCTTTACACGGCACATAGTTACCACACACAGGCAGATGAAACCAATTTTCAGGTACTTTTAATTTATTGCTTAATGAGGATTACTTTTCAAATTTTCCTTCTTCCTGATTTTTTCTTTTCAGCGATACAGTGAATTTTCCAAATATTTCGAAGCACCTCCTTCAGAACAATGGGGCGGATTGGGTGGTGCAACGCCTTATTCTAATTCGACAGGACTCTGGCGACAACCACGTAACTGTAAAACTATATCGCCATACTACGAGGAAACGTGTGTTTTTGCGGAAAATTGGCGAGAACATGATACCGATGCTGCGATCGTTACTACACCACATGGTATAATTTCCTTAAGACTTCGCAACAGGATCCGAGTCGACATGACGATCGATCGTGCAGTTAGAGTAATAAATTTTAAGGTATCGCCTTTTCTTCTTATTTCATCATAGAGAAGCGTTGTAGTAGAATATTATAAATTTATTAAATTAAGTGTAAAATATAATGCTGATATGATTCTTACGTGAATTGCATTTATGGTCAGCGTAGAATAATATTGTACTATCGTTGAGTGGTTCTGGAGCAGCTGCAGCATTGTTACATCCAAATGGAAGAATATATCAGTATGGTTCACGGGTTGAAATCTTAGCTCACGACGCCCACGGCAATAATAAGTTAGTAGTATCTGAAACATCATTAAAATACCATTAACAAATATTATTTTTTTAATAGATATGCAAAAATGTGGTATAAAGGAGTCAGCTTCACTTCCGAGCAGTGCGCTCTTGTTTATTTAGTTGATACGGCAGGAACGAGAACAACTACCGACTCATTCTCCGATATGAGCCAGGTACAGTGAAATGTTTTAAACGAAATATGAAGAACTTCATTAAAAAAGTATTCAATTTTTAGGACTTTTCTTTAAGTGTTTTTTACTCTCGCTCTCGTCATGGTCCAGCATGTTTACAGGAAGCTGCTGCTGCTTTAAACGCTGCTCAATATTGGTTGACTAACGAGGGTGTGGAGAACTGGATTGTTAATAATGTTCGAGTTTCTCAAACACCTGATGGTCTTGTTAGGTATTTCATTCAATGACAGAGATTGTAAAGTATTAAATAAAAATATGGATTTTTCTTTTATTAGGATCGCACGTAACAGTAACAAGTATCAATTACGCACGTCACCTAGTAATGGCACAGCTTCACTGACAACTCCATTTTTACATTGCACCGCATCCCTGGGTCAGACATCTCATCTATTTGTACGTCGAGGCGAACGGCGCATGCATTACGATGGAACTAGTTTTATCGTACGAAATGCAGGTCACAGTGCTGGATTTGACGACAATAATCAACTAAAAGTTTATTAATAAATTCTAGCGTGAACTTATTGCTGCGAGCCTTATAGATGTTTATTCGCGGCAATGTAACAATTCCATTCAGTACACAGATTTATTTCTAATACTATAAATATATGAACAGCTATGTGAAAATGATCAGTTGCTTCTTGGGAATTAATCTCTGATAAAATAACTTGCATCTGAAATCTATGAAACATTCTACTCAGTTTTCCAGTTCTGAAATTGAATTCCATTTTATTTAACTGAATTGTCTTCATTTAGAGTCTGTACAAAATGCAGCTACAATAAGATGGATTATGATATATTCTATAAAAGGTTTCTTTAAATTTTAAATTGATATTTTCACTAACTTGTTTCTTGTACTTATTTTGTACACTTCTCAATAAAAAAAAAGAATAATTTGAATTCATTATTCATCCTATTATAAACCTATTATAGTTCATTATTACAATACACTTACACATGAAAGATGTATTTGTTATTACATGCTGTTTTTTTCTTCAGTCAAAATTTTCTGGTGAATCAGAATCAAAGTCTTCTAGATCTAGTGCTTCATCTTCAGAATCATTAGAATCTGTTTGAAAGCCACCGTCGATAAATGATCTCACTTTCTTCTTAGAATTACTTTTTCTAAAATTTAAAAACATAACACTGTATAATTAAACAAACAGTTAATAGAAACATCTTTTTATACAGGTATACATACAATTGGGATAATTTTTTATGTTCATCTTTTGAAGTTGAAGCATATGTCTGTTCTTTACCAACTTCATTTTTCATTTGCTGCTTCTTTCTTTGTTCTTCTAAAGTTTGAATATCACCAATAATTTCTTGAGCTATGTTTGCATTAAATAGCTTTAAAGCAGTACCCGAATTATTTTTAAATATCAGTGCCTGCTTCCTTTGTTCATAAAGTTCACTTAACTCGTTAATTTTTGACAATGTTTGTTGTTTCTCTGCTAAATCTTTCAAAGTTGATAATATAGAATATGGATTAAAGCACTGTGCATTTTTTATGCGATATTGTTTTTCTAAACCAAACTAAAAATACAATTGTATTATTAATTGTAATAATGAAATTTGTAAAATATTATTTGTATTGAGAAATTTTAATTAAATATACCTCCTTATCAAAAATACAAAAATGAAATGCATTATCTACAATAAGTTTACATAATATATAATTAGCATCCAAATGTTCTGCTTCTTTTATTTCTGCATGAAGCTCCATAATACTTCGCCAATCATCCAATTTAACTCTAATTTTAAACTGATCTATTGGCATTTTATAATATATGCCATATAAAAGATACAATCCCCCAATACGTTCCTTGAAACGAGGAGGTAAAAGCAGAAATTGTTTACATATATTTAAAGCTTCTTCACAAAATTCTAACAATTCTAAAAAGTTTGGACGACCCCTAAAAAGTATATATAAATTAAAAATAATTATTTATTATTTACTTAACCATGATCAAAATATTACTATTTATACATTTTCTTTGTTGATACTCACGTAAAAATTAATGAGAATTTCATATCCTTCCAAATTTCGCAAAAGGTTTGAAATCTTATATCATCTGCTCGATCAAAACGAACAATTAATTGTTCGCAGTCTTCTATAAAACCATTCAAAATCGACGATTTGCCTGCTGTCGTTTTTAAATCTTAAAAATTCATAACTGTTCTTAAAATCATTTGCATCATAATGACAAGAAGATATTCTTTACATCTATATACTTACTACTCATTATTGTTATTTTAATCTCCACTGTATTGTACAAAATAATACAAAATTAATATAAAATTAATTTGCGTTCACATAATATTTTATATTTTCCCGATTTTTCCATTAATAACGTACAACCGTACAACATATAGACTAATAACTCAATGCCACTTTTATTGTACACCTCAGGGAGGATTACTAATGGTGCTCACGAGGGGGCAGTTCGTAGCGCGCACATTTTTTAAACTTCTACGAGGTAAAGAAATATTGTATAAGCATGTTTATATGTTTGAATTATTTATTTTTATAATTTAGTTTCAATATAAACGATCATTAAATATTCTTAAATCTAGGATTAATCTTGTAGGAAAGTAGGTGAGCCTAAGTGAAATTTTTTAGTTACTATTTGCTCAAGTAGAAACCTGTACGACGCCTTTGTTTAAATTAGCCTTTGTTATTTTATAAAATTACAATATGAATATGATTATAAAGATAACACATTTTTAAAAATCTTCTGTTTTTCTTAATAGCCAAATGGTAAGCACTTAGATTACGTAAGATACTTGAAATTTATGGTGTAATACGCTTGGGATCGCGAGGAAACATTGAAACTTTTCTGATATTATCTAAGCCAAGATATAACATAACGACACGTTCCATACCAATTCCAACGCCAGCGTGAGGAGGACAACCATATTTAAATGCATCAATATACGATTTTATCTTTTCTAAATCTATAATCAAATAAAAAAGTTAGACTGTTGGCGTACTGCTGTAACTAATAGTAAAGACATGGAAATCAAAAATTATGCATGCATACCTATACCATGGTGTTTCGCGCGTTCAGTAAGAAGATCAGGATCATGAATACGTTGCGCGCCTGAAATAATCTCTTCGCCACGCATAAACATATCATAAGAATTGGACGCTTTCTGTAAGAAAAGTAACAGTGTAAAAGCAATAAAATATTACGATAAGTTGCACAAGCTTACAGGATTGTTGGGATCCGGCATTGTATAAAACGGTCTTACAGCCAATGGATACTTATCCAGGATGTAAAAGTCAGTATCATACTAAAAATAAAATAAATGAAATATAAAATTATGTTACAGATATAAGCAGTACATTCCAGGAATATATGTAAATAATGTACAATGAAACACTACTTTTGCCTTGACAAGTTTACCCAACAGTTTTTCATCTGGTGTAGACAAATCATCTTCTTCTCCTAAAGTTACACCAGCCTCTGCCAATAATTCAATTGCATCGCTAAATTCTAATTTCAGAGGTGGATCTAAAAACTTGAAAGGCTCAACATTATATTGTTGACGAACAGCCTCGATATCAGCGGCATAACTGGAAAGAAATAGAATAAAATAAAATCATGATATACTTGAAAAAGTAACTTGATAGTTAATTAAAAATTTTCACTGACTTATTTTGAAGACCTTTAAATATCTCTGTGAATAATTGTCCAATAGTATCAACTACCTCATGATAGTGATATTTAAATGCCATTTCTATATCTAGCCCTACAAATTCTGTTAAGTGCCTATGTGTATTAGAATCTTCTGCTCTAAAAACTATTGCAAATAATTAACACACGTGATAAATGCAGTTTATAATTACACATAAGAATTAAATTCTAAATTATAAATTACCTGCACCCACAGTAAAAACTTTGTCAAAATCGGCTGCTATTGCCATTTGCTTATAAAGTTGCGGAGATTGGGCTAGGTAAGCATTTCCTTTAAAATATGATACTGTAAACACATTTGCTCCACCCTCGCTTGCTGCAGATATAATTTTTGGTGTATGAATTTCAACAAAACCCTAATAATAAAATAAGATCCCAACAATGAAACTTGATACATAATTATAAGTTGTTGCAGTTGTATTAAACTGTTTCACTAGCTACTTACTTTATTTGTAAGAATGTCTCTGAATAATTTACAAATGCCTGCTTCTACTCTAAATATAGCCTGATTAGCTGGAGTCCTAAGATCAAGGACTCTATTATCTAATCTAGTGTCCTGATTTACTTTGATATTAAGAGTGCTATCATCTGCTTCTGTTACAGGTCTTGAGGCATCTTCAATTTGTAAAGGTAATTGTGGTTTCGCGGCACTTACCACGAAAATTTGTTTAATATGAACTTCTACATCTTTCTGTGTACATGATTCAATTTTAGAAGGCACAAGCTTTACAACTGCTTCTATGTCGACAATTGATTCTTTGGTAATACTGGAAAATTATTTTGGAAAATACAGTATAATATTAATACATTGGATAATTTATTACACCTTTAACTTACTTAGATATGAATTTAATCATTTGTTTGCTAACTGTTTCATTTATTGCAGCCAAACCCTGCACTGTATACGATTGCTGTCTTAAAACAATAAAACATTGTTTACCTATGAAAATATATGTTTTACTGTGATAGACTTATAATAAATATTTGATAATATTGTAGTTAAATAATATACCTTTTGCTCTACTAGTATGTAAACGACCCCTTAGCCAGACAGTCTGATTTTCTAAATCTGGTTTCAAATTTTTAATATCTACAAATTTTCTTTCTGAGTATTTATCTTTACTTTGTATCAATCCCATGTCTCCGTACATTCCAACTGATACATCTTCCTGATTTATTTCTTGTTGTGCTTGCTACAAACATATTTTGTAAATATATTAAATTATGTATTTTACAATACTAATCATCTTTACAATACAAAATTTCTCTCACATTTTGAACTTTACGTTCAGCTTTTTTCGCTGCTTTCTCTGCTTCCTTCTGTTGTTTTTTAAGAGCCTTTTTGGAGATTTCATCTCTGTTTTTATTTTGCAAAAAGAAAAGAATTTTTATAATTTAATTTAATTACATGAAGTATATGATTTATCTTACCCTCCTACAGATGATTCTATGGATTTATCTTTTCCCATCTGTAAAAATGATGTAATACCACTTTAATATAACATGTTTGCATGTATATGCAAAAGATACATATGACATTATATACTATAAATATAAATGTATTAAATTATATTTCTTTATAAAGAATATTTTATTAAAAAGTAAATAAGAGTAAAGGTTAATTCAAAAATGTAACCTGTACAACACATGTTATTATTAAAAATATACATGCCTTTATTATATTTCAATCTGAATAAGATATTGCAAGGATCTATTTAAAAATAATTATATTGCGAAAGACTGTTTATTTTACGTGCCTTATGTTTTACAAGAAGCCGCAAAATCAACCTGCCACTGCGAAATATCTTCTGAATTATCTATGTATATATTAGAGTGCTTTATCCTCTGACACTGACTCACGCATTATCAACATATAGGAGCTTACACATATATAAATTGTAGAATGTTTACAACTGCTAGATAGGTTATACAACATATATTTTCAACAAAAACGAATGATACTTAATTAAGAAATTTAGAAGATAAATATAATTTTTTAAAACCCTTCTTGATTAAGAAAACATTTCTGTACATAAAATTCACACATTTTACAAGATAAATTATAAATTAAACTTTATTTACCCATATCATAAATTTCCTGATGTATTTTTAAAAAATTATTGAAATTATTACTGAAAGAATTATTCACGAAGCATAGAACAAAAAAGTTTGTTCTACTTTTTAGTCATGATAATATTAGGATACCAAATTGGATAAGGAACATGTTAGAAAAGACGAGCTCGCATCGCAAAATCTCTTTGGAACTTAAAATGGAAATAAAAAAATTAAGATACTATAATTTTTGCTCCATTGTCCGCAGAATTCAATAAAATACTCATTTGTTCTTCCGCAGATATCGATACAGGTGATTTAATCAATGGATTTTCATTACTTTTCATTGTCGGCTGATGGTCGAACTTTAAAGATTGCATCGCGCTTTGTGTAGCATCATTCCAGCATTCCTGGCTCGTTCTTTCAAGACCTAAAAACACATGAACTCGAGATTTTCGAGCGAGCATCATCGTAGTACAGGGTATGAAGATAAAAACATGAATATGTGTAATGATATTTTTATGTCTACAATCATCTAATAAATCTTATTAACAATTGTCCTGAGTAATTACAATATAGCATTAAAAATTATTTACGGTTATACAAAATTAAACATAACGGAAAAGAATAAGTATGGAATAATTGTCTTTATTTACTTTTATTTCTTACTTTTTAATTTGTCAGATGCAACATCAAATGCTGGATCTTGAATATTTAACATCAAACTATTGCCACTCAGGTATAGACGATTTGGAGAATTTGCAATCTGAAATGAAAATTATTATTTAGATCATAGTTACTACTTAATTTATAAAGAATAATAAAATTTCCATAGTAATTACCATGCGCGAAATGTTTTGCGCTGCCCGAATTTTTCGCAACTTTAAATATCCAGGGTTTTCACTAAGGGCTAGACCAAGGTACACTGGAGTTAAGGACTTTTATATGTAAATAAACGATAATGAATACTTATTTATAATTTTTAAAAGGATATCATTTTAGCTGCTTCAGCTTCTCCTTCTGCCTGAACAATTTTTTGTTGTCTTTCTTGCTTTGCTCTTTCTACAAAGAAAGCTGCTCTTTGTGCCTCTTGTTGAGCAACCTGCTTAGATTCTACAGCAGCAGTATATTCTTTACCAAAGCTTAATTCAGTTATTGATACATCATCCAAAACAATATTGAAATCCCTAGCACGTTCAGTTAATTCTTTTCTCACTAACATTGATACTTGTTGCCTTTGTGTAATAAGCTGAGATGCATTAAATTTGGCAACTACTGATTTTAATACTTCATTACAAATGCTTGGTAATACCTAAAATGTAAATTTTAAATGTTAGATGTTAAATTTTGAAAGCACAATATTATAATAAAGCTTTTACTGACCTTTTCATCATAATCAAGTCCTAAATGACGATACACTATAGGTAATTTGCTTGCATCAGGCCTAGATAATACGCGAAGTGAAATGTTAACCATTTGCAAATCTTTGGATCCTGTGGGAGATGATATTTTTCTAGGTCTACTTCTGATGTCATAAATAATTGGCCAATGGAACCATGGAACACGGAAATGGAGACCTTCAGTTAGAATGTCCTGTTGAACACCTCCCAAACGAGAAAATATGATTGCTCTATGACCAGCTTCCACTAAAATAAATTATGATTATGTATAAAGAATTAACTTTTATTATAAATATGTACAAGTAGTCTATGTAATTAAATTGGACTACTTCTGATTTGTGATATGAATGATGGTATATCAAAATCTAGTATATAGATAATGAAAAATGTATTACGTAACCTTTAATTAGTAGTTATAATTAATATTCATTTTTAAAATGCAAAAAACAAACCTGTATACATGGATCTCGAGATGCCATAAGCAGCCATGCCGGCTGCCGCAAGGCATGAAAGCCCAACAGATAATCCTTGTGGAGTTTTAGGTAACTTAATATCGATCATTGTATTTTATATTAATGTTGTCGTTGAAATAAAGCTTGATAATAACAAAATGTACAGTAAAATGTTTGAAATCAAAACTACAATAACAATCTTCGGTTGAAAATGCAAAGCACAGTACAGAATACGAACATGTATAATCGTGGTACAAAATGTGCAAAGAATAAAACAACAGAGGGAGCTCATGAATGTAACGCGATAATATGGCTATTTTACATGTAATCTGATAAACGTTAAAGTTTTATTTGCAAGTAACGATTTTTAAAAAACTATTTTTATCTGTATCACGAGAAAGACAAAAAATTGATTACTTCATTTTTGTATATAATTATCGAAAAAGAAAAGACGAAAAATATATATTACGTATTGTTGTTTTTGATAGTAGATAATTTAGATCATTTTTATTTTATCTTTTAATTAGTATTTATATAATTCATCTATAGGAACTATAAGAAATTACACATAATTTGTAAGCTGTCACATGTATAAAGCATTCATTTGAGTAACTAAAAGAACAGGGTCTAAGAAACATGGCGCTGTGTTATACGAGGTAACAAGCCGCAGTTTCATTTTTTATATTATTTTGTCCTATTTAACGATTGTTATGTGAAAATTTAATGTTTTTCAGACTGCTATGTCGTCGAAGCATTGATTTTCGAAATTTTCGAAGCTTATATACATCCAGGTAAAATGTTATGTAACACAACATACCCTTCATTCTATTTAAATGTCATATACATGTTTTTAATATATTATTAGCTTATTGCTTGTATTGTCATAAATCAAAATTAATTAAATTTTTTAGTATTTGCTGTCTGCTATTTACTAGATTTTTTATTTATGTAATGTAAAAATAACAATTGGTGAAATTTTTAGCCCACGCAATGTTGCTGTCTCAACACCATGCATGGGAAGCACAATTTGTGAAACTCATGATGAAAAAAATATGCGTCTTAAGAGACCAATGTCACCCCATTTGACCATTTATCAAGTTCAGTTAACATCACTTCTTTCTATTACTCATCGTACAACAGGCATAATATTATCAACTTATGCAATGGTGTTTGGTTTAGGTAAAATTTTGGTTTATTTTTAATTATATAGTGAAATATTAAAAAAAATTGTTCTTATGTGAATAATTTACATTGCAATTGCAGGAACATTACTTATCCCAGGAGGTATCCCTTGCCTGATAGAAATGATTACAGATTTAGGTTTATCAGCTCCTGTTCTTTTTACAGCAAAAACTTTACTTGCTCTTCCTGCTACATACCACACACTTAATGGATTTCGTCACTTGGTAATATAGGTCTTATAAAAATTCCATGAATGAACCAATGGTTACATAAAACACTATCTTTTGTTTTTATGTAATATAGATTAATATATAAATTTTGATTGTTGTACTTTGCAGGCTTGGGATTTGGGAATGTTCCTTACAATAAAAGAAGTGTACAGCACTGGATATGCAGTGAGTGTATTGGCAGTAATTTCTGCTGTTATTCTTGCTTCATTGTAAGTTTCACAAATTATATTGTCGTATTGCTATTTATATTCAAAATTAACTGTATCATTAGATCAATTTTCCTTGCAAATTGTATAATATTTAGAATAAAATGTTAGAATGCAGAAACAAATGCCAAAAATAAATATTGTTAATAGTTAATTTACAATTAATAAACACGCATGACTTAAAAATATAAGAACTTATTTAAGAAGTTTGTATTTTGAGCACATGTAAATACATAAATTAATATATTACATAAAGTCTTCAAGAGTTGAATCAATAAATTTTTTATAAATTGCCATAAACCGTGCAACGAATGCTTCTAAATGAAAAATCGGTTTAGATCCCCTATGCATTTTATGCTCATATTCAGCCGCGACGGTCGCAATTTCAATTTTCAGTTGAAGATCGCAATTCTTTATACATTCTTGTAATAGGCCTTTAAATATTAAATCACATGGTATAGCATGGGTCAATAATTCATAAAGTCTATTTCTTATTTCAAGAAGTTTTTTTGGACTTTGTTCACTGACCATCATATTGGCTGTATTACGAATATATACTTGCCAGTCTGGTTCTGCGATATTTTGATCTGCAGTAAATGGGTACCTTCAAAATGCAAAATTAATGAAATGCGTTTTTTAATTTGTACAAATTTATAGGTATATGAACATACTTACTGCTCCACCCTACAAGCTTCAAGCATTAATATTGCTCTTCTAAGATTTCTACCACTAGCTTCAGCTACTCTAATACCTAATTCATTTGGCAAAGTTAAACCTTCACGTTTACAAATTGAATGTAAAATACTTTTTATATCTGATATTGATGGAGCTGGTACTCTAATTCCCAAACATCGTGATTTAATAGCTGGTAAAACACGTGATGTTGAATTTGCACAAAGTATTATTCTGCAGGTAGCAACATACTTTTCCATTGTTCTTCGAAGAGCATGTTGTGCATCTTTTGTAAGTTGGTCCACATTAGTTAACAGTACCACTAATACAAAATTGTAACAATAAAATAATATACAGGCAATTGTTTATTATATAGATATAACTTTAATACTTACCTTTAAATTCTCTTTGTCCACTTGGATCTATTTGATGAGTTTGAGCAGTTGTTTTTACCAAATCCATTACCACAACTCTATCATAAATACCAACATCACTAGGATTTACCTCAATATGATAATTGCTACTTATTGTCGTTATCTCTAATTTCTTTTTGGATGGTGTCTAAAAATGTATATAAATCCATTATTCGTAAAATTACGCAAATAATTAAAAGGTTACATATTATTGATAGAGCCAAATATAAAATACTTCAAATGCCATTGATTCCATCCTCAGCTTCTCAACTCCATTTCCATATAATTCTTTTAGGATACATAATATACGAGTTTTCTTTCCTGCACCTGATGGTCCATATACTAATAAATGAGGAAAATCACCTTTTTTTACCTATAATTCCAACATAAAAATCACTGAAAAAGAGTCTTTTTCTATTTGAAAATGTAAACTCATAACAAATAATGGCGCGCATTTAACATAACCTTTTCAATTAACATAATTTCGTAAAAACATATGTTATTACCATATTTCTCAAGTATTCGGCTTGTTCTTGATGATAATCTAATTTTCCGAGTGTTGTCGGACGATATTTATCCACCCATAAACTCATATTTGTTTGAACGTTGTTAAATCTGAATAGAAATAAAATTCTACTTCGTTTATGATTTTAAATGTCACCAGTGACTACAGATATTGTAGTCAAAGATATCACGTTGTAATAATATATTCATATTTATAATACTTACACGTTGTAAGATGAATTAAATTGAACTTAAAATGTTTTGTTCAATTATTTGATCATTTCTACAATTATAAAACAGAGATTGACACTAGCTTATTACAAGATACAAGCGATCGCTTCAAAAGCGCGCGAAAATGTCTATAGAACATTTTTTACTTATAATTTGATTTATCTAAATTTTTTAATTATCTCAACATATTATTAAATTATCAATTAGTAACCACACATATATATAACATTTACTTAATTTTAATTTTTATTTGTATATTCCATTACATAATATGTGCTTATCTTAAACACAAAATTAAAACACTTTGGTAAACATATTGTTATAAGAAACAAATCGATATTGACAATGAGATAATTACGTCCTAAAAGATGTATACATTTTGTATAAAAATGAAATTACGAAATAAAATTATTATATTTAAAAAATTATTACTAATAATGGCAGTGTGTAGACATTATTTCATCTGTTGCTTGAGGCTTTTATATATAAATTGTATCTTTTAATATTCAATATATGTAGCATTCATGTAGTATTGTTCTCTTAAATTTTTGGTAACATATGTAAATTCGAAAGAATTTACCAATTAAAAGCCTCAAGCAGATATAATTTAAGCTATGAAAGCTTGGAACCACTTATGATTTTGACAATGGATGCTGATAATTAATGTATGAAACAAATAAAAAATATTACAACATACTATTGCATGAAACAAAGTAAAATCTACTGTTGGAATACGATTAGACAGAAAAGCTTAAATACTTAGAAATGCAATTAATGTACACTAGAATGTTTCAATAACATATTTCAGACTTCATTATCACATACTTTCAAAGATATGTTACAAGATAAATACAGTATATGTACTATGTTGGTATTTTAACTGTATAGTGCACCAATAACTAAACGCCTTCAAGTCACAGAATTATTTTGATTATAGAATAAAAAATATATAAATTTATCTTGAATAATTTCAAGAAAATTACCACAATTTATAAGTATGTAAGTTACGTTTTCTTAAGTTATCATGATTTATCATTTCAATACTTTGGATAAATATATTGGCCAATATTTTTTATCCTGTATGTACATAAATCATATTTAAAATTACTAGTCAACACTTAGAGCTAAATTTGCTGAAAATTATATGGCAGGTGGACAAAACAATTATAAAGTGTATTCACGAACGATAGGAAAGACAAATAATCTTTTTTACTTATATCGTTCTTACTAAACGTGTATGTAAAATCACACGTATACTATATACGAAACATTAAATTAAATGCTGTATGAAAAATATTATTTTCAATATATCGAACGATATATTTATACCCAAACGCCGTGTGGATTTTTACTCGTAGGCACAGCAGTTTCTAATTGCCTCGGTGAACCTATCATTTTACGTGTACTACCAGGTTTGTGGGCACCTAGATTATAAATATATGTAAACACATAGGTAAATCGATTAACTTTTACAGTTTTACTTCGATTTAAATTCAAGTACCTTCAAGTAATGACTTTACTTGTTCATCTTGACAAGCAACGGCTAGACTTTGTAAATTAGCCTCTTTCATATCCGCTACTAAACGCTCCACTTGTAATTTCTTTTCAACAATTGCTGATTCCAAACTAACTACCTCAAGTTTCAATGATTCTGCACATTGTGAAGCTAATTCGGCAGAACGTTTAGCTTGTTCTACTTCGTTTTGAAGATGTTCGACTTCGGTAATAATTTTACGTTCCATTAATTGTCTTTCGTCCGTTTCACGATTTATATTGTGCTGTTCTATAGCAAGTTCTTCCATAACTAATCTGTGACGTAAAAATGAAAGAATTTATACTATACACTATCATTAATAGAAATATTGAAAATTGCAATATTTTACCTAATTTTATTTTTACATTGAAGCAACTCTGTTTCGCAATTTGCAAGTTTTGACCTAAGCAACGTTATCTCCGATTTCAACGTTTTCTCTTGCTGCCTGACTATTTCACTTTCTTCTTCTACATGTGCTAGTTCCTTTAGCTTTAAAAATATTAGAAGTTATCACTATTATATTTTTAATATTTTAATTGCATATAAAATACATGCCTGTTCTTCAATAAGACGTCCTGTAGATTCCATACGATTTACTTCCTGAGAAATGAAGTCCATCTGATGCATTTGTTCCCTGTTTTTAGTTTCCCAATATAATATTTCAGCATCGAACTGGAAATAATCAATAAAACATATTTTATAACATTATTGATTTAAGACTAATCAAAATTAATTTAAGATAATTGAAATAGTTTTATACTTTAGTAAGATCTGCTTGTTGTGAATTAATAGTATCACGTTGCTTATTGACTAGTCTGATAAGTTCAACATAACGTTGAGTGTAAGCAACGGTAACCATGTTTTGAGTTTGACCAGACAGCTGATTAATAGATTGTGTTTGTCCTTTTGTGTCTTGGAATTCCTAAACAAATAAAGGAAATTTGGAAGTGCAGAAGTATATGTTATTATTATTATACTGCTTATGTATATATGTATATGTATTCTTTGTGGAACCTGAATAAGATTTCTCTTTAGTTTGACAGAATTGCTGGATGATGGTTGATCCTCTTTTTGTACATGAGGACTTCCAACATTTGTGCTAGATTGAAATTGTGATCTTCCAGGACTATTTAAATTAGGTGGTGGAGGATCTCTGTATGGTGGTAAAGTTCGCAGAGGTGGTGAACCTGGTCCTGGAGGATCCCTGTATGGAGGAACTTCACGCACTTTCTTTTGTGATAAGTGTATGTTACTTTCACTATTACTAGCACAAGTAGGAGACTGAGCTGATTTTTGTATATTTTTTCTTATATTTAACTCCTTGTTTTTTAAGTGTGGTGTAGGTTGGACTATGGCAACATTTTCCATTTGAATCTAAAATGTACATATAATGCATCACAAAGCATTATGTAAAATTTGTAAAACCTAGAATGCCATTAAAATATTATTTACTTCCGTATTATTTTCTATAACATTTCCATGTAAGCCTCCAAATGTTAATGATTTTCTAATATCACGATTTCTGTCAAGACATCCTTGTAAATCATCAAATTCAGAACTGGAGGTTGTGGTATTCTTAGTATCATCTTGTCCACTATTAGATGTTGTGACATTCTCAGAGACAGAATTTATTATGCCATTTGATCTTGCGCTATGAGTTAAACGAGTTCCTAATGAACTAGAGGCTTTATTATTCTCTGCTGTGGAGCGTCTTAATATCAGTTGAACTTCTGAAGAATACTCTCCCCATTTCATTAGAATCTTATCAAACAAATTACATTATTATCCAACTGTATATAAATTGTTATTTTATATAAAAATTGAGAGTATTGGTACCTTGAGAGGATTTTCATATGGAGCTAAAAGACGTTCATTAGTTCTCCACCTTTCTACTAAAGTAAACCTACCAGTTTGTCCTGTAGCATGGGCAAGAGCATATACTACATCCTAAAAGTTAATAGTGCATTATTTATTTAATAAAATATTACAGTAATATAACATATTGTACAAAACTATTAAATTTATTCATTGAAAATGCTAAATATTATAAAATTTAATATAATTTTAAATGTAAATAAAAAAATTTCAACCTGACATGTAGTGGCTTCTGTAACACCACATACAATACGTTGTATGCCTTCTACCCATACTTTCAGCTCCATTACGTCACCAATTTAGAATCGCAAGATTAAATTTTTGCATCGCAAAAGCTTTATAGTGAAGAATTATAAAACACTCATCAGACTTGGGTTCCAATTGCACTGTTCGAATTGATATTTCTTATATCGATAAAAAAGAATATTTATTGACTGCTACAGTTCACTGATAATTATTTCTAAATTTTTCCAAATAATCATGTTTCTTTTTTAAACTTAAATAACGTTACGATAAAATTCGTTGCCAATAACCTGTAACTGTGTAATTATCAAAATGACAGATTTATGTTCATGATATTACAGAAGATAGGAAAACGCATGTCTAAGTTTCTGTTGTACTCGTTACTTTATGAAATGGTCGTTTCTGTAAACGATAATTCTATTGTACGTACATGTAATATATTCATCAAACTAATATATCTGTTGCTTATTTTAGCATTGCATACTTCACAATTTTTATGTAAAATTTGTTTAATTTCAGATAATAAAATTATTTGATAATTGAAAGTACACCAAATCTTAGCTTTACTGTACAGTGAAAGAGGGAGCTGAAGGCGTTAATGTTGAAATGAATTAATCCTTTCATATTACAATTTGCTTAATTTAAGGATTCGGTTTATTATTTGCACGTGACTGTTGCTGTATGTTAATTTTATAATAGTGTTTTGTATATGATTCAAAGAAATTCTGCAAAATGCCGAAAATACGCAATGAAAAAAAATCCCGGATTCACAAAGAAGTTGCAAAACAGGGTACGAGATAGCACATATTTTTCTAATGGAAAAACATGACTTTTAATTATATTAATACTTTCTAAGTTGTTTACGTATTATTGTATTAATTATGCAAGTAATAATTATATTTCATTATTTACAATTTCTTTACGGAACAGGAATTTTATTTAATACCAATATTGGACAACACATTTTAAAGAATCCACTTGTAATACAAAGTATGGTTGAGAAGGCTGCACTTAGACCAACAGATGTTGTACTAGAGATAGGTCCTGGTACAGGTAACATGACAGTCAAATTATTGGATAAAGCCAAGAAAGTAATAGCATGTGAAGTGGATACTCGAATGGTAGCTGAGTTACAAAAACGTGTACAAGGCACTCCATATCAGCCCAAATTACAAATTATGATAGGAGATGTTTTGAAAACAGACTTGCCATTTTTTGACTTGTGTGTTGCTAATATACCATACCAAATATCATCCCCACTAGTATTTAAATTACTTCTGCACAGACCTTTATTCAGGTAAATTTTTGAAAATTAACATTTTTTAAAAATTCCAAAAGCATTATGTCAGTTTCTAACATGCAGGAAACACAAGAGGAAATGGAGTTGATTAGCACATTATTTTCTACAGATGTGCGGTACTTATGTTTCAAAGAGAATTTGCTGAACGTTTAGTGGCAAAACCAGGAGATAAATTGTATTGTCGATTAAGTATAAATACTCAATTATTAGCTAGAGTGGATTTGCTCATGAAAGTAGGGAAAAATAATTTTAGACCACCACCAAAGGTGGAATCAAATGTAGTTAGAATAGAACCACGTAATCCACCACCACCAGTTAATTATCAGGAATGGGATGGTTTAACACGAATAGCATTTGTTAGAAAGAATAAAACTCTTTCAGCAGTATTTAAACAAACTACAGTGTTAACAATGTTAGAAAAAAATTATAAACTTCATTGTAGTTTGAATAATAAGGTATTTATAAATTTGTTAAATATAAGAAGACTAGATGCTAAAAAAAAATTGTCAATATTTAAAATTAATCTTTGTTGCATTATCTAGGCTATACCTGAAGGATTTGATATTAAAGAATTGATAAGCAAAATTTTACAAAAAGCAGATGCTGAAAACAAACGTGCCAGGACCATGGATATAGATGATTTTATCAGGTGACTAGACATTTTACTAGTACTTATGGTTATATACTTATTTGTAATAGTTACATAATAAAATGTTTATTTTAGCATTTTACACGCATTTAACACGGAAGGAGTGCATTTTACATAATTGGAATTTTAATTTATGTAAAAAAAGGTACACATTATACATGAAGTGAAAGATGTAATGTTTACAGAAAATAAATTTGTTTAAATAATTCAGAACTAATATTCTGAATAAAATTTAACATCCATGTCACGAATATTGCAGTGTTCAAGGAAAAATAAAAAAGTTAATATCCACTGAAAATTGTTTTACGATTTACATGCTGCATATATGTATAGTCTAGATTTAACAGTTTTAAATCTGCATACTTTACAAAAAAAGATCCATGTAAACTTTTAATTAAATTATTTGCTCATTACATACATGTATATTTACAAACATTCTTTGGGAATCAAAATCGTAAACAAATATACTGAACTTTATTGTACAGTTATGAAGGTATGGTGAGATATATACTACATTTGCCTTTATATATATCATGTTTTGCTTTCCTTCACACATTATTTCAAATTTTGAATAGTAGTTTTTGATAAAATTGATTATCTTTTTACACCACATAAAAAATCATAAATAACATCTATTACTTAATGTCAGTATTTTTATACACAGCTTTCATATACTTTATTTACGAAACAAATGGAAGCCATTCTCATTTAGAACGTAAAAGAACGAAACTACTATTTCGTCCAATACAGTACACTTCTACTTAAAAATTTTCATCTATCCTTTTACCATTTCAAAAAAATGATGATTTTAAATTTTCAGAAATTAATTATAAATTCACCATGTTTTATCGTAATCTGCAGCATATGCATACGTGATTGTTTGAAAACTCGTTATGGATTCGGAAACATCATTTCTGAATTCGGACTAATCACAGATCAAATGCATTTTTACTTTTTATTGGTTTTGATTTGATTTTACCCTGAGATCTTATATAACTCCTTGCAACTATTGCAGGAATTGCACGTTTTCGTTTCTTCTTCGGTTGAATTACTTTTTGAATCGGAATGTTTTAACATGGCATGTCAATTTTTAAACGGGATGTCGTTTAGTTAATCGTGATCGATTAGATGAACTATGCGTTCTGCTGTTAGATCGTTTCCTTTTTTTGCTTTTGTGTCTATCTTTATGCTTTGATTTCTTCTTATGCGTGTACGATTTACTTGAATAATTACTACACTGACTATGCGATCTATAATGATCATCGTCAAAGTCTGAACTACTCACAATTTCTTCTCTACTCTTAGACTTAAATTCGCGGTCTTTTCTTGATGCAGCCCACTTTTTCCAAGTATCATCATCTTCGCTGTTCCGTTGAGATTCTCGCCGTTTTGAATTTATTTTTTTATCTTGTTGCGATGTGTAGGAGGATGCACTGCTACTTCGAGAAGGAGATCGTTTATTGTCTCTGTATCTTGATTCTTTTCGGTAAGACTCCTTTGGATCTGATACTTGTCTTGCTTTAGCTCTGGTTTTAGTTACTCTTTCATTTCTACCATTGTCAAAATCACTTGAACTGGTTACATATTTTCTTTTCGATTTTCGTACCGTATGAAATCTTGTATTCTTAGTAACTTCGTTATATTCGGAGCTACTATCGCTACTACATGATTCATCGTCCGTATATCGATTTTCTTTTTTGATCAAATCTTTACGAACACGTACCATACTTTTCATAGAATGCTGTGGAGTTCTGGACTTTTTGTCATCGGTCAATTTGGAATCACTTTCATTGGAACCAGAATCGCTACTACTAATCACTCTCTTTCTTATGGTATGAACATTTCTTCTGTTTCCTTTCTTTCTGGAATCACTTTCTCCGGAACTGGATAAGTTTCTACTTGTCCGATTACGAACTCTCGTTTCTTTTGAGCGATTGCGTTTCTTAGCAGTTACACTTCTTCTTGACCTTTTAGTACGACCTTGATATTTTCTGCTTCTTCTACAAATATAATCACTTTCTGAATCTGTCCCACTTTCAGTAGATGAACTAGAAGATCCTTTCTTCTTAATTTCATGAGACGTACTAGGTTGGGTATTGTCTTCATAATAAGCGGATGAAGGTCTAGTGAAAATATTAAAGTTGGTTTTAAATTTTATTCTGATTATAATTAAATGTAAAATAATATCCCTCTACTTACTGTGCATGGTCATTTGATACGTGAGAAACATTTATTTCTTCAGGATCAGATGATACTAATTCTATAATTTCTGGTGTTCTTTCGTGACGAGGTTTTACATATCCTATTACCTCGCAACCATCCGACGAAGAAGAGTCGGAGGAAATGGTTAATACATCTGGTGCATTATATGGAATTTCTAATTGAAACGTTTGTCCTACAGTACTCGGACCTACACAATGAAATACATATTTTACAATGTTAACATAAAACAATTAAATATCAATTAAATAAAAATATTTACCAGGCATACTAATTCCATGGGGTCCTACACTAGGCATCTCTGCATTCATTCTAAGGTCGATTGCTTCATCAAGAACTCGAACATCTGAATCATCAGAACTATTACTATTATTACTAGATGCAGGGGAGAAAACATGTGATACATATTCATTTGACAACTCTATAACAAATACAATTAATTTCATCTAACTAGTACAAATTGTTATATGTAACATTAAAAAAAAGACAATAATATCATATACCTTGACGCAAATAGGTTACAGATTGGTCATATCCAACTAAATCAAAGTTGGTTCGTGCATAATTAAGAAGTTCGTGTACAAAATGATCCGTGAAAGTACCGAAATAAGGGCGGACCGAATCTCGAAATTCTGGACTTGTAATATCAAATTGACTGAGAATTTCCATTATACATCTCAATACATATGTAATATGCGTAGAATTTTCGTCAAGTAACACTTGTAATTCTCGATTTAACCATGGTATAAGTCGATTCAGTTCTGCTGGCTCTCTCCTGTAAATAGAATATAGTCATATTATGAACCACAACTTTTAATAGAAGAAATGTATAAATACATTACCGGTAATATTCAGCGCTACATTCGCGAAAGCGACCTAACATATCTGGTAATGCGGTAGCCCAAATTCCACGCCTATAAACAGTACGACGATAATTATTTGGATTTGCTCGCCTGCGTATGCGTTCTCCCGGTGGAACTAGAGGTGCTATGCTTGGCAATTGTTCCCTCCTTGCAACTTGTTCTGGATTAAGAATTATTTCATGAGGACGTCGATAGTGTCCAGTCATTGTCGTCCTAAAATGATAAAATGAATTATGAATTGAACACATGTAATAGCTGATATTAATTTGGGATGTAGCATGTATATAATACCTATAATGAAAACGATGAGTTCCTGCATCCATAGCATGACCCAGTTCAAAATTGAGATCCAAAGTAGCCAATTCTCTGGGTACATGATATTGATCATAATCTTCTTCTGATCTAACATTATGTATGATTGATTTGAAGGTTTGTTTACACAATGGACATTCTGTTTTTATTTTAGACCACTGAAGTAAACAAGTAAAACAAAATTGATGAAGACAACTGTCAGTGAAAGATGTATTCACAAGCTTGCCCAAGCAAATGCTACAATTCGGAGGAGGTGACACTGCGCCATCACTCCGATCACTGCTGTCTGGATTCTGTATAGGTGCTTCTGATTTAATAGGTTCTTCTGCACCAGCAACAGAATCTTCTACTTCCAATGGACCTTCCATTATACATTAATGCATTTATCCATTTATTAAAAAGAATTTTCCTAAAACATATCACACTACATATTATTATAATAAAATTTTATTTACGTGTGTATATGTAATTAGAAATTTCTATTATTCCTTTACTGTTTATGAATAAAATACAAATCAAATTCCTAAACACTAAAAGATGTAGGTAAAAATATATAACGCTATTTGAGTTGCATAGAATTTAATATATGGTACAAGTTAACTTATACTAAATTAGAGTCTCAATATAGAATCTTCTAGAGTGTTCATATATTGTCTTTTAAAGAATCGTGTACTGTTATAAAAAAAACACTATACCATCTTAGCTTATGAATTTTTACCCAGAATAATAACCAAATTCTTTGGTATTGTAATATCTACGAAATTATGTGATACATTTTATTAAAGATGCAATGAAAAAAAGTGCAATTACCTATTATTAAACCTTTTAAGTTTTACGTAAAATAATCAGTAACAAATAGAAAACTAATTATAAATCCTATTATCTACATATTCATCGAATTCATGATATTTACGAAACTGCAGTATGAACAGGACAGAAACTTGTTCAACCTTGAAATCCGATGAGAAATGATAAGATTGAGTCAATCTTTCAAAGTCTGTTTTCTAAAAAAAAAAAGATACGTCATACGTAACAGAAAGAAGCACACAATAAAGCTGTTTGATAATCGGTATGTTTCCATTTTATTCAACTTGTTATTGATCATCGATGTCACTATTTTCTTTCATACAAATCGCATAGTTTAATGGATATAATTTCTTACCTCTGAGAAACAGGTAATCAAACTTATTATTAGGGTCAATATGAAAAATAATATCTCTGTAAAGCTATCTTCTTTCAGAAACAGTACTATTGCTGCAGTGCATGATCACGAAGCGGAAACTGGTGTAGCATAATGCCATGAATGAGACAGATATCAAGCGAAGGTAAGAAAGAATTATTGTCATCAGTGATACCTCGCCATAAAAATTCCTAGCATACCAAAAGAAATGTATTTGTTCCGCGGAAAATCAGGTTCAATCGCATAATTTGACTAACTTCAGAAAGTTTGTTTATCACCATCGTGATACCCTTCTATAACTGATTTTTGTTTCGTGATCGGGTTTTTTCGCGCATGCGAGCAATTTTAGTCTCAGTAAAGTACAAGTTTCAATAAAATGGGGTATCTTAATCAACCTTCATTATTTTTCGCTGCTTTCCCGCCAACAACACTACGCTATTTGGTGGCACCACTAAATAGATACGCTCCTGCATTTCTCGTGCATGTGCGAAAAAACCCGGCCAATATCTCATCACTGTTCGTTGATTGATTGATTGATTGATTGATTATTTATTGTTGTGGTCGTTGACTACTATGGTCATTAGCCCGTCACTGTTCGTGATCATATACGAAATTTATATATAAATTAATTTCTAATTAAAACAATAACATAAAAAGAAATGGAGGAATGGATAACTTTATTACATTCAAAAGTAATTGCTGCAGATAAGTATGAAGATATGTTCCGAGAATTCAAATCTTTACACACAAATAACGAACGTGTAGCATATACTCTTAAGATTATGTTAGAGTATAATCACATTCCTAAACTGTGTGGAGATGTAAAAAATGCAGAGAATTCTACAGAATTAAGGAATCAAGGAAATAATAAATTTAAATCAAAACCATTAACGAATTCTTTATGCATGGATGTGTTACAACTATATACTAAAAGTATAGCATATGCGCCTTATCCATCTGAAGAACTTGCATTAGCATATGGCAACAGATCTGCTATTTTAAAAAGATTACATAAGTATGAAGAATGTATCCAAGACATAGATACAGCCTTAGCTTTACCATTTCCAAATAATTTAAAATATAAATTATACCAAAGAAAAATTGAATGTTTAAGTATACTAAATAACCCTAAATTAACAAATGCTATTAATGAAGCACAATATTGGTTAGAAAAAATGACCATAGATAATAATACTCGTAAAAAAATGAATGACATGTTTATTTCTGCAGGACGAGTATCAGTGTCAGATAAATCAAATAAACAAAGTATCACAAAACAGTCTTCACTTCCTGAGCTAAAGACTCACAATCCTGAAATTCCTTGTGCTTCTGATGCAGTAACTCTAAAATATAATGAACACTATGGTAGACACTTTGTAGCTGCTCGTGACATACATCCTGGTGAAATAATTGCTGTTGAAAAAGCCTATTCAGTAATGTTGGATCCTGACAATTTGCAAACACATTGTTCAAATTGTTTAAAAGTATCTTGGACTAATATACCTTGTAATTATTGTACATATGCCATTTATTGTTCTGAAGAATGTAAACTGTCAGACTGGAAAAAATATCATGACATAGAATGTTGCATTGTTCCTTCATTGTTAAAAATGAATTTTACAAGAAAATACTTGATGAGTTTAAGATTAGCTATTCAGGCAATAAGAGAAAGTAAAAGCATAGAGGACATAAGAAATGAATTGATAGAAGTTGAAAATTGTAATGGTAAGTAGGAGGAATATTATTGCAAACATTTATTTGTCATAATTACATATTATTTCAGATCCTCGCACAAAAGGTTTTTCAAAAAATGGAACCTTTGAAAGTAATGCATATAGAAGTATATTAAGTTTGGAAACTAATGTTGAAAAGAATTCTGTTATAACTCTCTTCAGAAGATCTTTTGAAAGTAGTATTATTTTGTATTATTTAGCAGTATATACTGATATGTTTAGAACTCCTCTAAAAGATTTGTCCCAATTAATAAACAACATTGATGTTGTGTTTATTGGGGAACTTATATTAAGACACTTATTAATGATTGGCGTTAATGCTCATTCGGTAGTATAATATAATCAGGTCATAGAAAGGTTTTAGTTTAATTTTTACTATTGAATTATTATTTGTAGATTGCTGAAGAGCGTGGAATAAATCTAGCCGATCGTGGTGTTGCGGTAATGGCATTTCTTAGTCTAATTAATCACAGCTGTTGTGCACAAATCCTAAGGAATTCAGTGTCTAATCATATGGTTGTTTATGCTATATTTCCTATCAAAAAAGATGAACAGGTACCAACACATATGATATGAGTATTTATGATAGTTTCATTTTCATAGATAAAAATTATTTTCACTAGATATTTGATGACTATGGTCAGCTATTTGGAATTAAACCAAAAGCTGTGAGACAAGCAGAACTTCTAGATCAGTATTACTTTAAATGCAATTGTGTAGCTTGTTTGGAGAACTGGCCATTATATCATGAGCTGAAATTATCTTACGTGAGTTATTTGATAATGAAATATGTAGTGGGAAACTTTCTTATGTTATTGTTTATTTCCATAATATTTGTCTGTTTAATAGAATCCAATTCAGCTAAAAGTAAACAATGCGGAGAGAATTAATTATTTGGTAAAAAAATTAAAGACATATCATGTGATGGCTGTAAAAGGATATATATTTAAGGAACATGAGAGAGATGAGTTATTAGAAATAATGGAAATAATGTATGAATCAGTACCAATGCCTAATGCTGCTATATGTGAAGTAGCAGAATTTTTGAAACGTGCTTATACTTTAAGTGGAAATAGATTTGATATTCCAGAGTTGTAATTGTAAGAATGGCTTAAGTAAAAATCCAAGGATTTATGTAAACGTGTTTGTCCGCTCTCTCGTCCGTTAAACAAACGACGATCGGCAATAATTTTTACGATGTATATGTATCTCGCATAGGGCACGCTTACATAATATATGCCAAACATATTTATAAAATGTTTTTAATTTGTTATCAATTAAAATTTCAGTGATGCTTTTACCATATGACAAAGGTTGAGATAGTGACAAAAATAGAGTGTGTATAAAAAATTTTTTATACAAAATAAAATCTGAGGTTTGAAATACTGAAGTTTGATTATTCAACATGTATCCTATTGTGCCTATCTTATAAATAACCAACTGATTAGTGATAACAAAACTGTCAAATTGAGTGATTGGTACATGCTAATGCAACCACTACTTTTGTTCTGCTCATTTTCATTTTCATTTACATTTGCATTTACATAACTAATTCGCCATTCAACCCCAGGATGCACTGGACTATGTTTCTTTAAATATTCTGCAAGTGTCTCTGCCGTGGTAACACCTTCAAGAAAAGATTTTATTACATTTATTGATCATTTATGAAACAAATAATTAATAAAAGGACACATAAACCTACCTAAAGGTTGAGCTTTGAGGTCTTTCAACATAGTATATCCGTCACCACCACTTTGCATAAAATCAAGAAGAAGCGCATTGTAAGTTTTATTTCTTTCTAGTTTGCTATACATAGGTACATTACAATCTGCACACTGTACTTGTACTGAAATTACTCTTGAATTCTTTGGTTTTGATAAATCATATTGTACCTGCAGAAATTTGTATTATTTTAATATAGCAAACTATTTTTTGAGAAAGTTTGTTTTGTTTTATTAGGTTCTGAATCTTTGTCATTGTTAATAAAATCGAATTGTGAAGTTCATGAAATACCTGAAGTCCAGAAAATTGCGCAAATGCACCAAACAGATTTGCAGTTACATTCATCTCCAAGTTTTGAACACTCCATTCCAATACAGACAGAATGAGATCTCCAGTCATTGAAACTTTCATTATTGCATTATGAAAAGGTATTACGCTAAGGACATCTCCCATAGTAATTTTATCATCATTTGCTCTGGTGATAGAAGTTCTGATGCTACCACCATTGTGGAAAGCTATTGCTGCATCAGTCCAACCATCTCTGCCTGCATATTCTCCAGCATTATAGTCAATCATAGCATCTGTGATTAGATTACCTAGATTACATTCTTCTCGCCTGCATACTTTGCTATCTCCTTCAAGAAGAACGCGAGTTTTTCCAACCACTGTTAGACTAATGTTGTCAATAGCACCTCTCATTTGTTCCAATTCATCCAAAATATCCTTTGCCTGTGAATTAATATTTTATTTGTAAATTCGGCTTAATGTTAGTCTTTTAATAACAAGGGAAAGAAATGCACTGATATAAATGACGTTAATCAATTCCGAATTTGATACAGAATTTCTATTAAAAGGAGATATAGGCAGAGAATGTTATTTAGGAGAGGTATATGTATAGAGAATAGAGAAAATAATTGATCAATCCTAGTTATGTGATCCTATTACATCAACACCTTTCATTAAAAGGAGAATATATCTTAGTAAGTGATGAGAGAATGTTACTATTAACAGCATTTTGGTGACGTGTATTCCTGATTTCAAGTAGATCTACAGTAATATAAAAGTAGGAAATAACAGAAGTTCATAATAGAAAAAGAAAGCGGGGCAAGCCGAGAAAGAGTCGGATGGAAGCTGCTGAAGCCATATGCGCATATCACGTTGCGCAGTCAGGTAGCAGGATCGCAGAAAGCAGCGGGAGCTGGCTTTTAACCAGAGAAAATAAGACTTCAGAGATATTTAGACTTCTAAAAATGAAATATCAAAAACGCGTGAAGGTATTGGTAGGAAAAAATAAAGAATAACTTTACTTCTCCTTAACCGAATCCTGAAGTTTCGATGTGCTATATTACTTAGATACGACATACATGTTCAACTTTATTATATAATTTTACGATGTTTATATAACTTTTTATCTTTTGCAGTTATAAAATATTGATGTCTAAACGTATTATGAGGTATTTTGTGAGAAAAGAGAAAGAAAACGACGCGTGACGACTCACCTGTTCGATACTGTTGTCAACGAGTATAGGATTGCCTTTGATGTTTGTCACTTCTCCCTCAGTATCAAAGGTTACCGTAAAATTCCCCACATACTTGGTATACGCGTATGCTTGAACCACGTACACCTTTCTTCCGCTTTTCTGCGTCACTACCGTAGGATAAAGTCCCTCGGGAACCTCCACATCAGGCTGTTTCCCATTATAAAGGAAAGTGTTTGTGTGTCCACCGATCACTAGATCGATGTCCTCCACTTCTCTGCCGATTCGTTTGTCCACCTCGAAGCCAGAGTGTCCCAGAGCGATCAATATATCAACACCTTGTTGCTTCAACGCTTTTGCCTCTCTGCGAATGCTCTCTACCTCGTCCAAGAAGATCACCTCTTCTGATCTGGCGATAAACTTTGTTTCTTGCGTCAGATAGCCGATCACACCGATTTTCGTGTTATCTACGGTAAGTACTGTGCTGTTTAACAACTTTGTGGCGGCTAAATTTGGCTGTTTGCTTAGATCCAGATTCGAAGTTACTATGGGGAACGTGGCGTTCTCGATGAAGGGTATCAGTCCTTCCACACCGTCGTCGAATTCGTGGTTGCCCAAACTCTGTGCGCGTTTCATTCGATTTTAACGGTTGACGGTAAGTAATTTTTACTTAGGTGAAAATATGGATTTGAACAAATTCAAACAGCATCAAAAATATAAATACCAAATATAACAAGACCTTAATGTCGAATAAATTAGTGACTAAGCCTTACGGCATCGCTCGTAAGAGCGTTAGACTTGGCTCTCGCTTGAATTAGTAAAAATGACTAGCAATATTTGAAAGGACCTCGTAAAAGGTCAATTTTAATAGATTCTTGTTTGCCTTGAAAGGTTTAGATGATTCGAGGAGTGAAATCAAGTTAAAGGTATTGAAAGATAAATCTTGTAAACTGTACCGTTACATTTGGAGCCAATATGTTCAGGAACTTGGTTACCACCTTCCATTTGTATACATTGTACCAAATAGATCCTTGATAAGTATCCCCAGCATTCAGGAAGATACAAGGGGTTGGTGACTTCCGTGCTTCACGAACTAGGGTTGCTATTCTAGCGAATCCTCCGTAGCATTTTCCTGCTTTGGCGTCGTTCTTGGAACAGACGGTCGATAATTTTGATGTTTCCTCGAATCTGTGACCAAAAGGTATTGCATAATTATTTATTACTAAACTAATTCTTCCACTTGACTAATCCAATATATTGTGGACTTCAGTTTATTAAAATAACGAGGTGTTATATAATCTTTTAAGACGGTTTTACTGTCTGTTAAAATTATACACAATAACTACGGTGTTGTTTGAGTTTTTCTTACTCCTACATATTTATCGATCCGCTATGAATGAAATTAACTTCCGAAGCTCGTTAATCATCGCTTAAGATAGAAGGTGAGAATAAAAATGGGCTGGTAAATCGCGAAACGTTGATCGAATTGCAAAGTACATCGAATTCATAAAAAAAGTGAGCGTAAAAGATAAACGATAGAAAAAATGGAATATAATCTGCGGAGGCCAGGAAATTCGCTTCAGTTTGCAAAGGTTTCTGCACGATACGATAAGCGATAAAAATTAACATTTAACCGTTCATGGAGCGGTGTTAATTATCCTCAACCTGCTTTTAATTAGTGTTTCAGATGACAACGATACTTTAGCCTACATTAAACAATAACAGCATGAATAAAATATAAAAGAAAAGCAAAGTTATTGAATAATTAATTAATCTTGTCACGTTTTCGTTATCGTTACGTAAACATCGATAAGCACGTGGTTAATGAAAATATCGTAACACATCTGTCGCTCGACGTTAAATTCGTGTTAAATATATTGACAGTAATTTTACTGTGAAGATATAAAACTCATAATTAATCAGAATTATGTAGTATATTTTAATAAATGCACTGAAAGACTAGCGAAAGACAGGTCGAATTACCTGGAATGCATGTCGTTTGTATGAAGGATCCTCAGCGTGAGTCCTTCTTTCTTCGTCGAAACAGGATTCCCAAGGACATGACTGAAGATCGCCGCAATGGCGCAAACCGTGATCCAAATTTTCAGCATTTTTTATCCGTCTCACAAATTGTTCTTCAATTTTTGCTTTGTTATCTCGCGTGTTGAACGGTAACGAGACAGAGCTGTTCAGCACAAAAAAGACAAACATGTTTCTTCTACTTTTCTTGTCTTAAAGATAGCAATTTTCAACAATTGTTATTCCCGTTTTTGTTTCATTTTCAATGCTTTTAGTTTCTCAAAGAATTCTTCTACAAAACAAATTGTATTCTTCTTGAAACGTTACTCATCGTTACGAAATAGCGCCGCGAGAATTAGGTCCAATTCGAGATCACATCAAATCATTAATTTTTTCATCCTCTGTGTCATCAAAGAGATCGTTAAATCACGCGACATAAATATAAAAATAAACGGGTAATAAATCATTCGAGCAAAAACCCGAGCTAATAAATGTTGCAAAATAGATTCACTCGTAAAAAAAGGGTTTATGATCTCGTGCTCAAAGTGGGACGCCAGTTAATAATCGAAATATAATTTCAGCAACAAGTGGTTTCATTCAATGGAGAAATTTCTCAATGAATTTTTCGACTTGGACTTTTTTTTTATTGCAAGCTGGCTGAAATTTTGCGGCCGCGAAACAGGGTTATCGAAATCTGATATTCAATGAAATTTCACGAGTCATACCGCCAAGAATGTCAGCTTTTTCAACGCGTATCAAAGAAGATTAAAGACAATAACGGGTGACCTTTCGCAGGCAATTACGCAAAAAAAAGTTATCGTTACGTAAAGATGGTTCGACGATAAGAACAGAAAAAACAAGTTACAAATCCTTTTGTGGAGGTGCAAGTCTTTTTTCTTATTTTTATAATTTTGAAATGAATTGTGCCCGGTGTTAGATAAATTTTAGTCGGTCGTTTAAATTACCTGATTTGCGTCACGCTCGTAACATTTGCACATTTGTTCTTATCTCTGAATATAATAACTTCTGTATACGAATCGACTACTATCGGCGTCTATGTCACTTTTCCCCTTTTTTTATCAGCACTAAATTTTAAAAAGAACTTCGTTGTCTGGAAATAAATTATTTGAAATTGTAGCGAAAGATATAAGCAGGCAATCGGTTGTAATCAGTACTTTAATCAGATTGCTTAATTATTAACGGTAATACTGTAGATAATTAAAAGAAATATCGAGTTATCAGTGAGTGCTGTTATTAATTTCAAAGTTAAAATATATCCAGTTCAGACACCCGATTTCAAGCAATCCGACACCACGTGCTCTGTATATAAAAAGAGGTTGATCTTGTCAGAAGATTTAATAGCCCCATCACCACGGTCATTAACGATCATCGTTATGAATTACTGTCGAATAATTTAAGAAAAATAGACAATTTCGAATACCATTGAAATTAGAGTCGAAACGTTTCACCCGAAATTAATCTTTAATAACATAGACATAACTCTCTAGAGCGCAGGGTCTCCCAAAAATTTCGAAGTAAATTGTAGCAAGAAAAATCTGGCAGCAACAAATCCTATACCTGATACAATTTGTCGTACAAATAACGCGATAAAAAATGTAATCCTCTTTTATTAAACAAAGAATCACTTTTCTGGCAGCGAACTCGTTCAAAGTAAAAATCTGTAAATCTTTCACTGGACTCGTCGAACGAATTGAAAGACGCTCGTAAATAATTATTTACACAAGCGATATGAAACTTTTGGCCGGCAATGAACGTAGTCGCAGTTAGCGAAGCTTCGCCAAGCTACCTGAGTACGTTCTAAAAATATGTTTGATGTTCAAGAAGAGGAAGAAAGTGATGTGTCTGGATGCCAATCACTCACAACGTATGTAGATTTGTCGACGAAGAAAACTGACGGGGGTCGATTACACAACGACCACCGCACCGGCGAAGGATCGTCGGCTAAACTAAAGAAACGACGCGCGTTTATCTGCTACCGAGCGAACCGATTTTGTCGAACGATCAGCGACGACTGAACACGTTCGCCGAACGAAAAGCTCGAGTAACCTTCGTTTGTCCCCGATCTGCTGGCGAATCGCTTCTCCGTTTTAACGGGTTCGCTAAATGGTAATAGCGACTTTAACATGGGGCAAACTTGCCCGAAGCTGAGCATTCAGAGATTCAGCATTCTGTTTAGAAATATTTGCGTTTGGGTTAATTTAGATTTTGATCAGATTTGCTTAAGGTCTTTTTTACTCGAGTTCTCCACGATTTCTGTCGCATATTTTCTAATCATGGACTATTTAAATCTTAATCTTAGCGCGAACGAGTATGTACACGTGTCTTAAAGGATTGACTATTAATAGGAGTTTCAGATAAAATGGCGTCGAGAGGTTCTGAAAAGTATTGAAGGTATAAAATATGTTCAGTTTCAACTCTCAAGTATGATTCCGTTAAGTAGAAGATACCTAGGTTTCCCCTAGTCTCTTTAAGATCCCAGCTTTACTCTTATATTTTTTTTACATTTTCTCTATGTCGAATTTCTTCTTTTCGCCCTCAAAGAAGTCCAACATGTCCGTAAATAAATACGATTACATTAATCGCGAAAGCTGCGCCAGATAGTGTGTCAAATAAAAACAGTAGATATAAGTTAAGATAAGCGCGATGTTAATTGAATTTACTCGGCTCGTATCATCCTCATCTTTGTCTTCCGAATGTCACGGAAAAGGTTCTCCAAACATTTACTCGAAGAAATCTTCCTACGTCAATGATCTGAAAACAAATTATGCTTATTTTGTTTTTCTTGATCGTGTACAGTCATTATGAACAGCGTATTAGCATTTTTATTTTAGAGCTCGTTTTATCTCGATGTTTTGATCTATGTCATTGTTATAAAACAATTTTATTATCTCGGATGATTAAATTTATCGCCAGTCGACGAATTAGAAAATGATATTAGGCTAGCATTCACGATCTTATCGTAGATATGTACATTAATCTCGATCTTACGATTTCTTTTCGAGTAAAGTCATTCTTTTAGATCAAACGATTTCTTAGTCTTTCGTGTCATAAAGGAAAAAGGGTAGAAAATGTTTCCAGATTACGTAACTGATCAGACAGCACGAATTACAAAGATTGTAAATCAAAGACCACGATAATAATATGTACATCTTCCGGGAAGCGATCACAGCGTGGCTCTGTTAAATCTCTTTTCCATTACTCTATTAAATAACCATCGATAAATGACATTTATGGTAAGACAGGATATGTCGTCATCGTATTTGCTTTATCTGTGAACGATAGGCGTATTAGCCACGCGACGTCGTCATAAGAATATAAAATAATTTTCTTGTCAGAGTGCCAGAATACGAACGTTTAGCGTCAAGAGATTGCATATGCATTCCCGTTTGCCGTACATCCTACGAAACCGTGATCGAGACATCCGTCAAGCCTGCAAATCAACGTCTTTGAAGTAACTGATTCAATGTGGCACCGTGATTCATAATAATGTATGCAACGAAACTCATAGAATGAAACACGAAAACAATTTCATGTTACTCTGGAATTCGTTCAAGGATAATTTCAGAAATTATTTTGTTTGACGACGTGTTTTCTTTCAGCACAATAAATCACATACCAGATGCCTGTCACGATATTTGCGATAGCGATTTCAGTGACGATAATCTTAAAATGTCTGACGGATTATTGTATCCTTATCAACAATAAAACAATCAACCTATTGTAAAAACAATTCGGTATTTTGCAATATTGTTTCAGAAGCTGCGGTTATCATTTTAAAAGAATATAGATTAATGCTTTGTAAGCTTTCTACTTTTTTACAACGAGTTAGATTTTCCTGTTACAAAGAAAAACAGAGTTTATCAATATTCTAATTGCGCGCAATGTCGAGCGGAATATTCCTGTACATTTCCTATCGATACGATTGATCAATGCTTAAACTGGTTAATCATGCAAATCGTGGTTTACTTCCGTTTCAGATTTCTTTTTTATCACAGCTTTAAAATCGTACGAAGGCATTCTGTAATCCCGTAGGAGATTAAATATACAATTGAAACTGGTACGCGGGTAATTATGCACATAGATTCTTGACGAATAAATTATTCAAGGCGATCGAAATAGTTTCCTTATAATTTTCTTATCGCGTTATCGATTGACATTCCGTGCACGATGGTGTAAAATTGACACCGCTCCGATTACTTTCATTCAGTTCGATGGAGAAAAATGCAGTTATAAACGTACAAATATCTTTGAGTTACAAATATTTATTTATGAGAAATATATTAGCAAATTGAATTGGTGAACCGGTTCGCTCTTATTCGATACAAATTAGTATTCAATTGCTACCCTAACTTTCACCTTTCTGTTTCTATTCGTTAGATTCGACCAAAGGTCTTACCATTCCAGAAAGAACGATCCTTAGGACCTGGCACGTTCGAAGGACACGCACAAACTGAAGTTAGGTAAAAAGGATTACGCCAGTAAGAAGCTATGGATCTCTACCCTCTCCTCGAAATCATTCAACCTCCAATCCCCGCTCCGACGTCTATTTACCAACGTAAAAAGTCACTTAACTTGTCACTTCAATCTCTGAATGACGGGCCACGTTAAAATTTAATCGTTCTTCTTCCCAAGAAATCACTTCCTATGAATTTCAATATGAATTGTCTCGCATTTATTTCACACCGTCTATTATTGCATTTATCGACGATTTCTTAAAAGAACTTGTACTCTTTTCTACGCGTTTTTGTTCACTGCCAAGGAGAACGGTAGTTCGATTGTTAGCCCTGCCGCGTTTTTATCATGGTTGTGTAATGAACGCCGATTTAGTACGATAAGGTAGAGCTTCTTGTTGGTAGATAGTCCACGACGAACGTTCGCAGCCGACAGGTGTGTTACGCGTCCGATTTGCTAAGAATTTTTAACCGATTTCGAAAAAGCAGTGGTCAGTGAATTTTTGGTGGAATTCGGACAGTTAATTATTTAACACTCGCGAAAATTGGGTCATCCACGATAATCTGAGGCGTGTGATCTGGAGCGAGTAAACACTTCTTTCATTGAGAACGTTCATTCTTGAGAAAGAGAGCAAACTTGCAATCTATTATTTTCATGCTTTGTTGCAGTCATCGATGTAAACAAACAAATTGCATGCCAATTGATATACTTTCGTGTTGCAATTTTATCTGCGGAAGAGCTTTTGCAAATATTTTATCTTTCAATGGTACAAGGATTTAGTTCATGATGCAATTCCTCTTATTATTGCTATTTCTCTTCCAAGTATCTCCAGGGCGAGCAGATTTATTTGAGCTTTCGGTGATACACCTAAACGATTTCCATGCAAGGTAAATGAAGTAAAAATGAAGTAAAAGCTTGCAACTTAATTGACTGAAAGTTAGAAGTACTAAAACGAATGACTTAGTTAATCCCCGTTATAATTTTTTGTCATTAACATAAACGCAATAAATACATCGATTGAATCATTAACGATAGCGTCGATAGAATCGCGTGGTAAGAAGTGTCATGACAGAAAAGACAATTATTGATTGCGTAATTGGTAGCTGAAGAGTGGAACAAGAAAGCAAATCAGAGGATTGGTAAAGTGAAATCACAGGGTCATGGGCACGACGATTCAGGTTAACCGTGACTCTTTTATCCGCGTTCCTTTTTCTATCGGTTAGATTAATTGCTCAATATTTGCGTTTATTGCCATTTTGTAAATATTTCCACTCCGTTCACCGAATGTAAACTTTCAATGGTAAAAGAAGAAACTCTTAGTTTATGTATGGAATTAAATGAACTTGCATTAAGCTCATTTAAATTAACTTTGACAAAGTTGGCACAAGTCCAAGTTAAGTTAAGTTGTTCTGAACACCGTAAGACATCTTCGGTAAACGTGGATGCTTTGTAGAAGTTTGTAAAAATGTTTGCAGATTTGAGCAAACGGGTCCTCGATCAGGAGTATGTCACAAAGAAAACGAAAAGGAATGTGTCGGTGGAATAGCAAGAATATCGACGGCAGTGAATCGATTAATGAAAGATAGACCAAATCCAATTTTCCTGAATGCCGGTGACAACTTTCAAGGAACATTTTGGTACAACGTCCATCGTTGGAATGTGACAGCAACTTTCATGAACATGTTACCGCACGACGTTATGGTAAATTTAAATAAAACCAGACGAAAAAGAAAGTGAAGACTCCGGGAATTCTTGATCGCTCGGCGTACTTATGACTCGCTTAATTGGGTCACAGAGTTAACGATCGATTATTTTGAACGGAGTTTAACGAGAATTCCGCGTGAAACCGATAAAAACGGAACGGATCGCCTCGAATTTCGATGAAAAAGAGCAGGAAGAACAGCGCAATCATCTGTTAATTGAATCGATTACGGTGATTCCAATAAAAAGCGTATGAAAATAATGATCCTGTCGGGATCGAAGGGAATTAATCGGTAGGAGGAGACGGATTAAAGTTAAAGTAACGCAAATAACGATTAGGTTTATAATTGAGATGAAATTTCAGAAGAATGATAATCGCTCGATACTCGCTCAATGAAAATTTTTCATTAAATTCTCTTATCTAATTGTCTTATCGTATTCCTCTGTAATATTCTTCCAAGATTCTCAAGATACTCCAGTTATCTTATTGAATTTATTAATGCCAATTAACTTTCTCTACAACTTCCATATCATCGATCATTTTCGAAACGGTTTCAAATTATCAACACATCTTTTTAATTAAATTATAAATGTGTTTCGCGAGTTCATTGATTAATCACATCCTCTTTGATATTACTGTCCGAAATATTTGCATACGGACTGACAGGATAATCTTTGCAGACATTAGGAAATCACGAATTCGATAACAACGTGGAGGGTGTCGTTCCTTATTTGAAAGCGGTTAAAGCTCCGGTGGTGGTCACGAATATAGACGCAACTGAAGAACCAACGATGCAGGTTATTTTAATTTTATATAACGTTATGAAATGTTGTAGCACGTGTTACGTGAAACATCGTTCATTCTCAGGGACTGTACAAAAACAGTACAATCATCGAGAGAGGCGGCAGGAAAATCGGAGTTATCGGCGTCATTTTATCGACTACAAACGTTCGTACTTTTATTTGTGAAATTTGCTCTGCTTAAACCTCCGTCTAATCAAACTCCAAAGTTTCGTAAAGCGATCTTAAAACCAGTAAAGTGTCAATATAATTCTAAAGCAATATCCAAGAAAGAAAAGATTTAAGTAGTCTTTAATCCGATGTGCGAATGTGATAAATAAGGTCATAAACAATTTACGGTAGCTTTTAATCATTTTAATACGGTCGGAACGAATTCTAAGAAGCCAGACGATAAATCGCGTGAAACTATCAAGGTGAAGAGATTACAGAGCCGGAGGTTTAACCGGAAGAGTAACTCGTCTGATTTCTCTTACCGATGCTTAATTGAAACTCACGAATTGTCAGACAATCGCCGTGACGGGGAAATTAAAGTTTCTGGACGAGGTGGAAACGGTGAACGCCGAGGCACGTAGATTAAAGTCTCAAGGAGTTCACATTATTATCGTTTTGAGTCATTGTGGTTTAGACGTGGACAGAATAATGGCAGCTAAGTGTCCTTTAATCGATGTCATCGTTGGAGGACACACGCACACGTTCCTCTACTCGGGTAATTATTTCGATCAAATTTTCGCGTTGCAATTAAATTCACAGTGTGTACAGAATGTGTGAGTTATTTTAGGAACACCTCCCTTTATCGACGTCCCTGAGGACAAGTATCCTGTGGTGGTTGTACAAGAAAATACCAACAGAAACGTGTTGATCGTTCAAGCAGCAGCTTACACCAAGTTCGTAGCTCGTTTTAGATGAACGATGTTTCGCGAGAGATCAAATTGTTTTATGGTTGTTAACAGGTACCTGGGAAACTTGACGGTATGGTTCGACGAGGATGGCGAGGTTGTTCAGTGGGCTGGAAATCCGATTCTTCTTGATCAATCCATCGAGCAAGGTAAATTCCTTAAACAGATCTTTTCGGATCAATCGTAATTAAATTGTTATTCAGATCCTGAAATGGTGAAAGCTTTGGAACCCTGGAAAGAAAGCGTAGACGAGAAAGCATCAGCCTCGATAGCTTACTCGAGGGTTTTTCTCGACAATCGCTGTCGCACTAATGAGTGTAATTTTGGCAATTTAATCACGGACGCTATGGTGGATTCTGTACGTGTGTCAAATTAGAAAAGATTAATTTTTAACGTACAGGTTTTTTTTTAAATCGTTATTTTAATAATTAACTTTTTTCCAAACGATTATAGTACGTGGAACAGGCAGAGAATCCGAACGTTTGGACATACGCTGCAGTAGCGTGTACAAATCCTGGAGGAATTCGTACTTCTATTGATTCCATGGGTCGGAACATCACTTTAGGTGATTTAATAACAGCCATTCCATTCGAAAACACGTGGGACATTCTTGAACTAAAAGGCAGCTGTATCATGCAGGTAGTAAATTATATTCTTCATCGAATATCAAGATTAAATTGCTTACATTTTAAATTAATTAAAAGCGTGTTTTCACTCGATACTCAATTTGAACGAACTTTACGCTGCTCCTGTTAGAGACTGCGTTTATCATCGAGGCGTATTGATTGTTGCCATTCTTCAGGCTTTTCTTCCTTCCAATTTACGTATTCAAATTCTCTGCAAGACGCCTATCTTCCCCCTGCATTAGTATAATATTACACTTAAAGTTTCGACATTGCAGATCCTAGAAATGAAACAGACTTTAATATGGTCAGGACTAAAAGCAACTTATAAGATGAATGACACTTCCAAAAACGTGGTGGATGTTAAAATACGGTAAATGATACTTTCCTCATTTCTTTCTACGGACTATTTCAAGTTTTTACGTATGTGGATATTTTATTTAGATGCCGAGAGTGTGAAGTGCCAAGGTTCGAAAATGTAGTGGAAGATAAATGGTACAGGATAGTGGTTCCAAATTTTTTGGTCGATGCGGGTGATGGATTCGATCCTTTCAAAACCTGCGGCAAAAATCACAAAGTCGGATATCTCGAATCCGATCTATTGGCAGCGTACATGAAGAAAATCAGCCCGATATTAACCGGAAACGATGGACGAGCTGTTTTTCTAAATGTTGTCAAATCGAAGAGATCAGAAAATTTCTTGTAGATTATAAAATTTAGTTGAAAAGTACATCGTTAACAAAAACTTTTCGTTGCATGCTTGTTTCAAACGAATGGAGAGTACATAATAAATCTTACGCTCTAATTATGTTTGCTACCTTTCTCTAGCACGATCTACTGGTAGCGATAACAATCTTTTTTGTAAATACGTATCCAAGCGTTTTAAGTACGTTTTCTAATCGGGAAACTCTTAAAGAACGTAAGCACGATAATAATAGGATATGAAATCGTACAGCGTAGCGATAGCGCAGTTTCCAAGAGAAGAAAGGCCAGATGTATTCGTGTGATGGTTTAATTTGGCGAGCTTGTTCGCCAAAGGAAAAACCTCGAGAAAGAAGCGGCGACGAAAATCTCGCGTGATATCGTCGTGAAAGCAGGAAACGTTTGGGCGCTTATCTCGCGGTATCTTGACATCACGGCAGGTGAAGCATTTAAATAATATATCGAACAGGTGAAATAGCAGCTGTTCGTCTGCATCGTTGCCCTCCGCCAGAACGCGTGAATCGCTTTGGAGTGCCGCGAGAATGTTTCTTTTTACACACGAAATTCGCTTTACGCACTCTTTTCTCATCGTGACATAGTTCCGTCCTTCTTTCCGTACTTTTATCGCCTTTCTCTCACGAAAATCTAACGAGTTCGATCGATTATCTTTCTAGTTTCAGAGTGCCGGAAAGATTGAAGGCAGAAGGATGGCAATCAAATTTCAATTTGCATTGTAAAAGTTATAACGGAGGTAACGAAGGACATTAGTAGACGAATTATGACGATTAATTGAAGCAATAATGTCTGGCCGTGACTGATACGAGCAGTAATATACACCAAAAGGAGAGGGTCGTAAATAGTAGCCCAAATTCTCTGTTCAACAATCTCTTAATGAAGACTCTAATCACCATCTTAAAAGTCCACGTTTCAATTTACAGAGAATATATGACAACCCGACAGCTGCTTCTCGATTCCTGAAATTCCTGTGTTCATCCACGAACCGTCCAGCAACTACCTGACCAATCATCTATCTCCATACCTTCGACAACCTTGTCAAGCAACAACTAGATCGCCTAACGGGTTACACCGTGTAAGATATAATTTTATTCGACGATAATGCATTCGAGGTTAACACCTAACCCATTGTTATCCACTAAACGTTGCCTCTATGAATTTTTATCTGTGCGTCTTGTTTGTATTATGTAACCCTCGTTGGACGCTCCTGGTTGCATATTTGTGGGCTTACATCCGTTTGAAAACCGCGGTTCTCCAGAGCCTCCTATAGAAGTATTCGCGATCAGCGAGGAAACTCCTCTCTATCAAAGAAAGAACACCGACAACGGTCTAACAGAGAGGAACACATAAAACTGGAGAGGAGAAACATGAGGAAAATACAGTCGGGCAGAGTAGAGGGGCAAGTTGTTAGGAGTAAAGAAGAGGAGAGAACGGGAGAACGAGGAGGATACTATATCGCGTTCCAGCAGGGAAACAGGGAGGGAATCTGGAAGAGGGGAAACGTCGGTGATCGTGGAGGGGCGAAAAGGCAGCTGCAAGCAATTGGTGCAAGGGAGAGACGCCGAAAGGATAGAAGAAGAAGGGGACAGTGTCATGGAGGCAGACTTGCCTGCTGGTTGTCCGTCGACCTGCTCCCTGCTTTACCTGACACCACTCGCCAGTGTTTCCATAGCCGCGTACACCGATGGATCGACTCGGGATCCTCTCGTGAGCCCGTTGAGCTCGCCACGCTCGGATCGCCACCCTCCAAGTCGAATAAAAACCATTTTATCCATCGCGGAATTTCGACTTGGGAATTGGAAAGTTGTGCCGTGTAATCCGGTGAATCGGCGAACCGGTAAACGGGTAAACGAGAACGGAGTGAACAGAGGGAGACGAAGAGTGACACGTTGCGATACGATTGATCCAACGGAGCCAACTTCTACACGCGTTTACGAGGATCAGGACAACAATGTGCTCGTGACACCTCTCTCTCTCTTTACTTTGGCCTGGACGGTTTTTTTCGTTGCTCGGTGAAGAAGACTAAGGAAGGAAACGGATAAAACGTGGGCGTTGAGTGATTGTTGTCGGTGCTAGTTTCCATCGAGAGTCATGAAAGATACCAGCGATACGATGAAGGACGACTTGTCCGAGGTATGTAATATTTTAATCGTTCGATCGTTTTGTTCTCGTTCCGTAGATTGACACAGGACTTTTAGGAAACAACGTGCTTTTCTAGAGCAACCGATATTATATTCGACGCTCGGACAGCGTGCGGTTGACACGATGACAAATTAAATTTAGCATTTTAATGGCCGACGTATTCGTGATTTTGACATTACTCGTTTAAGTACTCGGAACTAATTAAAAATTTATTTATCGGCTCACATCCAGGATTAAACGAAGGTTTTAACGATAAGTGGGTACTAAAAGGATGGACGATTATAGTTTCGCGAGAAAGTGATACAGAAACACCTTGTGTAATAGAGTGTAGTGGCCCGTCTATGGGGTCCCGTACAGGAAACGCGTTCTAACTCACTCTGCATAATCCTGAATCTCTATTCTCCTGAAAATCTTCGTTTATTCGGAGCTGAAAGAGCTTATTTTTCGCACGGTATCTCTGCAAAGGAATTCTCCGCAAGTTAATGTTTGTTCAATTGTTAGTACGCCGAGTATTTTTCAAAGAGCATGTAACTCGTAAAAAGTCGCGATATTTGCGAATTCGCTACACTTTCCTATAACTGCATGACATTCAATTTAACAGGAATACGCGAATCCAACAACCATTATCGGCTACGTTGTATTATTGAACGCTCGTATGTAAATTTACTTTCGTTCCATGTTTGGACGGCGTTGTTGGTTTCTATAGCTTCCGGTGTAGCCGAGTTTTATTCGACTCCTTTCACCGGCGAAATAGAATTTTGCTGGCAATTTTCTTAAGCTGTCTTATCAAAGATGAAACAAGTTTGCTTTCACGCAGGTTGCCGGCTCTCTGAATACCAGCAAAAATGTTATTTGAAATTCAGTTCCAATTAAGAACTTCAACTTCTGCCTGCAACTTTTTACTTTATCGGCAAACTTGCTCGTTTAAAAGCTTAATTAAAAAGGGATTTAACCTTAACAAAACTTTATGGTTACGCGTTATAGCGTCGCGCGTTGCATACAAACGGGTTGCATTAGTAGCATTAACCAAGAAAATTTATTAACGAACCGAATGTATTATCTCGAAGAATTTTTCCACCGCCGTGGCAATTTAGATTCTCGTGTAATTTCGAGACCGTCGAACAACGATGATTATTAAGCTCGCGAAATTACTATTAATACAGTTCACGGGGGCGCATCGACTTTAATTGGTATGTGCCGAGTACCATTAACGTTTTAATTAGCGGCAAAGCAAGCTCGATACACGTCGACCGACATTTCCTCTACGGTACGATCGATGCTCTAGCATTACCAGCTAAACGGCAACATTCTATTTATAGTACAAACACACTTTGTTCCCTGGGGTCGAGAGCGTACCACCGAAAAGTCCTCCTCTGTGGAAATCCAATTAACGCCGAGTCCCCGCCAGGATTTTGATTCATCAACCTTCTTCCGATGTCTCCTCTCTTTGTCCCTCGGAACAAAATACGCGATTCAAAACGATCCTCTCTTCGTTAAAAGTATTACCCGTTTATTGGAGCGTGCGAGCGAATATTTAGGCACTCTGGTGAAATGGAAAATTTAAATCGATCTACCGAGGAGCATTGTGACTCCGATTAAAGTTTCAACTACGTAGAAAACCGCAATCTAACCGAAGATCGACGCCGTATATACACGTATATGTGTATAGGTATATCTAGCCGGAAGGGAGAAGTTCAAAGAGGAGAATACACGGTGGAAAGTAATATCAGCCAGTAGGAACTTATGCGGCAGCCAGCGTGTAATCGCACTTTGTATTTTATCAAGATCCTGATGCGACGGTGAATTATGTAATTGCAACGCGCTACCCCTCGAGGCTCCAACCACCATTTCTGAAACGTTGAAAACTGCTCCGTGGAAGAAAATGTTTTTCCCCTCTTTGAAGCTGGCTCGCGGCTTAATATGGAAAAATTGCGGATGAAAAGTTCCCGCTGGAAATTGCAGAATGGATAGAGAGGCAACGCGGAGAGAAAACCGACCCGCGTCTCGTTTTCTTCAATGTTCGACGAATCGAGGAAAGGGGGATGATGTTAATTGGAATGCGACAGCTTTAAGCGAAACAGCCTTTTAATTAGCGAGGTGTTCGGTGAGACGATACAAGAAGCGGAAAGGAAGGCAGTTTGCACCGAATTTTTACCAAATCGAAATTTTAACTTCAACGCGACGCACCGTGTGCGTCTTACAAATTTTTAACACGTTGAGTGCCACGCGCTTTTTTAACGAAATTCTAGTCAGCTGCTTAGAAGCGCGCTGGTATCGTGGTACAGCAATGCTTTTTATGTTCACCCTGTTTTAATACAATCCATTAATAATAGAATCCCGTATTAAATAAAAATTAAGTGGACTTTAAACAACTTAAAACAATGTAAATTTTTTAGTTTTATGTCATATTGCGGCCTGAACGGAAAGTTCAGTGTCAGTCACCGATGACTGACGTGGCACGTGTTAAGACAAAGACAGTGTTTAATACACAAAGTTTGTGAATCTTTTGATGTATCGAAGCTCAAAAAGAAGTATCTCGATTATTGATTTCCGATACCAAATATCTCGTTAAATTCCTATAAATGTGACGGTAGCGAAATTATTCTGAAGTCCAGAAGGAAGTAAATGGAATTAAAAGTTGGCAAGGATATGTACTTTCGTAGAATTGAATTTAGCGAAGGAAAGAAACAAAGTTCAAAAGAAGTTCGTGAAAAAAAATTGGGAAGTTTTCGGTCGCGAAATAAGATTCCATTTGAAATTTAGATTCCACGTCGGTGGAATGCGACCCGGGGAAACCAGAATGATTCTAGAGAGAGAGGGAGGAAGACAGGGAAGGGAGGAATGTCGAGAAAGCTGGAGAAGTTGTTAGAGCTTTTGCAAACTCTACAACAAGCTCGAATGGTTCGTGCAATTGGTTGTAACGTAGCAATTTCGGTATCATTCCGACAGGAAGGAATGTTCAATGAAACCTATCGACCTTTCAATCCACCAATCGACCTTTCAGTCATCTAATCTACATATTTTTATCGACCGGGAATTCTCGAATTCTCAAATAAATTTCGTTATTAGTCATCGAACAGTTTACGGTATGATATTAAAATTCGATGGAGGAAACACAAGATAGAATGATATCATCTGATCCATGTAAATCAATAATTAATTTGCAGATAAAGAAGTGCTGCCGTCACGCGACAGACTGCGCGTCATCTTGACGCAAAGATAAAAATTTAGAGGAATTTCCAAAAATATTGCAACGTTAACGAATACGTACGAGGTGCGATCATTAAGATTCGGGATTGCGTCTGCTGTGACCAGACGGATCACACGATTGACATGCGTCCGCAGAATATATGAATAGCAATCTTCAAAAAAATTCACAAAAATCAGCTTATTTTCATCGGTCTAAAGGTATTTCCCCCCTTAATGATCGCACCTCGTAAGTCGAATGATTCGAAACACAGTCTATTCGTAATAAACTGATAATCGACTAATCGATACGAGCGGAGGTAGGAAACGAGCTTCCGTACACTCGTAATTCGGTTAAAACAATTTTTATGCAGTGCTCGTTTTTATTGAAACGACCAGTTATTGGCAGGTAGCGATATCAAATATCGATACTCTTACACGAGGCGGATGTGCAAGGTACCGTAAAAAGGCGAACAAAACATGGAGTTCGCCTCGTAAACGATATATATTGGTGTATCGTAAATACGATACCGATACGGGACAGCCAGGTTTTGCATGTTATAAATCGATTTTACACCGGGCACCGATAAAACGGGACGGTTAACAGAATCCCTGTTGTGCCCCGAATAAATGTTCTCTCGACTGAGTTCAGAAATTGGGATAAAGAGAGAATCGAGGGTGAAAAATATAAGGGATGATTCCCTTTTAACTTCGACCAATGAAATTACCATACGAAAGTTGATATAAAAATTTACGAACGATAAAACTCGCCGGTTGTGTTATTTAATTTATATTAATGTTCGGCGAACGTCCGCTGGGTGATTAAAATTCCTTTGAATTTACAATTTAGATCGATGGCAGACAAGGGAAATACCGGAACTAATTTGCGCGGACGTTTTATGGATAAATTAGTTGCGTTTATCGGGCATTTATGCGCGTTTAAAATTAATAAGCTTGATGAGGGGGTTACTGCACATAACGAGGCTGATTTGCGATTAACGTTTCACGGGTAAATTAGCCTGATTTGACGCGAAATAGAAATGTTCATTATCGAATAAATACCGAATCGGCATTTCAAAATCGGTCTACAGAAAAATCACAAATCCGTGTTTAACGTCGAGGGTTAGCGTTTTAAACGTTAGTTTTAAGCTCGTTAATCCTATCTTTACTTTCTACCTCGTTACAGACGTTTATTTAGCAAGCCTTGTATCTTATTTCCATCGCTAACGCGAAGTTTTGAAAGAAGAGAACCAACCTACAGCGTGTATTTTCGTTTGCGTGCTATCGGTGATCTTACACTTTGCTCGAGCACTGTTTCAATTTATTTGTCGCACGATCGTAATCGACGAAACATGACAATTACGTTATTACCTACAACTATCAGTTTAACCTGTTTCAGTCATTCAGTCATCTTTTAATACTTTTCTCAATCGCGAAGGACGTTCGATTTTATAAATGTATTGATTTGTATTTCTGAAAAATGACTTTACAACCCCTTAATTTTATTCCGAGCTCGTTAAGCCGAATTATAGGCAGCAAATTGATTTCCTCTGCGCATTATTTTGTCCATCGCGTTTCGTTTCCGAGCTTGTTCGATCGGCGTTTATTGCCTCGTTTCGCGAATGAAAATATTTTTTCCTGCCGTCGTTGAAGGGTTCTTTATTTTTCCGTGGACCGGACCAGCTCGGTCGTTCTCAAGGAGGGTTCCTTTTTTTTGAAATTACAATGAAGCAGGACCGTTCGATCGATTCGATTCCCGTCTACGTTTAATCGCGCATAAATCGAGCAATCCTCTTTAATTACGGCCTGCAAGTTGTTTCTCCGCCATAGGGATTTACATATTCGGAGCTACTTTGTAAACTAACGGTCGAAATCGCGTTTCCTGGTCGATTAAAATGCATACGCTTCTCTCCCTTTTTCTCCTTTCACGTTATCAAACGTTTTATTTAAGCCTTTTTCGGTCCATGTTTTCAGAAATCCTTATCGCTCATGCTTATGTAATTACGATACACCAAAGGTAAATCAGTCGCGCATTTGCATGTTTTCAGACAATTTGCTCGAAATCGTGTAACGATTCTTGTTGGAAACGTTTTGTTCACGCAAGTTGACCAGATGCTGGCGTATTCGACGGGAGTTAAAACGATAAGGTTGAAGAGCCGCGAGAAAATCTCGGAATCCGCAGGCGTTCAGGGTCGGTTGAGGGTAAAATTTCCTTAACACTCGTTTTGCTACCGAGTGGCCAGTTTATGGCTGACCTTGGTTCGTAAATTCGGAAAATTTATTGCCAACCATCAGGGTTGGTGGTTGCTGCACGTGAAAATGAGTGTACACCCCAGTGACCCAGAGACACAGAGCAATAAACGTGAAAAGCAACGGTGGCCGGAGTAGTTCTGTCGTATCGTTGGCTTCCAGCCACTTTTTCCGCTCTTCAGGCCCAATTTTACGGTGTCATATTTACGATAGAGGAAAGTTCCTGACTCACCGACATTCGTTTTTCTATTTGGGGAAAGCTTGGGAGAAAATTTCATGCGGAAAGTCGAAAGATTTGATAAACAATTTTAACCCTTTGCGCTCGAGACTCGCAGTCACCATTCTATTTAATACAATAATTGTAAATAAGCTTTTTTTAACTGACACGTGCGATGTATAAACATAGTGGAAATTATTAGTAAAGAAATAATAACCTCAAGAAAATTCATTTAACTTTTTAACTAAGTTGCTGTTTGTAAACAAATTACCTTCTACTGCGAAGGGTTGAAGAGTGTAAATCTTTGGCCATTATTTTTGACGATGTACATCGTAGAAACGTTTAAGAACAGGCTTCTTAACCCATCAAAGATTTCAAATAACAAAGATGTTTTAATATAGCCATAAAATCGAAGGCAGCAGTAAAAAAAAGCAGATATTCATGAAAACGAGAAGTATCCATCAAAAGGGTTAACGAAATTCCAAGAGACTGTCGGCACTTCCTGTTGACGGTCCCGATAGGTCCGAAAATTGAAACGGCACCAAAAGGCAGTTCTTACGAACCGGTCCCATAGGGTGGCAATCGTGTTAACCTGGTCCTCTGTAATCGACGAACGTTAATTACGACTTTTTCGCATGCAATAACGATTGCAACAGAATTGCAGGTTGCAATGGATCGTCGCGAACGTTTAATTATCCCCGATTTTCCGTGAAATCCCCCATTCATTACCCGAAGAATTAAACGGTCTCGCGGTCCCTTTAAACCGCTCCTTACTTTTCACTTATCTGTACAATCTTATAACGGCATTCATTAATATAAGCGAGGAATACTTTACGAGGGCATCAAAATTAGTAACAAGATAATCAAGGTCCTAAGTTCTTTTTGTCTACAATATTTTTTGCGCGAGGTATTACCGCGCTGTATCAATTAATAAACTTTCGCCGATAGATTCGTAATTAAAAGTTGGAGTCTTCGATCCGTCTTCTCACCCTTCCCAGGTAATTTGTTCGATATAAAAGTTGAAAGAGGCATCTAACGTTGCTATAATCGAATCAAGCGACGGTAATTTGTTCGAGTGCCTTTTAAGAGAGCTTTCTAAAAGAAGTTTCCAATTTCAGGACACGATGATGGACTGCGAGGGTGACGGAGGAGGAGGGTTGGATCTCACGAACGACGTCGCAGATTCATCTCCGACTATTCGAGGTAATTAAACTTTCATTCTTCGCCCAACGCTTTTTTATCCTCCTTTCTCGACGACAACCAGTGCTCGAACGAGCAGAATGTTTTCGTTTAAATGGGGTGGCTTTTCGAGGGTGAAATTGAGCACGGTACATTCTTGCGAACCTGAATCTAATTGTGTTCTTTGAAAATATAACAACGCGTTAATATCGCTGGAATAATATGGGAACAGACAGTTTGTGCACCCTTTAGCTGAAACTTTTCAATTTATTAATCGAGAGAATTAACGTGCTCTAATTGTATCGTGAAATACTGGCAGAATAATGTGACGGTAACGTTCACGATCCCTTGGCTTAAACTTTTCAATTTGCTTTTTATTCGGGAATCTTATTCACAGTCGCATCCGTGTTTTCGTCCCTTAACTTCCCTTCTCGTTCACAAGTAATACCATTATCCCTGGAGCTATTTATAAAAGCGCGCAAACAAGTTTCTTGCAATGCAAATGCTTCTGGAATATCCTCGTTCTCTGTTTCTGTTCCTAACTACCCTCTTGTTTTACGCCACCCCCTTCGTCCCTGGAAACCAGTGCATTCGTGCACTTTATTTGCTCGTTAATTAGATCGTCGAAAGGGATGGAGAAGAGTGGAGGGGGTAGTGGACGTGTAACGAGACAGAATAATATCGTTCATAGGAGGGGGTTGTTTCGTGGGTGCAGAAAGGGTGGTTCTCGGAAATTGTTAAGCTAAATAAACGTTGGCTCGCGGAGAGGGAAATTGGAAGGAATGCAATTACTGGGCCCGTACAAAAGGGAGAATATTTTCTCTCTAATATCCCCGAGACGGAATAATTATTTACAACCGCAAGAAAACTCTTTGTCATGGTCTTTCACTTTATGCTTTCTCGACCATGAAGAAACCGCTTGCAGCTAACGAATTATAAACGTATCATTAAAATGTTTTGCAACATAGTTGAAGTATTTCTACGAAACGAGAACGGAAAGGTCATCCCTTTCAATAAAATTAGAGGCGCGTAAAAATGTGAGAGTATAAAGTTGGTGCAATTTAACGAAGAGGATTCTTGAAGAAGCTTATCTTATAGAAAGTTAAAAGTATCACGGCAGGTGACACGAAATTGAATTCGAAATCCATGGTAATCAATCCTAAAGCCAATTATCGCGATACTGCGTACGAGTTCCAGCTTTGTCGAATCGATGCTATCTATGAAATCCTATTCCTCTAAAAGCGACGGGACCCGTTAAAAAGACACGAGCGATTCAAAGCATCGAATCAATAAAAAAAACACTTGGACACACGTTTTCAATAATTATCGACTCTTTCCATTTTAGCTCGTATATTTTGTAAACTAATCATATTTCTGCAATCTTTTTCTTCGTCCAAACGAAACACGTGTCATAAACTTAAGTTACAGTATCGGAGAATGTCATTGAGATAACATGTTGCGAAAACAGAAAAATTACGCTGGAATTGAAATAAAACACAAGAAGCAAATCGAGGTGAACGTCGATCGATACGATTCGAGCATCGCGTGATCAAAAATTCCCTATCGCCTGAAGGAATCCAGTGAAACTACCATTTGAAGGTGAAAGACACGGAGAACGGGTAATTAGGAACGATTATACGCGAGTCGGTTGATTATAAAGTGGCAAACGGAGGGTATACTTTGTCGTGAAGTCATCGCGCGATCCTGAAGATCGCAATTACGATCGGGCGATATCGGTACACACGAGAATTACTTTGTTCTTTTTCCGTTGGTTCCTGAGGACGAATGTAACCAATACGGAAGTTCCTCTCGGACAACCGTTGCCTCTTTTATCGACTGCTTTCAAGTATCTCGAGAGACGAGCCTCTTTAGGTTTACTCCTGTGGGAAATTGCCAAGGTTCTGGGAATGTTCTTCGTGATTCGACGATCCTACCCAATTTGTTATTCGTATCCCCGTCGTTTATATCGTAGTACTTTTAACTAATTAAATCATTTATTAACGAAACAATATTTAAATATTAAAAAAATTACACAGTTCGAAGATAACATAAAACTGGTTATAATAAACATTAACAGGTCATACAAATAATATAAAACCAATAAATGCCTACAATATCGAATCGAAACCCGAAGAATTTACCACCGAATCAAGACAGAACAGTAATGAATAATAAAAAATATTGTATAGTCAATAAACGGTGAAAAGGTGCAGGGTCGTCGGTCAGCGAAAACAGGGGTAATCGAGTTTCCCCTGGAATATGGGAAATTCTCTTTCGAAATATTGCCCTTTTGGGAGTATACCTGCTTCCGAAGGATAGGCAGAAATCCCAGGAAATTTTTATTGGACCCACCATAAAGGGTCGTGTCCTGCGGGTTCCTCCCCTCTTCGAGAATTTCAATGAATCCCCGTTTTCCTACCACGAATGACCCAATTTCTGCCTGGTCGCAAAACACGTTCCTTCAAAAAAATTCACCATCTGTAAGAACAGTTCTCACGTCTGTCCCCGGAGATTCTCGTAGCTTCAAACATTATTTGTCCATTTTCGGTTATCTTGAAATAAGGGCGAAACAAATTTCGGAACAAACAGTGTGTTGGTCTCGTTTCGGGGTGATAATTAAACCGACCCCCTGTGTATCGGTACAACGGACAGATAACGACTGTGTCTCGGTCGCGGGACTGTTTCAAACTCCATTTATAAGATTCATTAAAGTTCTTGTGGCTCGTTACCATTAATCACGAAGCTCGGTTGGTTGCCACGCCCGTGGAAAATAACTTTTCCCTTAACTCCGTTCGAATTCACTGACCCCTTTTTTTGAGATATGAATTTTATATGCTAATGGGAAGACGGGTTCCGCCCGGGTCGCAAGAGTTTCAATCTTCCGACGAAAAGTTCAGGACAGAAGCAATTTCATCGGTGCCACGCGCCATTCCGTTGAATAATAGAAAGACCAAATCGAGCGTTTCCATCGAATTTGTCGCGATTTATGATCAATAAATTTCTTCTCGACCAAACAGTCTTCTTCCGTCTCGAACCCCTTTCCTCTTACAGCTTTCGATGGATTCTCCTCCGCGAATTACGCTCCCCGCTCGAGGATTTATCGAACGATCTTTACGTAATTCTTTGTAAACGTTCCAAGTTGTCGAAGTTTATTTCTCGTTTCGGTCAGAATGTCATTTCTCTTCCGGACTTCTTAACGACTCGATGGGAGAATGTTTCTTGCAGACTTTTCCCCCGAAACTTTTGTTCGCGAGATTGTTTTCAAGATAAAACGAGAGAGCTTGACGTTCGTTCTTGCTTTTAGCGTAATTGTAGATCGTTCCTTGGGGGATGCTAGATTTCTTTCGCTCGCGATACGAGACAGCGTAGTATTAACGCCCGGAAAGTTGGGAAATTTACTCGGTATAGCGTTTCTAATTACCTGTAACTCAAAGCTGGTAGCTTCATTCGATATTGTACTACTTGCACGCGAAAACAAATTTCCCCTTACCTATCGAACGTATCTAGACGTATTGGTTACCCCTCGAGACCTTTAAATCGTTGACTAACCTAACTCAATCCAGCTTCTCCCCGTCCTGAGAGACCATAGAAAAGAGACATTTAAATCTAGGTATCCCTGTGGGAACGTCCGGCATCCACGTCCTGGGGGGTTGTCCTCAGGTGGGAAAAAAACAATGAAGTCGTTCCTGACTGGTTCAGACTCTATTCTGGTGTCAATGGGACAAAGAGAAAAAAAGGAAGCGGCTAATGTGTAAGGCTTCTTAAAAAACAGTCTATCGGGAGAAAAAAATCGTCTGGTTCGTGAGATGGACGTAATCTGCTCGCTCTCGTCGGTTTCCTCTTCAATTTTATGGAAATCGAGATCTTAATCGAAACTCGTTTGGTCCTTACATATTTTTCGTAATCAAATAGGACTTTGATTATTTTCATAATCAAAGATCGGTCGCGAATATATCGAGTCGTCAAATGGAATACAAAGTTTAACTTTGCCAAAGATTCATCCTGTCATTTATCAACAATTGCATGCTTCATTGTTCAGCAAAATACAGTCTATTTATATAAACGTTATTTCCATAAGAGAAACGCAAATTTTGCTTTCCAACTACTCTCGCAACGCCAACATGTTGTTACATAATTCATGGGAAGTACAGACTTCCTCGTTTAACCTCCACGCTGAACCTCTATCTGCATTTATCCGAAAACAAGTTCTAAATCCTTCGTAGTCAAATGCTTTTTGCAAACTTGCAATTTCTCGTTCGATCTTTTGTCCACCTCGTTCGAAACCTTTGCAGAGCCTTTCGTAAATTTTTGATGTTCTAAATCGCCAGAAAAATCTCGACCTATATAAAGATTCTCACACTGAAATTTCCTTCCGTTTCCTTTATTCTGAAAATTTGAACCGTCGCTTCCCGAAGTATCGTCCCCTCCGAACGTCCCCTTTTAAAGGAAACATCGGTGGGTTCGAGACGTCGATTCCCAAAAATATCGTCTCATAAAATATTCGTTAATTGAACACCCTCGGCACGGATGATATCCACGTAGTTCCCAGGAACAGGTAAGCACGAACTGGCCCTACCTGACGTCCCTTCAACAAGGGGTTCTCACAAGGGGTGCGCGTACACGCTAGTTCCGCACTACGACATAAAGAAGACCAGACGAGCACGTCCTGGGGGGTTGTCCTCAGGTGGGAAAAAAACAATGAAGTCGTTCCTGACTGGTTCAGACTCTATTCTGGTGTCAATGGGACAAAGAGAAAAAAAGGAAGCGGCTAATGTGTAAGGCTTCTTAAAAAACAGTCTATCGGGAGAAAAAAATCGTCTGGTTCGTGAGATGGACGTAATCTGCTCGCTCTCGTCGGTTTCCTCTTCAATTTTATGGAAATCGAGATCTTAATCGAAACTCGTTTGGTCCTTACATATTTTTCGTAATCAAATAGGACTTTGATTATTTTCATAATCAAAGATCGGTCGCGAATATATCGAGTCGTCAAATGGAATACAAAGTTTAACTTTGCCAAAGATTCATCCTGTCATTTATCAACAATTGCATGCTTCATTGTTCAGCAAAATACAGTCTATTTATATAAACGTTATTTCCATAAGAGAAACGCAAATTTTGCTTTCCAACTACTCTCGCAACGCCAACATGTTGTTACATAATTCATGGGAAGTACAGACTTCCTCGTTTAACCTCCACGCTGAACCTCTATCTGCATTTATCCGAAAACAAGTTCTAAATCCTTCGTAGTCAAATGCTTTTTGCAAACTTGCAATTTCTCGTTCGATCTTTTGTCCACCTCGTTCGAAACCTTTGCAGAGCCTTTCGTAAATTTTTGATGTTCTAAATCGCCAGAAAAATCTCGACCTATATAAAGATTCTCACACTGAAATTTCCTTCCGTTTCCTTTATTCTGAAAATTTGAACCGTCGCTTCCCGAAGTATCGTCCCCTCCGAACGTCCCCTTTTAAAGGAAACATCGGTGGGTTCGAGACGTCGATTCCCAAAAATATCGTCTCATAAAATATTCGTTAATTGAACACCCTCGGCACGGATGATATCCACGTAGTTCCCAGGAACAGGTAAGCACGAACTGGCCCTACCTGACGTCCCTTCAACAAGGGGTTCTCACAAGGGGTGCGCGTACACGCTAGTTCCGCACTACGACATAAAGAAGACCAGACGAGAGAGAAAAAAGGAGAGAGGCTCGTGCGAAATTCGATGATTCGCAGGACGGATGATGGGGTGGGTAGCGACAGGTAGTTCCCATGGGAGGTTCACGGTGCTTGATTCCCACAGGAGAGCCGCGAAACCGGGCCACCGAGTCGAACCGAAATTCCGGTCGGCGATATTTCGTGTTCGATTCTTTCGCGAACCCTGGTGGTCTCGATTTCTCGGCCACTGGTTTCTGCGCGCCTCGAGAATCTTTTCATCTCCTCTCCGTCGTTCTCACAATTCGACTTTGACGCGAGTCGCACGCTAGAAAACTGGTCGATGGTTTTGCATTAAGCGAGATGTTGACCTCTGTAAATATTAGAGACGGTAGTCGCTCGCGGATCGGTAAATATTACGACTCTACATATCGCGTAGTTTCAGAAATCCATTTCCTTCCTGTGCGCAGATGCCGCGGAGAGGTTACTGACGTTGTTGGGCGTGGACGAGGAGAACGAGGACCTGATGTCCTCGTCCGAAGACGAGGGCGTAGAGCTGGACTTGGACGAACCGGACGACGACGAGGACGAAGAGGACAACGCCAGGTTGTTGCATCAGTTGGTCTCTTTAGCCAAAGAACTGAAGCAACAAACTCATCAGAAGTCGAGCAGAATCCCTGCCAGAAGCTCTTTCAAGGACTCTATAGATTTCATGGACACCAATTGCCTGGAACGTGGTCGTCTCCCGGAGCCAAGCTTCAAAGGAAGCTGTTATCGCAACAGTTTGCCCGATAAGTGCCAGAAACAGGACTCCCGATTCGTATCCAAGGATCAAGGATTTCTCGAGACGCGTCAGTGTTTCGACCCCTGTTCGAGGATGACCCAGCAAGCGGAAGGTGGCGGCCCTCAAGTATCGGGATCTTGGAACGCGGGGTGGGACGCGTGCACCGCGGAAGCCCTGCGATATCTCGTGGAAGACGAGGGACTGCATCCTCATCATCCCACGGTGCTGGCCATGAAGAGCCATCTGGAGCTGCAGAGGGAACGGGCCTTCTTCGCTCGGTACACCGCGTAAAATGGGTCTTATCGAAGCGCGAGAGACGGTATTTTTTTAAAAGCGAGCCTTCGCTTCTATCGAGGGAGGCTTCATCCGGCAATCGAAATCGATCGAGAGGGTGTTTCTGCCCGAATATCGGGGCACAGGGTAAACCAGAGGCGACACTCTCTGTTGGTTAGGTTTTGTTAAAACGTTGTCTCAAATTGGTTGCGCAAATCTACTCTAATAATTTGTAATAAATTTTCTGTGTATTATACTGTCTTTTGAGCGCACCCCGATTCTTTTTATTTGGACATTTAAATTGTGTCCTCTCTCTAGGAGGAGGGTTTTAGTGTCGCCTCTCGTTATATCTACTCTTTGCTCGAGGAACGAATGTGGGCGAAATCTGTGTTCGGAGAGTAAGGTGGCCACCTGTTACCGATATCCTTTGAGGGATGCTGTTTTAAGATACCTTCCGAGAACAGTTTTCTGCTTCTTTAAGAGAGCCATAGGTACCTACGATTCTATTTGTCAATAAGAAACTCGTTTCTAGATTCCCAAGTATATTTTTACCGAGACTCTCACTGCGACATTGGATAGAACGGTGTAATAGGCGACAATGTAACGAGAATGTATTATAAAGAGAAGATACGCCGTATTCGATACTGTTAGTATTCTGTTTCTCTAAATTTCGTAACGAATTCTCGCGACGTTCTAAAATATATAATTATTTACTTTTTAATTAACGCGCATTCGACACGGTGAATGGATGTACAAGTGCGAGAGGTTAAAACTTCATTTACCCCGTGCCGATGACTCTTGTAAGAGGGCACGCTGTATGAATTTCAATAGCTTGTCCCACATTCGCTATTTCAATCATCTCGAGGTTTCACGATCGTCCAACGCGACGATCTTGCCCAAGCAGAAGTTCCTGCCAAGATAAAGTGGAAAGAAACTCTCTTTCCATTCAGATTAAAACGCATTCACCGTGTGTTTGTTAAGCAAACGACGCGCTTTCATACGTTCGCAACCGTGAGACTGCTCGTCAAGTGGATTCGAACTTCACCATAACTTTGGCCAGACTGTATGGCTGTTCGTTCTTTTCTTCGACGCGGGTTTTCGTTTCGAGCAATTATCGTGAGAATGTCGCTTCTTTGAAACGTTTTAAATATCTTTGTTTTACCCTAATTTCGAGTACTTACGCGTTTCAAGTACGCTATCAAAGATTCCTCGTTCGGTTTTTCAGTGAAGTTTCATCGAGGATGTTCAGAATGACTTCATTTTCCTACTCGATCAAAATCTTCTCTTCACGGTATAAATTGGATCAATAGATCCATCCGGTTTCTAGCAGACGGCAAAAGGAAGATGAACTTGATATCCAATGGCGTGTACGATAATCCACGAGTTTGCGTTCGATCGTAAAAAATTGACGAGTTTTTTTTTAACGTTTTCTTCCTTTTTCTCTAGCAGAGTTTTGTATCCTTTTTATATATCGCCATTAGTTATCTACTATAATCGTCGTCGTTATTCTTCTCTTAGAATTATCGTCTCTCTTTTTTTTCAATCTTTATTACACGTATTATTTATTGTATTTGTAACGAGCTAGGATTAAGATGCAAGTTTTCTCTTCCGGCTTTCAATCCATTGGAAACGAATGTCAATAAACGATGTCAATAACGGAGAGAAAGGTTCATACGCTGGATCGATATGAACGAAGAATACGGGTTTCTATACCCTTCTGAATTTCTCAATGAATTTCGAACTGTTTGGAAAAGTTCTGCAGATTTTTATCGCGTATAATTCACTGCGGTTCAACTCTCTGAAATTCACTCGCTTTACATTGATTCTCCGAGGATCGAAGAATGTAAAATATTTTATTTAAGACAAGATGTACGGTTTCGTAGTCAGTGGGTTGAACAGCGACAAAAGCGCGAAGAGACGTCCGAAATTTGAAATAAAATATTCTTAGGCTATTTTATCGTAAGCGTGTGCGAATTCCGAGTCAAAGAACAATCACGAAAAGGAAATTCTCGAACGGCGGAATCAAGATTTTTATTAAACATCTCGACATCAAAATTATGGGCACTTTTCCTTATTTTTCTATCAAAAGGTCGATCATGGTTCTGCCGTGCGAGGATTGATATAGATAAATTATTTAAACGTTGTATCTCATTTAACGTTTCTCCAACGCGAAGTGCCTCCGCCTTATTTTCCCCATTCCGACTAAGTTCACTCCACGAAGAAATCGAAGGATGAGGTACAACGTTCGACGGGTGGAAAATTGTATACGACAAATTCGGATCTAGCGTTGTCCACGGAATGTCGAAAACATTTCCGATTATTCTAAAGCGGAGTTCAGTTAGATAGGATCATCAATAGCGTCTCGAGTGGCTCTAGATCGACGATTTCTCCTCGATCGTGAATCACTCGTTTCCCTAAAGGTTAACAAGAATTGTCGGTTCTTTAAAAACAATCAAAAAGAACTTCGAGATCGTCGCTAATCAGGCGCATCGTTTGTACATATGTATGATATATCGTTTTAACTTATACACGACTATTGTTACTTTTACAATAAATCATTGTAGATAACATTGACCAGTAAAATAAACGAACGCTAAGTTAATTAACTTTCGTGTGGTTTTGTCAAACCTTTCTTTGTTCCAGGTATTTCTATTTATATTCTATTATATAAAACACAGACAAATTATCACTGAAGCATTCTGAATAAGTATCAACTTGTTACTGATCCTACAGCCACTTTCTTCGTTGTTACTAAATATTAAAATTGTTTGAAATTTTTCTTCAAAACTCGAATGTACAAGCAATTTGTTAAGAGAGGGCGCAGGGGATGAAAAGCAGGAAGATCCATGAACCCATAGGAAAGGATCTATCTGGCACGCGACCAGCTTGAAAAGAATCCCATGGTCAGGTTTATCGTGGTTGCCTGCCACGGGGATCTCTACGCCAATGGGGCATCTGGTGTCGGGTTCGTAGCACATGCCATGCATCTGCTCCGTCGAGGTACTTTTGTTGTCTTCTTCGACGTTCGTCCGGCGAAAATAAGTCGAGGCTGCTGTTACCAAGGGAATCTATGCGCTTTCTTACTGCCACCGGAATCATCCGCGACCATCTTCGCGTAAAAGGATCTAGCTGTCCGATAGTAGCTCCAGGCAATTAGCGATCGGCTACTTTTGTCGGCTACGTTTCCTCTTCGATTCCAATCGAAACTGGATTCCTTATTCAGGACTGATTCGTAAGGATGCAAGATTTTCATCTCTGCCAGTTGAACATTTTTACGTCAATCTACACTGCTCGTTTCAGGAATTCGTTTATTAATTTGCTGTACACGCAGGACTCTGCCAGACTGAAGTGTAACTGAAGGTTACAAGATTTTATCTGTGGCAGTTGAAGATTTTTCTTCTATATCGTCAACCTTGTGGATTGCTCGTTTCAAGAATTTGTTTATTAACTTGCAGCCCGATATTATGTACTTAGGACTTTGTAGCCAGACTGATGTGTAAATGAAGGATGCAAGATTTTCATTTCTGCCAGTTGAACATTTTTACGTCAATCTACACTGCTCGTTTCAGGAATTCGTTTATTAATTTGCTATAACGCAGGACTCTGCCAGACTGAAGTGTAACTGAGGGTTACAAGATTTTATCTATGGCAGTTGAACATTTTTCTTCTATATCCTCAATCTTGTAGATCGTCCATTTCGAGAATGATTAATTTGCAATGGCATTCGAAAACGACGCACTTGGTTTCATGTCCCGAGCATCTGCAGGATACATAACAGCAGCAGGCGTAAAGGAAAAAAAGTAGGAAGGAATCTGGATCCCAGGAATATTCGTGTCTCGATTTTCCGATCCATCTAGCCCGGGGAATTCGGTCGTCAGTGGTCGAAAATTTCGATGTCTGCTCAACCCTTTTTCGTATTCTCACCCCCGCAGCTGACGAGCACGGGATACCACCTGACGGTTATCCAGAAACAGCTGTTCTCTCCCCTCGCAGCCACCCTCTTCGTCTCGCGACTCGATCTGCACCGGAGCCTGTCCAAAAAATCGAAACGATTTCGCCGAGAAAAAACAACAAAAATTACTACCACCCGGCTGTTGGGTTTCGGGGATGATTAGAGATCGCTGGAGAAGTTAATGAAGTTTGAATAACGACCTGGCGAAAGGGTTCTGAAGGGAAAGAGATCTACTGACCGAGAAACGGAGATATTTTAGATCCAGTTGGCAAATTTCACTACAGGTTCTGACTTTGAATTATTTCTTTCGTTGGTGAATCTTGGTATCTTACAATGATAATGTGTGAACTCGATGATACAAGTCTACTGTAAATAAATGTTTTTCTTTTTGGAAGAAACCTATACGTGTAATTTAATTTAAAGATCGACGTCCAATTTTTGAAGATTAAGGCACTTCGAAGAAACCATTTAACGACACCCGAAGAAGAGAAGGAAGAGAAGAAAAAGAAGCCATTGCTGTCGTTAACTGAGAGTAAATTTTTGTACGTGTCAGATTCAGGTAAGGTTTACTTAAAAATTGAAGGTTGATCGGTCCTTGTAATACGTTAATTAAACTCGAGAACCGGTTGCAGCATCCTGGTCAAAATCAGCGCGGTAATGCATGTTCCTTTTGTTTACTTAATTCGATATGTACAGTTATCCGCGTCGGACATTAATCGATCGTTATCAGTCTCTTTTACCGAACACTTCCTTCAAATTATAGGCGTTTGAACACGAAAAGATCTCCTTTGTTCGAAGTTCGAGCGCCTTTCACCGTTTCAACCTCCAACGATCGAGAAGCCAAGGTGTTCAGCACGAGCCCTAATCAAGGATCTCTGTTTCCTGGCAGATGTTTCTGATTTTCCGAAATGAGGTCCTTTTCTTTCTGTCTTCCATTGTTCCCATCCTTCTGCAGTGTTTAACTAATTGTAGGATGAAATTTTTGATAAAATTCTGCAAGATTAATGCAAAACGATTATGAAAAATGTGTGTGCAACGGAAAGGTGGGCCAAACTGCACGGTACGGTTAGTAGAAGCTGGCAGATGTATACTTCCGGCAGCTGTAAGAGTGGTGTCGTGTGCCTTTATACTGCACGCGCCGATTGGCCATTAAAGAATAGGCGCAGCTGGATTCGATGATTTCCAGTGAAATCAATTTTCTGACCCTACGATCGATCGATCTAGCAACATTCAATTTTAATAACAAATTTACTGGTTGTTACCTTCTTTGATAATTTCATGACATAAAACGCTACATTAATTTGAAGCTTGAGGCTGACGAAAATAACCCTACCCTTTGAAATATTACCGATATTGGATATTCTCTAATAAGATACTAAAATTGACGCTTTACGAAGCAATTTCGTAAAACGAAGAGTTAAAGTTTGAGTCGCAATTCAAGCGACATACATTTATGAATTCGTATCGGACCAAAGGGGTTGAGAATAAACAATTTGTCAAAATAAGCCAGTGAAAATAGGAGAAAGAATTTGTTCCGTGCAATAATTTACAGCGAGAATTCTCAACTTTTTTTTAATATCTTGCAACGAGCTGCACACATTGCAGCCATCTGTCGCTGCACGAAACTTTTCACTTTCATAGTTACGCTCGCGAGACTTTTATTGTCGGTATATACATCGTGCTTTGTGCTCCAGCATTTTCACGTTAAGAAACTTTTCCCTTTTCCTCGAGCCGTAATAAAAATAGCTTTACCTCTGGTCTCGTAATTCATAAAAATATATGAAAATCAATAACCGCGCGAGGAAAGAGTAACTTCTTTTCGATAAGGTTTGATGCATTCGGGTCACGATGATATATGTTGCTGAAATTTATTTCGAAATTGCGTAAAATCTGCTCCTTCGAAGTCGATCATTTTGAAGGCACGAGAGATTAAACAGACGCGTTTACCTTGACAGAATTTTAATCATTTTATGTATTTGTTACCGTGAAAGACCGAAATCTGGTGAATATCGACATTCTCCAATTTCGGTCTTCCACGGTAACATATTCACTGTTTTAGTAGGTACTCTTATTCCGTTTTACAGGGTCCTTAAAAGGGCATATTTTCATAAGAAAAAGAACGAGGTAATTAATTCGATGAAATGACCAAGGTGTACAGCAGCTGGTCCCGGAAGATCCGGGCTTATTGTGCATGGAAACATCAGCATGTTTCCGTCCAAACCATTCTACATTGTAATTCGAGTGATTCTATCTCGCGACTGCATCGACGTGCTACGATTCTCGGACGTGGCAATTTAGCCAATTTACTTGATTCCCTCCGCGTTTCACAACGGACTGCCACGAGACCCCCATGACAATACCGTGGACATCGTGGAATGCAGACAGTGCCCGGCTAAATAGATCCATTTTCACCGACAATCTCCAGCGTTCCTAATGGAAGTCATCCTCGCAAATAAATGGACAACGGTATAACATATTCTTAGCAGATATTCGTATTAATTTCTCCTGGTCTTCTCCTGGTACGAATTATAAAATCGTACGGTGAATCAAGCGAACTGGAATTAAAAATTCGGCTAAATCCGATGGAAGCACGTGGGGGACAGCGAGTGGTTTAAAAATCGTTGGCACGCGAGTTAAGGCCGGAAGTTGGGCCACGAGGGTGCAAACGAAAGAGGTGGGTACTCTGGTTGTCTCTCGAGCCCTCCTCGAACATTTTTCCCCCCATATGGTCGGCACATGTGGGTTCACAGAGCGTAGAGGGGGGCAGAGTAATCGGGAAACCAGCTGATGGTCGCCGTTTGTTGGCCTTCTTCAGTTACTCTTGGACCGTGGTCTGCTCCGAATCTGCTTTTTCGTCGGCGTTCCATCGTCTCCGATTTCCGAACGAACATCCTCGTGAGAAACGACCTTAACCCGTACGGTTAATTGGATCGAGAAGAGGAAAGAAGGGGGCAAGGCCGAAAGAGGACGCTGTTCGACAACGTGAGTTCGATCAAACTTTCTTACTCCTATCTTGAAAGTTGGTGCTGCAGTGACGAGAAAATTGAATCACGATCTTTAGCGAGAAGAGTATGTACGCTGCTCAATCTTTTTAATTAATAAGCTGCCGGTAACTCGAAGTTAATAACAACCTTCAACCTTCATGGTTCATTTCGTAGCTCCACTAATTACTTCGGCAGACTTCGAAATTAGCTCGTTTCACAAACTTTTTCTTTCAACAAGCTGTCTATATTCTTTCTCTTAATTAAATATTATATCGAAACGATGTTTTATCTTCACGGACTCGGTTCATCGCGTGAAATTTTTCACTCTCGATCGTTCGATTAGCACTGTATGAATTAAACTCGTTAACTACCACTCGAAAGTCTCGAGTCGCGTTTCGAAACGTCCGTATCTTTTGCACAAAGAAAATTCATAACGAAAACGTACAGAAAGTTTCAAGAAGAAAGACAGATGCAATCAGCGTGGCATTGTAATTTATTTTTTCGCCCGTTCATAAACTGCCGCAATACCTCGAGAAACTTTTGTTAATACGGGTTTTTTCCTGACTGGCCAACTAAAAGCGTTCAATGTCTGCGAATTTTCGAAGAAGATAAATGTTTATCGTTGCTGGCCGGAACGGAAGCGGAAAAAGTTAAAGTGCCTCTCTCCGGGTCTTTCAGAACTTCCTGGCTATGCTTAAAGTTTGCGAACGTAAATAGAAGAGAAGAGAAAGGAAATTGAACTTTTTTCCACTCGTAAAAACCAGCGATTCTTGCATTACATCGTTAAAATTATTGTTCTTACTTTGGGGAAATTATTCGAACGAAGCTTTTTAATTTACGATGATGATAATTCGAAAGGGAGCGAGTAGATAAAAGGATAAAGTCGAAATTTGCGACTCACCCTCTCCGGATGATAGCCTGGCCACGGTAAAAGGGTGAACGCTATCTGCGATATTCAGTTTTGCGTTCCATTTCCAATACGCGGTAAAAAAGAAACAACACAGAAAGGTTCGTAGTTTCATTGTTTTCGATTGTTCATCTTACCAACTCACTCACCGAATCGGAAAACAACGAAAAGCTTTTTTTAAAAGCTGCAACTGTTCTCGTTCGGATAAAGCAATACGCTTTCATCGTTTTCCGTGCAATCGAGTCGACTCATAGAAGCTGTTCTGAAAGCTCTGAATACAAAATAAAAAGAGGAAAGGGGGCGACAAAGAGAGAGGAGAGACAATCGAAGGCAACGTGGCGGCCGTTTTCAAAGTGTAACGCTACGAGGCCTGTATTTTGGCCATTGAACCCCCGGCTGTGGCTGGCACGGGGGTGAATCTGACGATGGGGGATGGGAATCCTTAGTAACAGTGTAATGCCGAGTATTGATTTCGGGGGCTGGCTTTAGGCTTGTGTTACATGTGTATACACGGCGTCCTACAAACATCGGTCAACCTGAGCAAACGTTTCGAGATCGAGGCTGGTGATTAAACGGAAGCTTTTGTAGCGTGTCGAGCGAATTACAGGAGCCAGGAAAATTGCTAACAATTAGCTGTACCGATAGGAAAACAGACGGAGATTAATTCCCCTATTGTGCCCGGGGAAAATTTGCGTTAATTAAGCCGAGATAAAAAATACATCTGTCGCGTAATTGGGGATGCAGGAACGCGATTCAACTTTGGCAGATAATAGCGGGAAGAAGTTAACTAGAAAAACCTTCGAACTCGGGATAGGTATTTTAATTGGTAACTGGATCGATCGTAATCTGAATCGCGTCGTTAATTCTCATGAAAATTTTCTTTATGTTTGTTACAAGTTTTGCGTAAAATTGTAGATGATACCGGATACGGAAAGCGTCTGTGAGACTTCCGAGGCTGCGGTCAGAAGCACGGATGTGTATCAGAAGATTAAGAACGTACCGGAAGGGGAAGCGGCCTCGGTGACCGCTTGGAAACGATATCAGCAACTGGTGGCGATCGTCGAGGCCAGGGGAGGAAAGTTTAATCGGAAGTCGATGATCGAGGCGATTTTTCGTGGCTCGGATCTCGTCTACCATTGATCTCAGCAATCTACTCCTGCAATCTTATTACCAAAGCGAACGGATTCCTATTTTTATGCAGTGAGAGGCAATCGTATAACAGAGTGTCTTAATTTCTCTGTTACGTCGAAACGCAATTACGTCTAGAAACGTTCGAGACTTCTTCAATTGCTTTTTTATGATCTCCTGTAATTTCAAAATTTCCTAGTTGTAATTAACGGTAAAAAATACGCGCGTCACGGTGATTGAAATAACTTTGCTTCGAGTTGAAGCGTATAAAATTCGTGAAATATGATGTGTAATAAACGAATATCTGTGCATATTCCTCTGCAAATCGTAGGATAATCAGTTTGTCATTGTAATTAGGGATATTATTAACGATGCCAAACAGTGTATTGCTAGTCAACACGATAGAACGCCGTGTACGATTTAATTAGATAATTAAGCGATGATTAGGATTTGTCGGATGGCATGCACGTGATCTCGTGTTAGTCGATAAAAAAATAACGAGTAGAAGTACATGTAATGCGTAATAATTATAGTCTATTAAATGTAAGCGAGATTTGTGATCTACTTTGAATCTAGTTAGTTAATGATGATAAATAACTGCAGTTCCGAGTAAATACTCTTTAATAGAAGATCCAGTTGGATAAGTTACCTTACAGTAGAAAATGTAATTGTATTTTTTCATTAGTTGTATTTATTATTAAAACGTGACTGATGGAAAAAATATAACATTTCATTCCTTTATCCTCATCCTTGTTATATATTTTATAAAAATAACTGCATCCTCGAATTCGAAGAAATGTAACAAAAGTAGTGTAGAATGTAAAACAGGAGACAGGTGAATATCTATGAATCGCGGTACCAGAAACTGCGCCTGGTAGCAGGATAGCAGAATGCGCGAGGAGGTATACCGCTTTCCCGCCAAAAGTACGCATTGCGTAATAATCATTAATTACGCTCTAAATACTCGCAAGAACTGAACTTTTATGATTGATTCCTAAAGAACAATGCCGGGGGAGTATTCTAATACCACTTTCGTGCAGATTTGACTTATAATTACTTAGTTACTAATAATTATCGATTTGTTAAAATTTGTATTAAACACGCGCGTGAATTTTATTAATTCCGTCGAAGATAAGAATAATTTATGACACTTTAGGATTTTAATAATAAGAGGAAGGTGGAAACTACATTCTTTAACTGGTTTTAGTAAGATTTAGATAGCTAGTGTTAAATAAATATTCACTCTTGTAGCCGATATCTGTTAGGATACGCAAGGACCCGCACACTCGAATTTTCATTAATTTCTTCAATTTAAGAAGTATTTTGTGAACTTTTATAATTTAAAAAAATAGTACAAGATGTAAGAAATCTTCGCATACCTATATTATGTACATCAACAACGTATTTATTTAATAATTTAGTAATAATGTTATTGCATGCTCGTAAGTATAAAAGTACATATTAGAAGGCCGCCATTTGCATTTCGGAGTGTGATTTCGTTGAAATTCCGTTCTTAATATTATGACACTAAAATTATTAAAGAGGTAGTTCAAAACATGTGATTCGTATCACTCACTGTAATATAATATATTTCTGTTATTTAAAACTACGAGGGTAGTAGGATAACAAAATATGCAAAGAGGTGGCACGCAGGTATGCGCAGAACGGATGCGCAGTGTACTTGGTCAGGCTCGTCGGCAGTGGGAATTCGGTTCCGAAAACGACTCCTGGTAGCAGGATAGCAGAATGTGCAAAGAGGTGGCACGAAGTTATGCGCAGAGCAGGTGCGCGGTGCATTCACTCAGACTTGTCAGTAGTGGGAATTCGGGTCCGAAACCGACTCCTGGTAGCAGGATAGTAGAATATGCAAAGAGGTGGCACGCAATCCTGCGCAAAGGAGATGCGCAGTGGATAGTAGGAGTGGTGGGGGTACTATCTAAGAATTTTCGGCTTTGAAACTTACTCCTGGTAGCAGAATAACAGAATATGCGAGGAGGTCGATCGTCATAATTATTTTTCGGCTATGTAGAAAGGATAATAATGTTCAGAAAAAAGAAATGAAAAGAATTCTGAACAAATAAAAAAATTATTCTTAATTTTAAAATTAATAACACTGTGATATATTTTATATTTTGAACTTTCATTTATTTTTAATTTTAATTTATTATACATATATGCTCATATGGTGTATTATTAAATTCATTATAATTACCGAATTAAATAATACCGTACAAATGTACAAGATATATACAAAACGATCTGCATACAATACTCGGGACAATGAACATCTTTCGAAGATTTCTTATAAAACAACGCGCGAATTAAAATCGCAGAAATAATGAAAATAATTTACAGATATATTTTACATAGTTTAACTTTACCGCCTCTAATTCAGTCTCTTATAATTTCGACTGTCTGATCTATAATTTATCACATTGATTAATAAAGTCGCATTAAGGCTTTGAAAGATGAAAGCGTAGAGGTAAGAACACCTGTTGCACAAAGATCAGCGATCAAATCGTCACGTTCACCAAGCTGACACGAACCTTGAGGAACTGATTGTTATCGAATGTACAGAAACAAAGAGACTGACAATTGAATTAATTAATGACCTAATCCAGACCAGTTGCGTTAGCCAACTTTCCAATTCGACTACTTCCGTGCAGCTGTTATATAATTTTCTAGATCTGAAGCGTAAAGGAACTGCATGAGATTACCTTGCGATTTCTCATTTTCTTAAACGAAGAAATTCTCTTAATTTTACACTGTGAACACTTTGTACAATCATCCTACATATTTTATAGAAATTCATCCACGAATCGGACCCAAAAGTTTGTTAAACTTTCTTCGATTCCTAACTCTAGTTCTTAAACGCGCGCCATAGGAAGCTTATCATATAAACTCTGTCACGAAGATCTTCTTCAAATCAGGCGCAGACCCCCCAATGTCGTGCCTGCAGATGTCCCCGTTGTCTAGGTAGCTGACGTCCGAGTTCATCAGAATGCTTTTCAGACTCTCGATGGAGAGATCCGGTAATTTCCTATCTACAGCGAGTTTGTCCAGGTCATTCATCGAATAACCAGGTCCGATTCTCTGCTTCTTCAAACGATACGACTGTACGGACGGTTTTGTATCTATTAGTTTGTTCTTCTTCTCCTTGCGATCGTTCGCTTCGTCCTCGATGATCCTCGGCGTGAAAGATCGCATGTTAACCTTTACCTCGCTGACTCTCTTCGAGGGCAACAGCTCCACCTGCAAAAGCAACACGTTCTCACGATTCTTGTTACGCAAGTGTTGTCTGTTGAAAGGTCAATCAAGTGCTCGACAGAATAATTCTATGCTACAGGATACGTTTCAATAAATTTTGGAGCATTCTTACAGAAAATAATCTAATGTATAACGAATCAAAATGTACAGTTCAAAAAATGAGCAATAATAGATTAATATTCCTTTCGATAATGCAGTGTTCAAAGAATTAGAATGCCATGCCAGTCTGTAATCGTGGTATCCTTTTTACCTTGATAATAAATTTGATTCGCCTCTTCCTATGAAATATAAGTAAACTTTTAGCCTCATTATCTTCGTACAAAGACATAGTAATGGAATGGAAAAGGGCTGAGAATGTTACCTTAGTTCCCTTACGTTGAAAATATTCGAAATCGTCATTAGCTACGGTAGTGACGGAACAACAGCTTCTGCTTCGACTCCTGCAGGAGCTCATTGTGTCAAAGTCTCCGTTCTCTAGATCACAGCTTTCATCGTCAGACGTTTCGTATCCGTCCGCTTCCTCCTCCTGGGGCTCCTGTCTTTGAAAACTCGGTTGTTCTTTCCTCTGATCCTGCTTCTTTAAATCGTACGTCCTCGAGTCCAGAAACGGGCGATGGTATCTGAAAGAAAAGTCAATTAGTATAATTATAATGCAAAGAAAAATTTATTTCTTGCTTATAATCTTATAATCACAACATTAAAGCTACGTAACGAACACCTACGACTGGCATTTAGTATGATCGAAACTTTGATTTCTTCGAAGAGCAATCCTAGGATAACGCTGCTGTTCTTGCACGCTGTTATCCAGTCCCATGATCAAATTCTCCAAGCCAAGCACGCTCCTCGCGTGTCTTCTCGAAGGTTCCTCTCTAATCTCGTCCAGACTTTTGGTAAACTTTCGTTTACTGCAAGGATCTTCTAACTGAACCAAGTTCTCCATATTCTGTCCAAACACATCGGTGCTACCGATCTTCCTACGACTACAAGGCAACTCGTGCAAGCCTTCGTTCAGTCTTGGACATTTGTTCTGTTGTTCCATGTTGGTTTTCTTTGCAGTTTCGGTAGAATTCGAGTCTTGACGCGGCTCAAAGGTAGAACTGGTAAATGAGGACATTTCAGCCGGCAAAGAAGCGTAGTTAGTATCCTCGTTGAGTGGTTGAGTTCTAGGGTAATGTTGTATTCCCATCGTGATCGTTCCAGTCTTTCCTATAAAAATATTTTCGTAAGTTAAATGATCTATTAACAAGTTAATAGGAAAAGAAGGAAAAAGGCTTGATGACTTTTCTCTTTACTACTGATTTCTCAAGCGTAATGATTAGTTTTCTTGTAGTGCTGATACGGTCGAAGAAAGGAACGAAAGTAGCACGTCGGAAAGAAAAAAGTAAATTCGTGTACTCGCCTCTGTTCTGATGATTGTGCAATCGTCCGTACAGGCTTCCGTTAGTCAAGGGGAACTTAAGACCGTGGTTCAGGTTCAACTGCAGCTTGTATTCGGCGTCCTGTTCGAAGTGACGAAATTTTCCGTCTATACCACCTGGAAGCGTAACAATTTTCGTGAAATCGGTCGTTGCGAAAACTTGCGCTAACTTATTCTATCAGTTTCGACTCCACCAGTACTCCATGCATTTCGGTGCAAATATTTGAAATTTAAACGAATTCTGATCTTCTCAAAATTGGAATTTGGTTTACAATGATTTTGACTATACTATTTTATATTATAACTACTGATGAGTAGTATGCATATGAATGATTGTACAACGAGTCTAATCGAATCGGACACGCTAGAAGGAGGGAAAAATCAAACGGTACAAGCGTAAAAGAGAAATTAACTGGCGGTATGTGGTCACGAGCGATTGCGAGATCGTTGCTTGTCGCATAACTGATATTTCTCCTTGGCGATTACGCGTCCGATGCATCTACAGCTCGATTCCCACGCGTGCATCGCGGGTCAACGCGTTGAATTTTTCATTCGAGAATCGATGTCATCCTTCCACCAAGAAATATCGCGAGATCATTGAATCCTGTTTCTCCGACTGTTAGAATCCAGATTGACGATCTTCTATTTACTTTCATATACTTTCACGATAATGCCGCTATCTATTATCATGATTTAGCAGAAAATTATTTTAAAGTCATCGTTATAAATTTATATTAACAAAGATGTTATACTAACCGTGCGACAATCTTCTCGCGTGATCCTGTTTCGTGTACACCTTCGCCACGTAGCGACAAAACATTTTGTCGAACAGCGCCAAGAAGACCGGAAGAAGGGTGTCTTTTACCAGGGGGAGCCAAGTCGCCAGATTCTGGGGTGTGCAGAAATCCCTTAGGAGTCCCGGCTTGATGGATATGACCTTCGGAGAGAAAGATTGCTCCATTATTATTACGGTCCATTGTTTTCTGTTCCTTCAATCTGTTGTGTATCCATTACAGTTATATTTCCTGAGCAAACTTCTTATTCCTCGCATAAATTTCTTTTTATGTCTCCACTGGAGATTTCCTCGTAAGAAATAAAATGAAACGCAAGTATTTGATAGAAGAAAAATGATGTACCGATTTGCTTATGCAATTATTAAACAGGTCAAGCGAAGCATTACAATTGTAAGTAAATTCACCTAATCGGATCACGAGTTATTGGTCCAAGTAAAGTTGCTTTTTAAGCACTTTATTCCTCCGTTTTAAATACCAATTTTTCATTTATGCGGAAGCCTGAATTTTCGCCTAGAAGGAGTCTATTTCCACGCGCAATCGTAAAAGAATTTTTCCCAGAACACGAGGATGATTTCCAACGAGAATTCGTGTCAAGAATGAGTCGCGGCTTTCGCTGAACGGAATGTAGCGTTCATTGCATGCGATTAATTATTGTTCGACGCGTCGATAAACAAACGATGCGTGAGTGCATGTAATTCTACGGCTACGGACTGATTAAACGAACGTAAAAACGGGAACAGCAACGAGGGAAACGTCGAAACGCGCTGTCTTACGTGGCCTTTACTTTCGATTAGAACCGACGGCAAATTTGCAGTGAAAATCGTTCGCTCGGTCGCGCTTTCAAAATCGCAGCAATGCACGCGTCCTTTACATATCGCACGCATCATATGCGAAGCGTTTATTCAATTTTATGGCTGGTAATAATGAAAAAGTGATATTGCTCTCGCGAGACGTATCAATCGTTTCGAAGGAATTATAATGCAACGATGGTACTTGTACGCTATAAAAGCGAAACGTTCGCTTCGCCGATTTAAAAGGATCGTATTTCCGTTCGAAAAGATATTGCTTCCACTGTCTGTAATGTATAATTCAAGAATAAATCAGACGGGAAGCTTCTGACTCGCGAGAATATTTCTAAAGGAAATGTAAAGTTTGCGCAGGGAAGAAATATAGGTTAATCTTTGATTCCCAAGTTCCATGGAAGTTTTCCAAACCGGGAGAGTCGTATTTCTGAAACAAAAATACCGATCGAGCTCAAGCAGCGAATCAAGATTGAAAAATAAAGATATATTCCGCGAAAGAATTTCTCTCGAGAATTTCATGAATATTCCCGCAATTTCGTTCGCGAAACTGCAGTCGTGTATCGCCAAGTTTATTTCAAGTTTTAGCTAAAACACGCCACGTAACTTTCCCGTTGATAAAAATAATTGCACCAGTTTGCAAAAATCGCGAGGAAACCGCACGGTTGTTACGCAACAATGAAAGTTCAGACACATATTTCGTATCCTTTGGCCTGTGCAGGATATCGAAAAAATGTTTCTAGCCGCTGGAAGAAACTCGATTAACAAGAAATTCGCGCGCAAGAAAAAGGAATTGTGCAGGGTGGATAAGCAGATTACTCGTTTTTAATCCGACCTGGGTAGAACCGGCGATTACGCGTGTAACGGGTGACGGAGATATGAAATCGAAACCAGTACCCTAATTAGAGAACATAGCGGCTTAGAACGTGACTCGCATACACGGTGTACCGAAAGTGGTTCTCCTCGAAATATCGTTCCATTAACACAGTGAAACTGTTTATGGACGATCTAATCAACCCGAGTTTCACTCCATAGAGATGTTTTTCTTCTAGCGATATCTCCGTTTAACGTCGACAAACGATTTTCACGAAACGGTGCGTTCGTGGCGTACGAGATTTCTGGAGCAAAGCTGCACGAAGGCTACTCTTTATTTACATCGAGATGCTGAGGACAGAAGAATAGCAAATTCTCCAAAAGACCTAAACCTTATTATTTGAAATTCCCAAATTCCAGAGTAGCTCAGAGAACGTCAGGAAGAGAGATCTCCGCATTTTCACGGATATAAAGTGTAGCGGACGGTGGCTACCGATGGAAGTCTAATTTATACGGGACTGTACACTAAACACGTAACAAAAGGCGTTGCACGCGTGCTGCACAAACGTATCGCTCCGGTTCGCGCGATTCCACAATGAGTTGCAGGTCAGACTTTTTTCCCCTCTCTTTCTTCCACCGTGTTCGTCTATGTCTTTCGAAGCGGGAGCGAGTTTCACCGATCGATATCGTGCACTCGTACCGAATCCAGAACTTTAATTGTTCGAATTCGAACGATTTTGAGCGATCTGGCTTTCTCGTTGATCGAGGTCAATTCGGTCGACGGTAATTCGCACGTGCGATTGCACCGAAAGGAAAGTGCACCGCGAGAAAAATTGCTGCGCGAGTTTGAAAGTCAAACTCGGGGACTGTCATCGTGAAACGACAGATTCTGGTGACATGTTTTACAAGACTTTTCGTTTTCATATTGAAGAGAACAATCGAACACATGCTGGAGCTGTGTTCTGGAAAATGGCAATGACTCCTAGCGATGATTGGAGCAGAAAATTGGATAAGTACATCTGACAGCACTCGATTCATTATTTTAATATCGTTAGCATCGATGCAAAAAATAAGGGCATCTTAACACCTTCATTAAAGTTCATGTATTTTCGATAATCTTGACGCAAGAAAATCGAACATCGAAAGGTTGAATTCCTAAGGACTTTTTACGATGCAACAAAGAACCGTACAAATGACAGTGTGACAGAGACTTGAATGCCCGGCTCGAAGCAACCTAATTCGCGGGCGGCCGAGTCGATTATAAACAGAATGCGTCACGCGATCGATTATAAATATTGATGAAGAAGGTCAGGGGAGTTTCTCCGGCAACGATCATCGAACGAATCTTAATCGAGTGTGATACCAGGTAACAGTCCATATTATACTTTCGAATACTCCTACCGTGCCGTTCCTATTTTCTGCTAGTTAATTTGATTATGTATGCATACCGTATAAGCTAAAAAATGTTTTATACTTCTCCTGGTTTCGGTATGACTTTCTCGTTGACGAACGGAATTCCGCTGGGGAATAAAGAGAATATAACCGGTGGCTTGTCAACATCCGGACAACCGGAACTCGGGTCGGTTTCCGTTCGGAACCCTTCGATTAGCTTCGCTCGCAACGATTACTCTTTATTCCAAACTTGAAACGAATACTGCTTTCCATTTAATGGAAGATCTCTGATAAACTTCGCAAGAACTCGCGCAGCTCATATTAATGTTATTATGGAAATGGGTTATTAATCCGAGGATTAAGTACGGTACCCAAATTTAAAGATAAGCCCAGATATACGTACAAGCATTGGCAGGTGTTGAAAAACGTAACAGACGAAGAGGATGCTATAAATGGTGGGCCTGCCACTGGCCTCGTCCACCTGCACCTTCTTCTTCCTCAGACACGCTCTGCTGTTCGTCGATCCACTGGTGCAGGATCCACTCGACGGATCCCAATGTTGTGGATGACAATCGAAAGCTCCCGAAGAGTTCTTCGAGCTGGTCTCCGACAGGTCGGACACGGACTTCAACAATTCCGCCTTCGGTGTGCGACAAACTCTCCTGAACAGAGCCATCAGCAGGCTGACAACGGAGGTGAACATCAGCAGGCATCGCAGAGAATTCACGAAGACTCCGTATTTTAGGGAAATTTCTTGCGCCAGGAAGACGCAGAGCTCGGGTTCAAAGTTCAGAACACCTGTTACTCCGATGCACGCGCTGATCACGCTCAGGCTAACCAGGTGATACTTCAGGTGATTCTTCGTGAGGTTCAGGCCATCGTCCCTGGTGCTGATCGCAGTGAAAATGGCGATGGACGTCAGAGTCAGCTCCTGGAGGATGGTGGACGAGTTCAGTATCCACACTAGGGTCGAGCAGAATTCTGAAAAGGGAGGAAAATTAGAAAGTGAAACTTCGGGGCGGGAATTTTGGAAAATAATGCATTGCAATGCCGTGGGATGGGGAGCATTCAAATGGAAACACCGAATATGAGATGCGGAGCTATTATAGAATCAGTGACGTCGGAGAGGCGGAAGTGGCAGATTTTATGGGACTATTGGAATAGATTGGAAATGGATGGGAAATGGGCAGCAAAGTACGCAAGATGGACTCATTATCTTGAATCAATGGCGTCAAAAAAGCGGATGTAAAACGTATGATGGGTCACTTGGAACAGATTGAACGTCGTGTAGTCGACTAAAACGACGAGCAGACTGGGAACTTATACAGCAGACTGGGAACGAAGGCGCATAATCCAATTACAAGAATAACCAGTTAAGGTTTAACGTTAATTGGCACTTGTAATTCAAGCGGATAAACATTTCGCAATATCTTTCTGTAGGATTTTCATCGAACTTAGAGTGATCCTCGTATCTACAAATCGCTTTCTCCACGATTAATCTCGTAATACCCCCGAAGCGTAATAACGGAGCTGTATGTGGACTTATGATTCACTGTTTCATTACCTCCAAAGTGATTACTCGGTCGAATGAGCGTAAGAATCGCGTACAGAAGCAATCCAAGTTGATGAGCGAGGCTCTCGGATAAAACGGCCACCGTGAACACGTCGATCCTTCTTTTTGCGGAAGATGGTTGATTCTGATAGATCAGAAGAGACCAGGACAGCAGCAGGATGCATATCGGTGAACCTACACAGGTGGGCAGCCATTCTCCTACCTCGCTTCGCATCTCTGGAAATAAAAACGAAACAATTTATTTAGGGATCGGTGTAAAATAAAGGCGGGTACGTTCGATGCAAGCTACCATAATCTACAATGTATCGGCAGTTATAATTATTTTTATTCTACGGCAAAGAAATCGAGCGGAAAGTTTAAACAAAAGAAAGAAAGAGAAAGAAGGAATCACAGGGAAAATCAGAGATGTATACTCGTTTTCTCGTCGTTTCAAAGCCAAGATTCTCAGTGAGAGTGGTAATGCCTTAATCTCGATGAAAGCTCCCTGGTAATTAGCGGTGTACAGTGGAATTATTACATCCTCGTGATCTCGGAAGAGCCACAGAAATTATTGTTAATCAATCTGCGGCTACTCGGGACAGACATATTACCGCACGAACGAGGAAGTCGTAAACGCTTGGTTTCACGTAAAATGTCAACGGAGGAAGAGGGAAATGTCGTCGCGAGGACACTTTGTGTCCTGTCGCAAATTTTCTTCCTAGTTCTACCTACTTTGCCACGGTTTCCTTGCTTTTGACCGTTTCTGTCGCTGCCCTATGTAACTTTCTATTCCGCGTACGGTCGTGATTTAATTCGAAAAGTACAGGGTAAGATTGTCTCCTCGAACAAATTTCATAGGCAATTTTTTATTGTTCGAAAAAAGAATTCGTGAAATCTTTTTGAGCACTTTCTCGTGGTTCCTTATCTCAAGTACATCTCTCATCGACAATTATAAATATGTATCTTCTATCTCGCCACTTCCTAGTGTATATTGAATACTTTTTCCTCGTTTCAATGCTATCTATACACTTTCACGCGTAATCAACGAACCTCGGCCGCTCGATTTCCAACACATTTTGCAATATGTTTATTTTTTCGTCAAAACTTATACGAGACGTTAACGCTCTAATGATGGGTATTAGATCTCTATGTTTCCAGTTCTCGTGGAGAATTGCTACGAAATCAATGATCGCAATCGACTTGCGTAACGAGTAAACGCAGTCAAGAGCAGAAATCTTTGAGCAAATCTGCTTTTAATAATTCATAGCTATGTTATAAATTTTACTTTACGTTGTTAGGATACGTCTGATTAACGCGTTGATTAGTTAGAAATGATTATATATGTTACCGAGAAAGACCGAAATTGGAGAACATATACCAAATACGTCGGTGAAAGACCGAATATTTTATTACATTCTTGTACATTCGGACCCTCACCGGTGTATGTCGACAATCACAGATATGCTCTGGTGGAGGTCCAAAAGAGAGGAGCCGACAAAGAAGCGACTGGCTCTCTCCCGCCAAATCCTGTGTTCTGCGTGGAGTCAGTCAGCTTTGTCAATCTTATGCAAGCTTTGATGATGCGAGCAACGTTTTCTTAATTTTTTTTCCAATACCGTAATTTATACTGAATGGATACTGCAGTAAATCGTGATCTTTTTCTTGAAAAGTTAAATGCATTAATTGCGGGTAAACGAGAAGACAATTGTTTTTATTTTTCTCAAGAAAAGTACTCTAAAATACTTTTTGAAGTGGTTCTGCTAAAACTAAGTGCAACACACCTTTGGATTACGGACGATTAAAACGTTTTGACGTTTTAAAAATTAATGATGAAAGGAAATTAATTGTACCATTAAAATCGGGGGAAACGAATATACAGTATTATGTTACCAATGAAAAATTGTTCAGTATACTATATGAAACTCACGCCAGAATAGGCCACGGAGGAAGAACACGTATGCTTAGAATGTACTATGTGTTTTAAATTGTTGGTCTCTCCTCTCAGAAAGAGAGGCGAAAAAGTTACGTCACCCTTGTGACGTTTTATAGCGACTGAATTACGGAGAAGAAAATATAAATCTCCGACATGTTCAACGTTCACCATTAGTGCATGGCGAATGTCGACATGTACCGGTGTAAGTCAGAAATAAGGGTATTTAGCAAATATTTCGGACATACACCAAGCGACCATGTGAATGTCGACATTCACCAGATTTCGGTCTTTCACGGTAACATATACACGTTTCATTATTACGTGGGATATCAATAAGACGAAAGTGAAATTCAAATAAAACTTTTCATTCATAGTTCTATTCTGCATTCAAGAACCGTGCTTATATCAGCGCGCGAATACTAATATTAATACGTAATCGAGGGTTGTTTAGAATAATAATCGTGTTACTTGAACAGAAGCAGAAATTATTCGAGTAGGGTTGAAATTAGAGAAACGATAGAAAGCAGGTTAATTTTCCTTCTGCTGATAACAATGTCTCTCTAAGAATCCAGTCTGAAGATCTTGCCTTTATTATAGTTCACTGTTTTTACCCGATGTGAACATCATTCTTCCTGCCGTTTCTGCCGGAAGTAGGTTACGCGAAGAAAGTCCACGGAAACGTATGTACGGGACCGTGTATAATAATCCTTTTTGAAAAGAATTTACTTTCGCACGAGTTCGACCACGAGTGCAGAAATGCCGAGATCCTTTCACTGTACCCTTTTAATTAATCATCTAGAAAAGAAATGAAATGACACTTCGAAAACCTTTCAGTAACTTTACCTTCAGTAAATTTCTAAACCTGGGTTTGCTTTCCAAAAGTCATTTACCTCGAGACAGAAAACAAAATTCCTTCGAGGAATACACTTTTGGAATTAACCGTATCGTAAGCACGACACACATTCCGGTATTATTGCTTCCTAAACACTCGTATAGAGAAGCACACACATAAAGGAACACGTTCGGAGGTCTATAGATTATATAGAGACGCACCGGTGAGAGGTGTGTCGTTCGATTAGGTTGGAATGTTGAGAGGTGTAGCATCGAGCAAGGTCAGAAAAAATTGTGGTCGCCACATGAGATCAAGAGGGAAAGAACTTGGCCTTGTTTCGGGCCCAAGGAAGCTCGAACCAGTTTTAAAAAGATAAAAAATCCTCCGAGGGAAGATGCAACGTCCTTGGTCCTTTCGGGTTTCGTTCTATTAGAATTTTAACCTTCTAGAACAACACATAGAATCACGTCCTTCGAATACTGTATTCCTACTTTCCATTATCTAAAATTACGCTGCTCTAATATATTACAATTCTCGTGTCACGAAGAATAATGATGCCAAAATCCATTTGTCGACAAGAGACAAATATCTTTCGAACACTTTGTATCGCTTGCGAGTCAAGCTTGCCAAAGTTCTAAAATAATAGTAAGGGATTTGTCAATGAATCGATTCGATTCCAAACACCATAGGAAACTTAATGACACCGATGGGGCGTAGGGATCGTCAATTCCAGCAATTACCTTACGTTGGCACGAAATTACGTTTCATGATTGTGACCTCTGGCCAATTAGGCCGAGCAATCAAGCATCCCACGTGAAAACGATATCTGATGTCATGAGCATCGTGCCCCCTGGTAAAACTGGATGCTCTCTAACTCGGTCATGTGAAACTCTGTCGCCCGCTCTTCTCTGTTGCTCTTAGCTCGTTCTCGAGCCGGAATGCTCTTCTACCTTTGAGGAAGAGTACGGCCTCTACCTTGGGAATTGTTTCTCACGGTTATGCATGATCCGCGAAGAGGAAATTTCTTTTGGCCATGTACATCGATACTACACGATGCTCGAGTATGGCTTGATCGGTTCACCCGAGACGAGCTTCCGCTTCTGGATTTGGTGAATCGAGTGGAAACTGGTTCTCCAAGAATTCCTCTGTCGGCTGATTAAATTTTCATCTCGAAGAAATATCTTTTGCCTTTTTACGTTTAGAAATCTATCTTTCATGAAATTGCAATTAACTTTCACGAGTGATTTGTTGGTCGGTTATGATACGATAAGGATCTATTACATGATGCGATTAACAATTGCTACAACGTTTTTATATCTCGCAGCGAAACTTTCATAAAATTCTAATTATTCTCATGCAATCTTTCGATTAAAGTTTTTACAGAAGTTCTATCGCGTGGGCCGAAAATAATCTCTCTTGTATCGTCGCTCGAGGGTTAAAATTAGATGAACAGAACGTACGCAATGACAGTTTGATCTGTCGATATGAAAATATATAGAGACGAGTAAAGATTACGTATCCGCTTCCATGCGAGACACGGCAAGGAGACTGCAACGCGGTCGAAGATAATTCGAGCGAATTAGACCCTTCTAATTCGAGTGTTGGCACGAGAGCACACGGGGTGACTGCATCCTCGCTCAAAAGTGGGTTACGAATACCGCGAGAAAGTAACCGAGAGCCGATCTATCGCGTCATCGTGGAAGATTAGGTGCGGCGGCTAGTGATGGGCATTCGATATTCTCTCTTCAAAATTTTCAAAGTTGCCGAAATTCTAACAGTCTTAAATAAACATGTAACATCTGGTAGCCTCAGAAATCGAAGAAGACTAGATTTCCGATACAAATAAAAAGTCAAAGACTAATGTAAGAGACTTTTCGTGTAACGGAAGCAGCAAACACGGCAAAGAAGTAAGTGGAATGTTAAAGTCGCTACTAGGTTCGTCTCGTTAGCATCGAAAACTCGCGTTATCGGTTCAACGTCTCGAGACTGGTCGTCTAGAAGGATTTAGACCGATCTTGCTACGGCTTCGAGTATTTTTTCACCGGCATCGTAGTAAAGAACACGCGTGCCAAATTCCTGAGGTAAACGCAACCGCACTGTCTATGTTCCGCGTGGTTTCGAGGTCAGGGAAGAACGGCTATTTCGCGAACTAGGAACCTCCTCCTCCTACTACATCTTTCCATTCGCTCGTCCACGTATCGAGTTTCTTCTTTCGTTTTACGTACATGGATCAGAGGAATCTCGTCCGAATTTTAATTTCACGGTCCGCGTTTGGGAATGAACCGTTAGAACAGTCGACTCGTAAATATCGAATTTGTACAGGTTTCACCGGATATTAATTGGAAATATCGTAAAACAAAGGGTACGAAGATTTGTTATATCGCCGTTGCATTCCAAAGCGTTGGATTTCTGTACGTATTTTCACGCGTATTAAGTAACAGTCCGCGGCAGTTTGAACCCTAACTGAGAGACCTGATGCAAAAAGCACACTGGTATTCTGGAAATCAGTATTCCAGAATGAGACGAAATTAGAATTCCTCGGCGGAACAAGCACAATTTCGAAATTACAGCGAACGATGGTCTGCGTATCCGATCGAGGACTGCATTTATATTGTTATGCTCATTGAGCGAATTAATGCACCGGCCATAAGCAGACGCAAGGACGCGAGGCGGAGATGTCCTTGATATTCCACGTATCATTTCCTTCGTTAACGAACGATAGACAAAAAATATGCATAAAGATACAAATATGTAAAATATGAAAAAAAGTAGAGTACTCACTGCAGAGAGTCAGTGATTACGCGGAACAGTCTTCGTGAAATGTAACCGCATCTCTGTTCGAAGCTTGAATACGAGATCTCGTTCAATCCTTTCCAGTCCCTGAAAATTTCTAAGTTTTTGCTTCCACTTTTGGCATCCTCTTCTTCCCTGTTCTGCTCCAACTGTTCCGCTGCGATTATTTCTGAGATCCTATTATGCCTCTATGAATTGATTTTCCTCGATCGATCGAATATCCTCGTTTCTATCACTGTTTCCTATTCGAACTTACACTAAAACAGAAATCCCTTCGATTTCGATAAATCAAACGAACAGAACAAGAGTAGGGCAGGTTTCCCGCCAAACGATATAGAAATCGCCGGTCGTGGATCTTTTAAATCACTGTTTAAATCATTTTCTTTTCTTTCCAACAAACTACACAGTTTAAAAGAAAAAAGTTTTCGAGTTTCTTTCTGACTATCGATCGACTCGAAACTTTCACTGTTTAAGGGTGCTCCCGTTGAATTCCACTGTTTCCCGCTGCAATATGGGCACCGAAATGTTCTTTAATTTAGTGATAAATTTCCGGTTACGACCGATCAAAAACACTCTTTAAGTAAAATTGACGGAGATTGTTATAGAGCGATCGTTTGACGTCGAAAGGGACGAGCACGTTTGAACGGTGCCAGCTGTGATCGAGCGAACAGTATTGCCGCGAAGAAGCCCGAACCGGGACTGACTGTGTCCATAGGATTCATTTGGGTCAGCAGCACAACGTAGTATAGCTTTGGCAAGCCTCCGACTATACTATCTGTTACACGTCCAAGTGAAGGTGCTATACTGTACGGGCTATAACGGAGCTATCTTCGCGGCTTGATTCGATTTTTTTCCCAACTAGTGATTCGACGTTTCATCGTTTCTTTGACAACTAAATGTCTTGTGACTTCTCAACTTCTATTGCGTTTCAAACACTTTCGATAGTCAGCGATGTTGTTACTCGTGTCCTCGTTCGTTTAAATAAAAAGATACTTTTTTATCGTACGTACAACTTTTTTGCCAGTACATCGAAGGATGCGGAGAACATGGATTTTCACAGGGACACAGAGGTAAAAAGTATTCTAACTCTTTATTCAAATTTCACGGCCAACAACGTCGCTCCGCCACACTTCAATCAGTCACTGTTTTAAAAGAAATATATATATCTCTCATGTACAACTTTTGGGAAAAATATCTTCTGTAATCTCGCGAGGTATCTTCAATTTGTTACACAAACACACGCTCGATAGAAACGCTTTTAAGATTGATAGTGAAGGGGTATGGAAGTCTTTGGTTTCAGTTCGACGTAGTGAGAGTAATCTAGCTGCAAAACAACGTAGCGATTATTTACAAAAGCCCTTTTGAAAGGGTAAGCGTTTCCACGGAACAGCAGTGGGCAGAGTGGTAGCTTTCCAGCTGCCTTCGCGGTTCCATTGTCAACCAGGTCCCATAGATCGATCATTTGGCATCCAGCTTGTCTGAAATACATACACTACTTAATAAGAAACGTTAGAGACGCTGTCTAGATTAATGAGTTGTCAATTACAGATTTGCAAAGCCAAAGCAGAGGGACTTCTCCAGCACCACATAACCCACGTGCATGTTCCTCAGGCTGAAGTATACGGATGCAGCATCCTTTCTGCTGAAGATCTCGTAAACTTTCATCGTTCGATCTCTAAAAAACATAATGATATTGCCTGGTCTCGGAAATTTGAAAGAAGGTTTATGCACCTCATCTCCTTGCTTTCGTAGTAAGGATTATTGACGATCGGTCTGCCGGTAGAGAGCATTAAATTTGCCATCAAAGACATCTTTCCAGCAAACACAGCGTGTTCAGGCGTGTTACCCTTTATCCATTCGAACAATTCTTCCTGTTCAATGTTACTGTATTCACCTGGTCAAATAATCAGGGTGAAATAATTATATATTTGTTCTTGAATTGTTTTACGAGATCGTTGTTACCTATGATACTTCTTTCTTCTTGAAGTTTCTCCAAACCGTGATAAGACATTGCTGATATCAACAAAATAGTAACGGCAGTCTTCATCATCTCGTTCTTTAATCCAAATTTGTCCAGGTACTTATTCGAGCAAACTGTGCCAGCTATTATACAGAGATGAGGATTCATAAACAGTTTTAGTCTCATGATAAAAATTGCCATAATGGTGAAAGCTCCAGTCTGTAGGCCGTTATACGCCAGATCAGCATCTATGCATTTCGGATATCCTTTGGTTTTATAGTTTCTGTACCAAAAATAGACCGCCAGTACTCCGGCGAGTACGGCACAAGGCAATAGCAATGTCTTCATGATCGCCTCGTAACTTCTGAACTGTAGAAAATCGAATTCGGCGGAACATGTGTACAGCATCGTGTGAAAATCCTTATAGTTAGTTAGTTTTGACTTGAGTAAATTGAATACGTGCGCGTCGTCTTCGTAAATAGACGAGAAAAACGATTTCAAGCATTTTGTGCAGACAATTGTGAGAATAATTTCTAAGATCGTTTGCAGTTTTGTGCTCAAAAATTTCGAAAATTTTACTGCAAAGCTTAGAATACAACTAGTGAATAAGAGACAGAAATATAAAGAATAAAGCAAGGGATTTCTGTCTGTCACATTCATAACTAACATAATGGACCAACCCTGAACTACGCAAATGCATATATAGAGATCATTTGAAATTATTCTCATCCACTTTAATATTAATAATGCTATGATTTGCGTGGCAAATACAAACTGAGAAAATTGCCAGCAGCATAGACTAATTATCGTGGATATGCCCATTTTCTGAAAGAATTAAATGTATAACATTTAATAAAGTGAGTTGTACAGTCATGTTAGAGTAGTTGAAGCCCGATTTAACCCACCAGCAAAGCATCCACGTCATGACCCAATGCTGAACTTTTTCTGAGAATTACTGTCACCATATAAATTTGGAAAAGGAGTAAAGGATATGCAAAGCTTTCACGTAATGGCGGTGTCCATTGGACTCTAGTGCATTCATTGTGATTATAAAAGAAAAATAACGTAGCAACGATTCCACTCCTTATGCTATTACCCAAATACATAGCATAGCAGAATAGTGCAACCACGGTAAACATACTGGAATACCAAACAACTTCTAAATAAAAGTAAATGGGAACTCCCAAGCCTTCACAGCTGGTTACCGGCGGCAGACCTTCTCCTCTTTCTACCTGAAAACAATTCTTTTCTAGATGTTTCATTACAAGGAACCTACATATCAAACTAAATGAGTCTCACTTGCCAACATTGCTCTACAGAAATGATTCCCAGACTCTTGGCAAAATGATAAAGATATCCAGCAACTAACTGTAAACAAACGAGTCTGATTCCACTTTATCCTTACACACCTAACCTAAAACAACCCATAAATTTGGAATACCATACCTCTGGCATCAAGCTGTACTTTTTAGTCGCATCAATAACATTTCCGTATTCTGAAATGTTATCGTGACTGATTTTTCTCAAGCCATCCATGAACGTTTCCGATTCCGCGATCGTTTTGTAGTAATAATAATACATCCCCTGTAGAAAAACAAATGAAACATACCTGTTATCTCCGAGGAAATTTCAGTCAGCTCGGGTTAATATTTGATCGAACCTCGTACCATTTCCGTGCGAAAGGACATTTCCCTCTCGATTTCGGATAAATGCGAGAAATGCCGGTCATTTTCGAACAGTGTAGACACATGCCACCGATGGAAAAGGCCGATAGCCACACCTGTCACAGGAGACGAGACGACTTTATGATAACGCTGACCAGGAAAACCAGGTGGTTACGCTTCTTCTTTTGCGAGGAGTCTTGTACCTATCAAATTCACAGCTAACTCGTACAAGTACATGGTTTTATATCGCGGTTTCTTTACTCCTTTAAACCTCTTGTCACTATCCGCCGCCATTTCTGGAACTCATTAAAACACGCAGGGTCGACGAGAACATTTGCGAGTCAGATTTCAAAAAAAACATCAGTCCATCAAAAATGTATAATATACATTTTTCATACGCATCGTCAATTCTGTATATAAACGCTTAAAATGATCATATATACAAAATAATATGTGGAGAATTATGCAAAATTTACGGTAAATTGGTAGACGGTATAATTGGGGTGACCGAATTGCTTACGACGGTCCTGGAATTGAGTCACGTGACCATGCAGTTCGTAACGCGCCATTATTCGCGCGAATACAAAATGGTTCTCGACGATCTGAAGATTGTTCTTTTTCCTTTTATTTATTTCTCATACCGGCTACAGCTTAACGAGAACGCAAGTTATGATATTAACATCTTGAGGAAGATAGAAAATAACACAAGCAAAAATACGTAATTCATAGTATTTTGAAACTAGAAACTTGAAAACTTCTGCAAGTCAGGTTAGTGATCGATTTATTAAAAGAACTTTCAATACAAACGACTTCGTTGAAAAGAAGTTTACGTATTTATCTTCGACAATGTTTAAGCTTTGAATTCAAGCGTAATATAAGTTATTTTATAGTATATTTAAGTCATGACATTGTATCTGAATATTTGTGTATCGAAATCGGCACTTTGATAGGCTATATGGTTCCATACCTTTTCAGAGGAAAAAATGTGTTATCTTAGTCGAAGGAAATGAATTTCCCTCGTCAGAAGGAATTCATACGGCCCTGGATGTGCGCGTACAGCCAAGCGTGCATTGGCACACCCGCTATCGATCAGTCGCGTGTTAGTCCATCGTGACATGGAGGATCTCCTGCTGCAGATCGTCCGAGAATCGAATAATGCAAAGCTACAAAATTTACGGAAATCAGCGCAGGATGCGTATGGTGAGTCCACTTCGCGTACCCTTTAAAACTTCCACGATTCTCGCACTTTAAACATTGAAAAATGGTTACGTCTCCGGCTTCACCCATCATTAACTTGTCAATTACAGTTCTTCGTGCAATAAAACGAAGTTATTACCCACTACATTTTATATAGACTTTATACTAAACTTAAGAAACTGTGAAGTACGTTGGTCTTAATTCATTTTGGCACAGATTTCTTGGAAAAGCAGCAAGGGTTGCTACGCGATCCACCCCACGAGCTGCGAGCAAAATGCCTGCACACCTTTCAGCTAGCACTAGAAACGAAGAGGAGCAAATTCGTCGCGTTCGGCCTGTCGGGATTACATGTGAGTGTTGGAAGAAATTTTTGCACTTATCCGTATCGCGAACGTCACGTCCGCTCGTGGCAAGGAACGCCGATAAAACAAGATACCAACGATGAACATGGTATTCTAGACCATGCTTTGCTAGGTTTCGGTATCTTGTAGTCCTACACGAAATTGAAACAATATATCTTTTTTAACACGAAGCATCTATGATAATGCAAATTTTTTGAATCCAGAAAATGTTAAGAGACGATAGATTCCAATCGCCCTACGAGCCAGAAGATGATTCCCTCTGGTTACCCGCGCAAATGTTGCACGCTATGGGTTCCATATTGTCTCAGTCGGACGATACTCAGACGGATATGCTTAAAGTAAGTCCAAATTACCGATAGAAAGAGAAAACGTTTTGAAACGATTGATCTTGCAGGTTTTATTGCAAGTTGCTTGCTCTTCTTATTGGACGATGAACGGACGTTTAATAATTGCCATTCTCACTACCTGCTGCGAGGCTTTCGAAAACGGGAATCAAGCCGTAAGGACGGCAGCTCAGGCTGCTACCAGCCAGACGCTGCGTTCTTTTTGTTTATTTTTAGGTAATTTTTTATCGAGATGCTTAAAACATTGATCACACTTCTCGCGAGGAAGAAAGTTTACCAATTAATTACTCATCTCGTTTATCTAACGCTTCAACGAAAGTTTGATCGATCACGCTCGCGTGACGATGGAATGCACCTCGCGAATTCCGTGACTAACAAAGTTGTTCTCATCGCAAACTTTCTCGAATCTGTATCGAACGTTTCTTTTCGCAGACGAGGAGTGCCAAGAAATGGATGAAAACGCGAAGAAGAATAAAAACGTATGGGAGAGGGGTGTCTCCTGTTTCAACGAGGCTCTGCCGATACTTCAATACATTTGCAGCAAACTGGACGAAGCTCAAAAGTAAAATAAACTAATTTCGATCGACGATTACACGACTTGACTTTAGAAAATCATGTTCCAGTAACGGGAGAAACGGCAACACGGTGGTGTTCCTGCTCGAGTGTCTTCACACGTTGATCTCTTCCCTCCCGCAGAAGATACACACGAACGCACATTTTACTACATTTCTGTGGCAAAAGTTCTGCCCTGCTCTGATAGCTTTCCTAGGAACGCCGAGGGTGGACAAAACCTTCACTTCCAGGGAGGGAAAAGAGACCGAGCTTGGGAGAGGCTCTGGATATTTGGCTACATCTTTAAGTTTCGACAGCCATCAAGCAAAGACCGTATACAGGTAAGACTATATATCGTATCGCAAACTTAACAGATGTTTAAAATGCATTTTTTACAGTATTGGAACCGAACTGGTTCGATTGGTGGGTTGCGTGGGTTCTCTGAGACCAGTCCTCGAATCGGTATTCCATAGAATGTTACTCTATCCACCGCCGCAGCAACGTTTAGAGCCCTTGAAGGCTCTGAAGGAACTTCTTCGTAGCCCCAGTCGAATGGTGGACTTTGCTGGTCCGTTATTGGTAGAGGAGGACAGATCTAGTCACATTCAAAGCGACATGGCACTCATGAGACTGTAAATAATTTTTATACGGTTGGTCTTTTAAAGGAATTCGATTCGATCAAAATTTGAATTACAGAGCGATGGACTCGATCGAGGAATCCACGACCGGTGGTTTGAGTATATTGCACGCTAGCGTTTCTTGCGTTGTCGCAATGCTCTCCGCTCTTCAGGAACTGTGCGAGGGGAAGGCTATAAATCACACCTACACGTGCACGATCAATAGTCTATACGAAGATCTGGAATCTTGCGATTATAGAGGACCTCTGACCTACCAAAGCATGGCGCGGTTGCCAAAAACCTATAGGTAAACTCAGAGACTCTTACGTGGTATAAGAATTCCTAAACGAATACGAGACTATGGTGTTCGATTTCAGAGAACAATTGGAGTTGTTGAAGAAGGGAATAGGCTCTGATTCCGAGTCCTCGGGGCACGGACCTTCCGAAGATGGTGACTCGACCGATACCGAAGGTCCTCAGAACGAATCGGACGAGGTTCAAGAAGAGAACAGTTTAGAAGACAACGATTACGAGATCGAAAACGAAAGGGAAAGACTGAGATTAGAAAAATTGCCTAAATGCCTTCACGTGGGCCGACAAGTGGCCGACGAATGCAACGTAGACGTGGAACGACACAATGCCAGGAAATTTGTTAAAACCCTAAGAAGCGACCTGATTCCCATGGTATTGAGTCTCAGAAGCAATATAGAGGTTGATGACGCCTTGCAGAATTTTGCTTCTGAATACTGTCAAGGTAAGACATCTCTAGAATTGCATAATGAAATATGGTAATCGTTGCATTATGTTTCCAGGAGTGTTCGCGGCTCAGCAGAAGATTCAAGAGCAAACGGATACCAGCACAGACTCGTGTGCCTTGATCACGATCATGAATGCCGACGGGATCTATTTAGCTACGTACGCGGCTCTGCTTCTCAATCTGAAGTTGATTAGAATCAATTACTACAACGAAGAGAGCCGTCAAGTTCCCATCAGTGAGGTATCAACGACGTTCGCGATAAATGTCCAATTAGGAAAATATGAGAATACAAGCGATTAATTAACCTTTACAGGAACAGTTTGTGGAAGAGGTACACGGATCCGGTGTCCTAGTGTATCTATCCGCAACGTGGTTGTCCGAATTATACCAGCAAGTGTTAGCCTGCAATTTGCTCGAGAAATGTGGTTACAATCCACATTACACGGAAAACAGCGCCTTAATCAATGTACTTACTGGTAAATAATCATTGTAAATTTGTAGCAACGTAATTAATGATCAAGAAATGATATGAACTTGATTCTGTTGAAGACGTCGATGAAATTCCTGGCAGCCACAGAGGTGGACAGCTGTTGTCCGACTACATAAGGCTGGAAAAAGCTCAGTTGTCTAGAACGGAGCCTACACCGGAAGCCGAAGCAGGCGCGAAGCTTTCCAGAAGAGTGTTAACGTGTTGTTGGGGAAGCATGATGACTGTTCTAACGATAGGATTGAATCCACCGAAAGAAGAGAACAATAAAGGAATTCTGAGCAGGGACGGTGGTAGGAGAGGTATCAGGGACACTGTTGTGCTATCTCTGGAGGGTCTTCACAAGGCTGCAGCTTTGAGCAACATACTTGGTCAGCGAAGATCTTAATTTAATCGACTCGTTTAGTACCCAGTTTACTAATTCCATTTCTCTGTTATCCAAGGTTTGCAAAGTCGTTGCGGTTCCATCTTCGCTCTTTTAGCGAAGGCTGCCTGCACGGAGCAATCGATATCGAAAATTACGAGAACAAAAGACGTTCTACGTCTGAAGTTGCAAAACAGGGCAACCAATATCCATACTTCCCACGCGTTAAGCATGGACGTACTTTTAGGGAAGGGTTTGGAACTTGGCAGTCACGGAAGCGACTGTTGGCCGCATGTTTTCACGTACGAGTTTGTCTTACAGCTTATCGATTATTTAATTGACGTTGTTATCAACTTCTTGCTTTTACAGGTGCTGTTTGTACGTGAGTAAACTAGAGCACGATTTCTTCGGAAGAAACCAAAATCCATCGTTGCCTAAAACTCAGCAGAAAAAAGAGAAAAAGGATAAAGACTCCAGTAGCGATCCCAAAGGAAGCCAGGATCGTCTGAGGCATAATTTCAGCATCGTAGACGAGGAAGAGGCCTGGTAAAGAAATAGCTACGCGAAACTGGTCTATAATATCTTGCACGAGTTTTCATTTATTGTCGTTTTACTTTAGGGTCGATGTCTATAGCTTTTTATCCAGTCGTTACACCCAAAATCCCAGTTCGGACACGATCCCCGAAATCATTCAGGAATCAAACGCGGACAGTCAATTCAACGGGATACTCCCCGCGGATTACGCAGCCAAAATCGTCTGCGTCTTATCTCAACAAGTAGACAGATTATTTGAGAACGCAGCCTTGACACTGAACCTCCGAGCACTCTGCTTATTCCTCACCGCTCTGTGCAAAGCTAGCAAAGCCCAATTGTTTAAAACAACCGACGGTTCTAAAGATAATAAGAGATTCTGGTGGAGGAGAAGCAAACCCAGAGAGAACGAAATGAACGTGTTACTGTTGGCTCGCTTGGGAGAAGTAATGCTGAAGTGCGTGAAGAGTGGACGTCCTCTGATTCACATAATGAGGGTATAGAAGCATTTAACCATTAATTTTATTAAATGTATGGTGGTTCAATTTGAAAATCTTCAGGTTTGGAGCATCCTAGGACCGCATTTCATGGAGGCAGCTTGCCACAAGGATCGCGGTATCTCTAAGAAGGCAGTTCAATGCATTCACGATAGCATGTCAACTTTGTTATACGAGCTGATGGAATTGCCGCACTTTCATTTTAACGAAGCACTCTTCAAGCCTTTCGAGAACCTATTGTGCCTAGAACTGTGTGACAGTGATGTACAGGATCAGGTAAGTTATAAATCGGTCTGTTAAAATTGTCGAATGGAAAACAAGTATATCCTCCAGATCGTGAGCTGCATCTGCGAGTTCGTCGAAACTAACGGAACCGAGATTCGATCAGGCTGGCGTCCTCTATTCGGCGCGCTGCGCGTAGCATCGGTCGGTAATTCAGATTCCGTCGAGTCTGCGCCGTTGCTGGAGGTTTTCAGGGTCTTTCTATCCATGGACAACACACTGGTGTTCGCCAACGCGGCGCTAGATTGCATTCTCTGTTTGCTGAGGCACGTGCGAGGCATCGGTGACGCCGATGGTCATCAGGATGATCAGGATCCACTTGACGTAGCCGAGTCCAGAAGAATGAGGCTCTGCGTCGAAAGTCTCAAGTATTTGCTGAGCTGCAGCGACATCCTCGCGTCGATGTACGGCATGCCAGCCTGTCCGATCTTCCACTCGGCCCAGAGGATCCAGGTTTCCACCATTCCCCAATACGTCGATCCCACGATACCCAACTCGGAGCTGATACGATTCGACAAGCACGCTGAATCCATGCAGGAAACTATCCCTGAAAGGCCCCACGATGTGCTGATGGACAACGTCCACACGATCACCACGTTACAGAGCATGGATAAACCCAGTGGCATCCTGAGGGTTTGGTACATACTGATCGAGGGTCTGGCTAGTGCTACCATGATATGTCCGAAACGCTATCAGCCTCATACTCTGGAGACCTTGTTCCATCTGCTACGGGACACGCTTAATATTCCTGGCCCAGCTTTTGGGTTGTACTGCGTAAACCATCTGTTGCTTCCTATGGTTCAGAACTGGCTGAGGAAAACGTCGAAGATCTTTAGAGGATGGGACAACTTTGCGCCGAATTTTAAACAATGCTGCGGTCTTACGACTGATTTGGTCGTCGACTACTTGGCTCATCTGCAAGGTATTCGAGGCAATGCTTTCGTGTAGTCGGTGTTTCAAATATTACGATTTAGATAGTTTATAAGTCGGTGGTTTTTACTTTCAGGTCCAGAAGTCGTTCGAAACGATTCCTATCTGCCAGCCACGACGTTGATGTTGAAGCAATTGTTACTGGTGATGGCGGAATGCGTCGTACAACCTACCGAGAGCATAGCGCGTTTGGGCTGCGCGTGTATTAGGTGAGTATTCGAACGTCTCGAGACCGAAACGATTCGTATCTCTGGACTACTAGTCGAATCGATTGCTTTCAAGCTTCGGTTCTCGTAGAAGCTACATGACTCACTATCGAATTAAGATCACCGACTCGCGAAAAAGGCATGCTTTGTTTCGCGAAGCTAACTCGAGCGGCGTGTGCCCAAAGTAAAAGCCCTTCTCGAAAACAGAGGAGTAAGGAGAGAGAGGGGAAGAACGGTAAGAGAGAAAAGGTTGAATCATAACGCGGAGGTTCGATGGAATGTACATCGACGGAGGTTAGATGTATCCTCGTTACGGGCGTAGCGTGCGTGTAAGATGATAACGAAGCTTGACAGGCTGTCCGGTGGGATAAGGTAGCCACCGACACTCGACACCCCCGGAGCGTCGTGCCCGGCAAACACGTACACGAGAAAAAGATGGAGAACACATACACGCGACAACACCACCCTGTCACCACCGTCGTTCGTCTCTCTTTCTATCCCTGGGAGGGACCCAGCTGGATCCATTCGCGCGTTTTCTCCGTATTAATGCACCGTATACATTGACGCGTGTAATTCAATCCTGGGCCGGGCAATCCTTCGATCGCGAAGTATCGATGTACAGGCGTGCGCGGACTTTAAAAACGGGACAGGTTCGCGGACAGATAGCTAGAGACTGCCAGTGAATGACGAACGGGATCCTGAACTGAAATCTTAGAGTCACCCACTCCTGGTAGCCAACCCACTTCTATTAGTGAAACGCAGCTAAGCTTTCCGCTAGCTATCGTACCAAATATAAATGAAGCGTAGCTTAATCCGTTTACAATAGAGAAGTACTCTATTACAATAGAGTCCTACAGGATTTGGAGACTTTAGGAACTTGGATATTAAAATTTTGCAGAATATAAGTAGGTGACAAAGAACAAATGGTTTTCTTGCAGACACGTTCTCGTGAGCAGCGGTCCTCTTCTCACTCCAGAACAATGGGAGGTGTGCGGTGTCGCCTGTTACCGCGCCTGTTCAAATTCGCTGCAAGAATTACACCAGTTGACCATGGCTTTCTCGCCAAGATCGGAATCCTTTTACGGTGACATTGCTGTCGTACAACCTACCGAGAGCATAGCGCGTTTGGGCTGCGCGTGTATTAGGTGAGTATTCGAACGTCTCGAGACCGAAACGATTCGTATCTCTGGACTACTAGTCGAATCGATTGCTTTCAAGCTTCGGTTCTCGTAGAAGCTACATGACTCACTATCGAATTAAGATCACCGACTCGCGAAAAAGGCATGCTTTGTTTCGCGAAGCTAACTCGAGCGGCGTGTGCCCAAAGTAAAAGCCCTTCTCGAAAACAGAGGAGTAAGGAGAGAGAGGGGAAGAACGGTAAGAGAGAAAAGGTTGAATCATAACGCGGAGGTTCGATGGAATGTACATCGACGGAGGTTAGATGTATCCTCGTTACGGGCGTAGCGTGCGTGTAAGATGATAACGAAGCTTGACAGGCTGTCCGGTGGGATAAGGTAGCCACCGACACTCGACACCCCCGGAGCGTCGTGCCCGGCAAACACGTACACGAGAAAAAGATGGAGAACACATACACGCGACAACACCACCCTGTCACCACCGTCGTTCGTCTCTCTTTCTATCCCTGGGAGGGACCCAGCTGGATCCATTCGCGCGTTTTCTCCGTATTAATGCACCGTATACATTGACGCGTGTAATTCAATCCTGGGCCGGGCAATCCTTCGATCGCGAAGTATCGATGTACAGGCGTGCGCGGACTTTAAAAACGGGACAGGTTCGCGGACAGATAGCTAGAGACTGCCAGTGAATGACGAACGGGATCCTGAACTGAAATCTTAGAGTCACCCACTCCTGGTAGCCAACCCACTTCTATTAGTGAAACGCAGCTAAGCTTTCCGCTAGCTATCGTACCAAATATAAATGAAGCGTAGCTTAATCCGTTTACAATAGAGAAGTACTCTATTACAATAGAGTCCTACAGGATTTGGAGACTTTAGGAACTTGGATATTAAAATTTTGCAGAATATAAGTAGGTGACAAAGAACAAATGGTTTTCTTGCAGACACGTTCTCGTGAGCAGCGGTCCTCTTCTCACTCCAGAACAATGGGAGGTGTGCGGTGTCGCCTGTTACCGCGCCTGTTCAAATTCGCTGCAAGAATTACACCAGTTGACCATGGCTTTCTCGCCAAGATCGGAATCCTTTTACGGTGACATTGCTCAGGTCAAGGTTGCGGCTCGAAGAGACGCTACCCCCGAAGAGACCGAACGTCTGCGACAACTGGCTGCCCAGGTAAGTTTCGCCTTCGTACGCTTCTTTCTCGCTAAATATCTCTCTGTCTGGAAGAAGATGTGTCACCCTTTGGCTGTTTGACGTTCGTTGTGCTTCTCTGTGCCCTCGCACACGCCACAAAATCAGCTGAGAGCGTTCGACGATCGGTCATTTAAATGTGTCTTTATTTTGTCGCGATACCAATTGGCTAGTCTGATAGTTGCTCGATTTGTTCCGGTGTTGAGTGCGTAGAGTGTGTGTGAGAGCGTGCGTGCACAGGGTTCGATCGCAATCGAGGTACAATCGTGAAAGGAGCGATTTATCGTGCAGAGTTTTTGTTCGCGGGGTTTCAAGAAATTATAGATAATTGGAAGCGTAACAAAATTTTCTCGAATCCCGGCAAGAATTTATTCGACACTGCCGATTTTTGTACAACGAATCTTTTCATGCTTGTGTCGCGGTTGCAGCTGAGTCCTGTATAAAGTAAAACGTCAATACAGGGTGTTTCCTAATATGTGACAAGCTAATAAGCGGTTTCGAGCTACAGAAATGACGAAGAAGTTGACGCGAATCGATTTTGATCTCTCTGTACGTCTTGATTAACTGCATATTAAGAAACACCGAATTTAATATCGCCAAAATTGCCCGTGAGAGAGACACACAAGTGGTGCCCTCCTGACCTGACTTGCTCTCAGGTGAGCCAGCTGCGCGAGGTATTGTCTGCCATCAAGAGGCAGAATGCGGCTTCACTGCCGACGACACCTTTCCAGGATTCGATGACCATTGAGACGACACTGATCGACCAGCACACTACCTCCTACTCCGTCGGTTGTAGGCAGCACACGACACCCCTCGATTACACTAACACTACGTCGAACACGGGCCCCCATTGGCTCTAGCCGCCCACGGTAACTCACGTCATGGATTTTAAAACGAACAAATTAAAAAAGAATAAAAAAAGAAAACAGAACGATAGGAAAAGAGCAAACAGACGAACGAATAAATCGCATCGATTCTTCTTTTAACATTTGTTAAAAAAAAAAATTGATTAAAAGATTGATCAGATCGATTAGAATCCACGAAAACAGAGAGAGACTCGCGTGGTCGTTGTCGACAGGCCTGCTTTTTTACAATTCACCACCAATTCTTGCTTTTATCGCCTTTTCGAAGCTCGTTACTATTGGACAAGCGTTCACTTTGTGATCTTAGATTAATAGATAGAAAATATCGATATTTTTCTTCTTCTTTGCATCGACGTGCGCTTTGCGCGTGTTTGAGCTTGCATCTGTATGGCTGATGGCATACGGTGGCGCAGAATTGAAAAAACGGAAGGTTTTTAATCCTCGACTGATTCTGAAAAATTGTTGCCTCGATTAAAAATTTGTAAATTGGCTAAAGGCACTATACACCTTTTGATGGTTACACCTGATACAATCATTCGAGGGTTAAATGATTCCTGCTGAAGTATTCTACGTCACCCTGCAGCGTTGCAATTAGACGGATTGTCAGAGCGCTAGAAAATGAAAGATTTTTGTACGTGACTGCGTTATTATTCGCGTTTTTAATATATACATGTATATTTTTGTACTGCTCCATGTGTGTTCGATGATGCACAATGTGACAAATACAGATGCTTCTATCATTCGCAAGTTCGTTCTTGTATTGCACCCTTTGTTATTCCTTTTTCGGCGACGAAGAACGAATAAAAAGACGAGGGAAAGAGTCGAAGTAAGCCTGTCGACGGTGAAACGAAACGATTGGTAAATCACCTCGTTTAGATGTTTGCACTCGCTGGTAGAAGGCACAGGTCAGGCTGCAGAACCTCCTCGACGAGGTCCTTTTTCAATAAAAATTTGATAAGTCTCGTTATAAAACTATCAAAAAGATTTGTAACGTTCTCGCAGTAGAAAGAGTCATGTCTGGCACATAAGTGGATTTGTCACAGTGACAGCCGTGAATGAGACAAATTGTCATCGCAATTGTTCTTAAATCTATTTATTTTTAATACTTATTTTACACCTTCAACCCTTCAGTGACAGGTCACTCAACGTAAATTTCATTTTTATCTTCTTCTATAGGAAGAAGAGAACGTTCATTCGTGCAAATGTATCGGTACGCCCTAATCAGACGCGATTAGGTAAAATTGATCACAAAAGGACCCCGTCGTCGGCCGAGATATCATTTAAATTCAACTTGGCACGGTCTTGCGTATCACCATTAAAATCCATGGCTTGAGTCCATGGCTAGAATTTCACTGTCACATAATATGTACCTGGATGAGATACATGACACCTATCTCCTAGAAGCTGCAGCTTTCGTAGAATGCACAACCGTGTTTACTGACTGACTGAATCAATGGAATCACGGGTTAGGTCGAGCTATAGAACCCACCCATCGTCGATGATCGTGCGATTGCTCTCACACGTCATCGTTAATCACGACATCATCATATCATTGCAAATATTAAAAAAAAAAAAACGAACAGAAAAAAGATGAAAACTTTCAAGCGTCGCGCACGATTGCTCGAGTAGTTTCTCGAATTGAAATGTCCTTCGAGAAAGAACGATTCGAATAATCATCTCGAATCGATTTCGTGCAAAATTTTTGAGCATCTACGAAGAATCGTGCGATGAAAGTTTGCCACGGGACACGGAGAATCTGAAATCGATGCTTGTCTCTTCAGGTGTTCCTCTTGGAGGAACAGCGTACGGAGGATCCATCGAGAAGACCCGACGACAGGTCCTACGTTTTCCTTCTGTATCCACCCTCGGTGGCCACCACTCTCAATCCTGACCTTTATATCGTTAGGGTACAACTCAGGGCTTTGGTGGTTGGTCTTTTGGTTCATCAGATGCTCCTCCATTGTATCGCCAGTATTCTATTGCAGGGACCTGACTCGTCTTTTCCCAGGTAGGTATATTCATCGATAAAGATGAAACTTTTCATCTGCACCATTCCATGATTTTTGTCTACGTTTCAGTTTGTCCAACATCATCCCTCATTCCGCTGCATCGACGTCACCAAAGGCCTCCGTTTCCGGGTGTCTCTCGTATTTATCCACCCACCACGTAGACACCTTCCTATCGGCACTAGATCTCTCTTACGCAGCCGCTTTGAAGTTCGACTGTCGGCCAGGACTGAAATTTTTGGTCCAGAAAGTGACCAACCTCCAACAGCCAGCGAATCTCTATCGCCAAGCAGGAGCAGCGTGGACCATCAAGATGGTAACCTTGTTCGAGCTGTGTCTTCGAGAAATAGAGAACACCAAGGCTACTTTGGACACCGTGAAGTCTGTGCTGATGTCGAGCCCGGAAGATAAAGAATGTCCGAAGAGTTCTGCTTTCCGTAAGCTGACGAAGTATCTGAGGCAACTTCGCAACACTTTCGAGGAACTCTGCGAGAGCTACGTAGAGGTGGTTCTGGACGAGGATGGCAAGCACACCAGAGTGGACAGCTTCTCAGAGAGAAAGATTTTCTTGTTGGTGGCTCAACCGGACGATTACCCGGAGATCACGAGCAAGGAGGCGATTAACAGCAGAGTTCTCGCAACGTCGCCTCCGGTGGAACCACCCACGGAAACTCTGGGGAACCAGGTGGATTCAGAGGATCAAGAAGATATCGAGCATTACAGTCCGAATTTGGACGACGAGAGCGGACTGGAAGAACTTGGACCCGAGTGCGAAGAAGACCCGAGACCGTTCAGGCTGTCAGACTTAGCGGTGGAGTACTCTACCGACTCTGGGCCCGAGTCTGAGCCGGAGACCGACGATTCCAGGCCAGCCTCCAGGCTAGGATCGATCACGGAGAAGGCTGTGTACCCCGACAGGTCCGGTGGAACCTCCAGCGAAGGTTACATCGACGGAAAATTCAGTTCTGCGACCCCCGCACCGGCGACGCTGATCAACAATCGAGATTGTTTGTACTACAAACTGGGTCCCTTGAGGAGAACCGAATCTGTGGACTCTTTCGGTACCTCTCTGCTGGAGACCAAAACGGCGATCTACGACGAACTGTCCAGATACCAGAGGCTGAGATTACAGAGAAGAAGAAGCGACGCTTGCTTGCTTTCTCGAAGAAGCGCCTCGAGATTCATCGAACGCGAGTTCGACGACCCTGACAGATTCACCAGGTTCAGTTTGGACAACTTCAGGTGTAAGTCGGTGATCGAGTTGAGGAAGACCGGCGGATCGACGGTGTCCAGCTCGTCCAACGATCTCGAGATGTCTCCTCGGGTGAAAAGCGAACAGAAACAGGAGGCGAAGATTATCGATAACATCGACGAATTGTTGCGGGATTACGAACGTAGCAAAAGAGGGTTCAGAACGAATCCATTCTTGAAGGACGAGGAAGAGGAGTCTGGCGCGGAGACTCAAGAAATATCGACTCACGAATTCGTGTTCCAGAGGAAGACCAACGTTTATAAGGATAGCGAGGCGCACAGGAAAGCTTGGGCAGAGACGCTGAGCACCATGTTGGATTGGACTCTGGCTTTATCGGTAAGAGCGTGAGAAAACTTGGAAATACTTGCTTTTATTCGTTTATTGCACTTTTATTTCAGATAATTTCTGATCAAATGCGATTTTGTTCGCAGGACGATCAATTGACCCCACTACTTCCGGTCTTCGTAAGCGGCGTACGTGTCCTCACTAGACACGCTGTGGACCAGATTCTGAAGCAACGATTGTCAGCTCTTTTTCACCGAATCGCCGTGTTATACGGGTTAACGAGCAATTAGGAACAGCTTCAATACATCTGGCAACGGATGTATTACCACAATTGATTTCGAACTTTCTTAGTGCTCTTAGAAGCTGGGGTGTCTATAACGAACATCCGACTACACGAAGACTCTGTTATACGTCTATAAAATTTCTATGTCTTCGTGAACGAGTTTTTATATGTGGAAAAATCTTTGGAGAATCGATTTCAGTCAATACGGAAGAATTCGTGTTCTAACGAAAACGTTCAGACTGATGATCAGAGTCAATCAAACATCTCACGAGAGAAGGGAATTTGATTTTAACTGTACGAAATCAAGGATTATGTCGTTTAAGGACCATTTCACCATCGATATCAAATACGAATTTTAAATCACCGAACAGGGAGAAGGTGGATTTTAACTGGAAAAGAAGACCTGTCCGAATTCAGACGAACACGACTGACAATAGTACTATTATTGGTTCTGTTTCCGGCGGAAAAAATTCATGTCCCGTTTTCAGGGAACGAGCCTCGCCTACCTTTAGCGCTCAGACGCGTCGACACGAAGAGACAAGGATTTTATTTACGATCCACGCTGCACGCACATCTTTCGATTCTCATTTTATGCTCTTTGCGCTTAACTGTAGTTTGCGGTCCAGTCGCAGCGTCGGATGTGACGGGGTTTTGCTTCCAACGTCGAAGAAGCACGCGTTGCGATAGATTTTGCGAAATGACTCGACTGGCAACTTTTTCATCGAAGATATCGAGAACTACTCTTTGAAATTCTGAGTATACGAGGATTCGAAAAGGATCGGAAACATTTGTCGAATCTTTCGTTTTTAAGCTACGAGCGAGGAAGTGTTTATTTTCCAATTTTTTATTTTTTATTTTCTGAACGTTTTAAATGAAAATATTTATTTTGCGTCTTTAGTTTTTAGAATAGTTTTGAGTTTGAATCGAAATTCTTTCTCGAATATTTAATTATAATTTTTAGTGTTTCTGAGGGGTAATTCAGTTCTGAAGGAATTAGTATTACGGATAAGGAAAGATGTAATTAAAATGTTACCCAGGTTGAATCTAGGTAGAGAAACGCTTAGAGCGAAACGTTATTCTTCGCGTGAACGGGATTTCCCGAGGATCTTTCTGATTTTGCCAAAGAAAAGGAGAGAAGGTTTTTGGTCCCATCGCACATTCGTTCGCGACCGAAGAACTATAGCAAACAAAGAATCGATGCTATATTTTATTGTAAATAGAAACTCTAGTCGCTGGTCCATCGGACACGAGAGAAGCTAGATATTTTTATTGTTAATTTCTATGTTTGAAATGTTTAGCAAACGACTAGTCAATGATTCTCAGTTTCATTTATCGCTTCGATATATATACTATATATATATTTTGTATATTGTTTGTAAGTTAGAGAATGAAAAAGAGGAAAAATGAAATAATTACCGAGTGGTTGTATAAATCGAAATATTGATCCATGAATTTGTCATTCTCTCCTGCGATTCCATCGGTGTTGTTCGATGCACTGTTATCGTTTAACAAGAGCGAGGAGAGATTAATAATTGATAATAAAACGTGCCTAAGGTGAACCCTATTTTCTTTCCGTTCATTCGAAAACTTTTCCCTGAATTACGAGAAACGAAATATCGACGAAGTATTCATCGAACACCTTCCGACAGTATTTTTAATTGATCCGCGTACACCAAAATAGTTAGCCAACAAATGTACGATCGTTAAATGATCAAATATTCCAAGTTAATAAAAATTGTACGAAAAGTTTACAACGGTGAGATCGAATCGAATGCAGGCTTCTTTCGGGAAAAGCAAAGAACGCTGCATCCGATTTCGTTTCGATTCTTTTCCCTGTCTTCCTTCATGGCTCGGAGCATCGCATAAGCGCACCATTGATTAATACCGCGTTTGGAACCCTTGCGAATTTCGTCAGGTATCGAAGGTGTCGACCATTTTCTACGGGTGAAGTTTAGTTCGTTTTAACGGGCACAGGAAAGGGCGGGAGACTTGTCTGCGGTCGAGTCATCCTCGTAAAGAGGGAAGCTTACGAGCGACGGTCGTCTCGGCTTATTCTATGCTTTTATTCGCGTCCCATTCGTCGAGGCTGTAAATATCAACGAAGAGGAAGCGGGAGAACTCTCTGGCAAGCTTCAGAAGATGACGGACATGAGTGCAATCTTTTCACGAAAATCCAAATCTTTCTTCGAACAGAAATTCGCTTAAGGGCAGGGCCTTGATTTAAGGGCGACTTTTTACCGATGCTTCCAGTGTTAGCTAAAAATTTCAAATTTGCACACGATTCAGTCCTGATGGTAATAGTCTTTCGAAGGAATAAAATTTTAGACCAAGGTAAAAATTTGGAAACATGTAAAATTTTATAAATAAAGATGGTACTAATGCGACAGAGATTGCAAAGGGGGAACAAAGACGACAAAGCAGGGTGGGTCGCTAATAAAGGGAGACAGGAACACCGTTGAACCGACGGTGTAGACCGCAACTATCCATCCGTTCGTCATTTCCAGCGTGCTTTAAATATTAAATAGAGCTCGCTACGCTCGTAAAAAGGATTATCCCTCTGTGTGTCGAGAGACAGAAACGAACCGCTCCTCTGCGGTCTGCTTTCATGCAAGGATAAAGATTTTTCTACTGCAAACATCCCCAAATATTTTTCGTTCAAATGTTAACCTAATTGTCAACATAATAATAACCTCGCTTTAACCAGTTAAGCGTGTTTGACGACTATATCCGTCATAGAGATGTGGCAGAATTTTATGTCATGACGACTATATCCGTCATGCGTAAAATTTTGTTACAATTTGATATTTAAATTGTAATTTTGGCGAAAACTAAATTATATTCGTAAATTGTAATATGTTTAAAATGGTTGGAGATCAACATGAAATGAAATAAACAAATAAAAAATGTAAATGATTTGAGATGGATTCATAAATTCTTAAGAGCTAACTCGTCATCGCTTGATTACACACTGGTGCGCGCTTTACAAAAAGATCGCCACTGTTAACTGGTTAAAATAATCTGTCCCCCAAAACTCGATCAATTTGAAACGCGAAAGCAGTAGATTAAAAAATGTTTAAACAGAGAAAAGGTCGAAGTGAAATTAGGAGCCCTATCGACAGTCGATTGTTCGCAAAAGTTGTGTTTATTGCGCTGAGTAGGTGAATCACAGGTATCGTGAGTTGTTGGGTCTGGTGAACGGGAGGATTCAGGAACCTGTTCAGCCAAGGTTTTATTTCATGGAAAATATCTGTATTTACAATGTTACATGACTAATCTTCCCACTTTGCGGACACGTTCGAGCCGGCTCTCGGCTTACAACCGATTGGCTCCGCCCAGATGTTCTTATTCGACACTTTTTCAATCACAATCGAAAGAATCGTTCCTTTCTAACACCTCCGACTTTCTCACGAGTCGTCAACTCGTTTGTGCTCCAATTTTCAGTCACCCTCCTCACTGTTCCACGAAACATCGGACACTCGGGTTCGACCGCGAAAAATCTCCGCGAATTTGATCTCCGGATCGGAACTTTCATCGAATACTAGCATTATCGATTGCACGGGACATCAGATAACTATCCGACTACTCGACGCAGTCGAGTAATCATTTTTTATGGTTTATATCACATTTACGACACTGGTATGGTTTCTTTCCTCCTTCGATCTTTCAACTTTTACGTTTCTGACAACGAAAGCGGTTTCGTACATCGTTTCACTCTGACCCAGAATAATCCTCAGGCTTTGTCTAACAATCTTCAAGAACCACATCTTGGCTTTAATTTTTTGGTCCAAGGTTAGACCTTGTTCGAAGCGGGAAATGGCACAGCAGAACCTTCGAACTCGGTTCTTGCTTTCTTCACCGATCTTCATACTTTGCCTTCTTCATCGAATCCAAAGCTTTCCAAACTGATCTTCAAACATTTCGCGTATACCCGTTTGGGTGAGGTCGCATATCCGCGCTCGTCCTAGGATGGCCGGAGTCTGATCTTCAAACATCCAATTCGACTTCATACTCTCCGTCTCAATAAGGTCTCCACACGTCGTTCCTCTGCTCGCTTTCCTCTCCGGGAACTCCGATCTCTAACCTGTTGCTGCTAATGGAGATATTGCTGCCAGCGATAGTAACCTGTTCGTCCGTCAAGTCACCGTGAAGGTGCAGATGTATCTGGTTCTGATTCACCGTGCTGTACAACTGAGGACAGAAAACCATGGGCGGTGGACTGATGTAATTTTGACTGGGGTTGTTGTAGTAGCCCTGGTAATTCGTGTTGTAATTGTGAGAGGCGACTGGAACCGGTGTGGCCGGACCCGGAGTCCAAGAACCGTAGTGATAACCCGGGCTTCCGCTGCCTGTCCCGCCACCGGCGAAGATGTCCGGCTCGCTGGGCTTGCTGGGCACCAGGGGCAGAGACGTCGACGATGTCCCGTGGCTTGGATACATGGAAACACAGTTTGGCGTGTACGTATCTTGCTGGTTCTCTGACGGAAGCACTGTAAGATCGAAATAGACCTTGTGTCCAGTCACAGTTCAGTGGAAGTCGAATCGAAGCGCGTGGATTTTGGTTCTTGCTGTCGGAGTACGTGCATGGAACGTTAGTAAGCTGTGGCTGGTAGAATCAGCTGGGTTTTGGAGTATTAGCAAGCGCGACAAATACTGCAGGATCCAAATGCACAAATTGTAAGCTGGATTATAAATGTGTGGGTTGTTTGATTAGTTGTAGAATGTATAGTTTGATAATTGCTGTGAAATTGTATGTACGACTGCAAGTGTGAATGACGATTTATGAAAGGAACAGAAATGCTATGCGGAAGTGGTTGCGTTTTGAAAAAAGTGTTGTTGTTAGTTCAGTTTAGAAGGTCTAGACGAACAAAACGCCGCAAAATACGAATTATAAGATTGTATGATTTTACTACGTTTAAAAGTTCAATACGTTATTGTGTTCTTGTGTTCTTATTGTGAGTTTATTGTTGTGTGCTCTTAAATAAAAAGATAGTTCTAAAAATTCTATTCCTTGCACAGAATCTACAGCAGAGTGAATAAGCTAGGTTTAGAATAGAACAGGTTGCTAATCAAGCTGTTTGTTCCGCAAACCGAAGCTGCGATTCACGGTTACGTCACGGAGGAGGAATATTTTTCTCGGGTAGTTACGAGAGCAACGAGGAAACGTCAGTTTTCCTCTGAGGAATAACGTTTAGCGAGTACTCACCAGCAGGTAACGACATGGGCTCCGTGGCTGGATGATGGGCCAGAGGTTCACCGAGATACGAGAACGCTCCGCCAGGAATCGGTGAAAAGGAACCACCGCTGCTTACCGGAGGTGCTGGATAAGATGGCGCCGTCGACGAATAGGCCCATTCCGTTGCGCCTGCACCCGTATCTGCAACAGCAACGATTACACTTTATCGGTAACGTAGGGAAGATAATGTAAGAAACTAGGGAAACGATATAAAAAAGGTGATCCTCGATTTCCCAATAATTCCTTCGTTCGCAGCTTTCATACCGTTTTCATGAAATAAAAACTGCGACAAGATAATCAAAGATGAACGTGATATTGCGAATCGAAGGCCACCGAGAACTGCGAGGAACCTCTAACGTTACCGAATGAAAGCTGAACCGACTCATCGACGAGGTAAAAGGAAAGAAAAAGACGTAAAACAGAAGCGATATATTGTAGTGCATCATGGATCTTTTCGTGAAACATTATTCCCGTAATTTCGTAATCTTTCGGCCCGATTCACAGCCGTATCGTCTCATTCGTTGAATAGCAACCGAGTAAAAAGTTTCAGCCGAATCATCGATGACTCAGCCAAGCTACGTTTTCCTCTCTGTTTCCGTAACTTTTACCGGCTACTCGTGTCTCTCTGTTCCCGCTGAGGTACTTGGAAATTCATTGGACGTCCGACGGAAGTCGCGAAGTCCGCGATAAATATTTCACGAGATGATAATTAATATCGGCTAATTGTTTTGACCCTCGTCGGGAGCGATACGCTCGCTTTTCACGTTGATGCTGAACAACTTATTCGCTGCCACGTTTCTCAGGCAAAAAACTTCATTGATCCACGTGATTTGCATCTAATCAGTGCAGTATCAAAGTCTAGGGAAAACCTGATTTTCCTGGGAAAAATGTGGCAAACGAAGGCAAAGATATCATCTGTTCATTGATGTTTAGGGATGTAGAGATAGGCCCAGATATTTAGGGGTCTACAGATTTGGGTGCTCAGGTTTTGAAGATCTAAAAATTTGAGGAAGTGGGAATATGAACATACATGGATTTCCAGATACCTATGCTTCTAGATCTCTACAAGTTTGCTCGGACGATCGAATGACTCAAAATAAATTAGACTTGAAACACAACTAATTGAAGAGCTCAATTAGAAAGTTCAAAGAACTCGCGTTACGAGTCACGACGTCAGAGACACGATGACTGCATAGACTCATTTATTAGCGAGAACAGTTGACGGAAAGTCCGGACATTGGTGATTCTCGGCGGATACTCGTCGAGCGGATGACAAAACACGCTTACTCAAGGGCGCGCTCGAGCCGCTTCCAAGAACACCTTTTATTACGGGGAAGTCTACAGTTTCGAAACGTGATTCTGTCGAAAATTTTGTATAAAAAGCAGAAACCGTTTCAAGGAAACGTTGTGTCTCGAACAAAATTTTAATAAACTCCGACTATCACGATTCAGCCATGAACTTTATTCTGTAATCGCTGTTACGGCAAAATATTATTCGCGGTACCTCATTAGTTATTCGGAGGAAAAATCGACGGAGATTTAAACAGTCCCTGACCTTCTCAAGCGACGTAGAGTAGAATAAAAAAATTGCTTCTACGAAATCGCTTCGCAATTTTACCGCTCGAAGTTTTTTCGATGGAAAGTAACGAGACACAGGATAAAAGGGAATTTCACAGATCCACTGCGATTTTCTGCTCTCGTGTGCACAGGCAGGTGACGGGTCAAGGTGTGGAAATCGTAGGGAGAATTGATTAGAAAACCGTCGATTTTAATGGCCGATAAATCTCGAGTTTCGCCATTGACTCGCGACTGCACGCTTCGTAATCTCGAGTTGCCTTACGAAGAGCCGCTGCGCGCAAGAAATAGTCGGCGGTTTTGTAATTAACGGTTGCTAATTCCCTCGTAAACTTATGGACAAGCGAGCCTGCACGCTTCGAGAGTCTTCCGAGTCAAATTATTTAACCTGGCGAAGTATGCAAGTGCCGTTCGAAGAGGAAACATTTCGTATTCTAATTCGCGAGATGTAACAAAGATTCGTGACAATTGTTTCTACTACGCGATTGGAAGAAGTTTCCTCGAAGACTTTGCGAATCTGTGCAAGGTAAGGTCGAGGGTCCTCTGGCAAAACTGTCGTTACGCCTACCGGCCGAGGAAGGTCGAGGTCGTTTCGGGATTCTCAAAGGGGACCGCCTAGGGGATGGGGGCGTGCGGGTGATTACCGAAAATGGCCGTGTATTTGCCGCAATTACCGGAACAACGGTAACAAAACAAAGGCACACCATGGGTCGGTGTTCGGACGACCATCTGTTGGATAATAGTCCGTTTCGAACCTCTTCAGGGAAGACGAGGAGGAACCTAGTTCTATGAACCACAGAAGTTGGAGAGAGCGAGTTTGCCTCCCGGAGAAAGCGACAGGAAATTCTCAACCAACAATTTTTTCCTCCTTCTTCGATTCTTTATCAATTTTTCAGGTATTAGATGTCGAGTATTATTTTACTATACATTTATCTCCAACGTTTTATTTCAGTGGGTAAGCGACGTAGAGTAGAATAAAAAAATTGCTTCTACGAAATCGCTTCGCAATTTTACCGCTCGAAGTTTTTTCGATGGAAAGTAACGAGACACAGGATAAAAGGGAATTTCACAGATCCACTGCGATTTTCTGCTCTCGTGTGCACAGGCAGGTGACGGGTCAAGGTGTGGAAATCGTAGGGAGAATTGATTAGAAAACCGTCGATTTTAATGGCCGATAAATCTCGAGTTTCGCCATTGACTCGCGACTGCACGCTTCGTAATCTCGAGTTGCCTTACGAAGAGCCGCTGCGCGCAAGAAATAGTCGGCGGTTTTGTAATTAACGGTTGCTAATTCCCTCGTAAACTTATGGACAAGCGAGCCTGCACGCTTCGAGAGTCTTCCGAGTCAAATTATTTAACCTGGCGAAGTATGCAAGTGCCGTTCGAAGAGGAAACATTTCGTATTCTAATTCGCGAGATGTAACAAAGATTCGTGACAATTGTTTCTACTACGCGATTGGAAGAAGTTTCCTCGAAGACTTTGCGAATCTGTGCAAGGTAAGGTCGAGGGTCCTCTGGCAAAACTGTCGTTACGCCTACCGGCCGAGGAAGGTCGAGGTCGTTTCGGGATTCTCAAAGGGGACCGCCTAGGGGATGGGGGCGTGCGGGTGATTACCGAAAATGGCCGTGTATTTGCCGCAATTACCGGAACAACGGTAACAAAACAAAGGCACACCATGGGTCGGTGTTCGGACGACCATCTGTTGGATAATAGTCCGTTTCGAACCTCTTCAGGGAAGACGAGGAGGAACCTAGTTCTATGAACCACAGAAGTTGGAGAGAGCGAGTTTGCCTCCCGGAGAAAGCGACAGGAAATTCTCAACCAACAATTTTTTCCTCCTTCTTCGATTCTTTATCAATTTTTCAGGTATTAGATGTCGAGTATTATTTTACTATACATTTATCTCCAACGTTTTATTTCAGTGGGTTCTCCAATGTTTCCGAAGAAGAATTCAGTTTTATTTAGCAAACTATAAGCGCTAAATGCACTGACAAAAGTAACGACATCTCCAATGTTTCCGAAGAAGAATTCAGTTTTATTTAGCAAACTATAAGCGCTAAATGCACTGACAAAAGTAACGACATCTCCAATGTTTCCGAAGAAGAATTCAGTTTTATTTAGCAAACTATAAGCGCTAAATGCACTGACAAAAGTAACGACATCTCCAATGTTTCCGAAGAAGAATTCAGTTTTATTTAGCAAACTATAAGCGCTAAATGCACTGACAAAAGTAACGACATCTCCAATGTTTCCGAAGAAGAATTCAGTTTTATTTAGCAAACTATAAGCGCTAAATGCACTGACAAAAGTAACGACATCTCCAATGTTTCCGAAGAAGAATTCAGTTTTATTTAGCAAACTATAAGCGCTAAATGCACTGACAAAAGTAACGACATCTCCAATGTTTCCGAAGAAGAATTCAGTTTTATTTAGCAAACTATAAGCGCTAAATGCAGTGACAAAAGTAACGACACAACGATAACGTCAGAGACGAACTCTTCGAAATGATATGTCACTCGACGATGGTTGATCGAAAGGGATTCTTCGAGAATCACAGATGTGTAACCTCGTCATTGATCCTGAACGAAGGAACGCGCGAGTCCTGACCAAAGGAACTCCCCGAGTTGTTTACTACTTCCTTCTCGTCGTGTCTCTCTCCTTCCCTCTCTGGATCTCCCTCAGTCGCTCTGCGGGTGTGAAACCACAGTGAGGTGGTTTTGGTGCTTAGTCCCCCGACCAGCCATCTACTTAACGAACCGTCCATTGACCGCCGTCATATCGTTGTTTCTCGGTTTTTCTCCCACCTAACTCTGCCCCGCAAGCTTCCTGCTACCACTCGATGCGCTTTGATCGACTTCATCTTCCACTTTCTTTCTATTAGTCGATCTATTCTGGGAAAACTGAGGTATCACGAATTCTTCGGGATATCTCAGGAAGTCCCAAGCTGATTTAAATACTATCCGCGTGTAATATGGAAACACGTGGGTCACCGTTTGAGCTATTATGAGTCACTTAAGATCTCAAGATCCCAGACTCTGTTCAGCGTTAAGTTTATCGAAAAGTTTAAACGTAAGATGAACGAAAAGAAGGCAACTGGTCGAAAAGACGGACAGAAAAAGGGGACTCAGAGTCCGAAAGAGGAGCGAACGTTAAGAACAACGTCGAACAGACGAAGCCGTGGGGCTTCGTTTCCCACCGAGATAGATGCACGTTTGGTCGTGTAACGTAAGTCGATATTGCGTCGTCTCGATATTCCTGTTCGACACGAATGTCGACACACACGTACGCACGCGTATGACACATATCAGTCCGTGCACACCCGTAAAAACCTGCATAACCGTTCCACGGAGAAGGAGAGAAGTCTTATGCATACGAGAACGGCCAGGAAACTCTTGTTGCCTCGCGTATCGCTTACCATCAGCGATTTCTTCTTATATACCGAGTATCCTGTCCCGAGGATAGTGTTTCTCTTCGATGACTTCGGGATCGCGAGCAACGAGCTACCAACTATCCACGTTATCATCCTCCTTCGATTTTACATCGTTGAATTTCGTTTTGAAATCGG